AGAGGTGATATAATAACGGAGTCCCCCGGTCACGATCTCGTCGGGTGCGTGCGACCGGGCCCTGGCTCGCACGCAATGTGCCCAACCCAAAATGGGCACATCGGCTCGTGGGCGCAAATTGAGAAGTAAACAAACCGTTGGTAAAAATAGAGCGTTTTTCGACCACTCGCGACAGTTGTCTAAAAATGGAAAGACTCATTAGTGATCAGGAAGTTTCTTATCCCATGTTGCAGTTGAGTATAATGTGGCTAACACTATGCTAGTTTACATACTTAATCCAAGTGTAAAATAGATAATTTTAGACTTGCTTAAACTATAGTCCTGGTGTGGGACTTTTGGACATTTGTGGTCCTGATAACGAGATTTGCTCGAACTAAAACTCATAAATGCACTACATCGCAACATTCGCACGAGCTTTACGCTAGAGTATAAGTTTATAGCGTTCCCAAAATTTTCATCGTTGTGATGGTCCTTGTAGTGGCACCACTTGTCCATCGTATAGTACTACATCGCAATGTCTCATATCGTAGATCCAATATTACCAATTCTTAAACGTCTAATCATTCCTTGCATCATCCCACATCGCAAGTCCCGTGTCGATCAGTTTAGCCGTTTAGGCTTCCGCCTCGTTCGTTCCTCAACGAACTCTTTTTGATTGATTACACAATATTTCGCAGTATTGTATTGTACTGCTTCGTGTTCAAACATTTCGTAAAGAAGTTTGTAGCTCTTTTGTTTGTTTTCACATTTGTCGTTTTGTCTGCCTTCGAATATATCATACGTGAAGATGCGGATTCTCTACCATTTTGCGACAGGTTACTCACTTGTAGGACACTATTGGTATAAACGGATTTGGCATCTGAAGTTGCAGTCCCTACTTTTTGATGCTCTCGCTTCGTGATCGCGCGTAAGTGACAGATGCAGGTGACCCAGTAATTGTTTGTGCTCCCACATACATCAAAGGATGCCGCACGGAAGACAGCTTCATTTCTGTCCGTCCACAGCTTCGTTCAACATTTCGTGGCAAAAATGTGCCAGATTCGCTTCATACCCTCTTTGGCCTCCACCACATCATCTTGGAACCGTTTCTTCACGATTCCTTCCCGATGCTTCGGAATAGCTTGTACTTGACTGCAAGCGCATGCTTCCAGGAATTGTTGAGTGCGCTCGAGGGACTCGCGTTATCCAGTCCAACGCGTAACTAGTTTGGTCGATAGAGCTAAAGCGCGTAGACGCACCCAAAACAAATTTTCACGGTCTCTTCGCGACTGCGGCAAGCTAACACCGTCCGACAACTTTGTCCTCGGTCTTCCCAGCATGGGTAGGGTCGAGCTGGCCCAACGTGACCCTGCAACCTGCCCAAACTTGATACTTAGAGATGCCATTATCATGGGACCAAACTTGGCATGGCGTCTACATGAGCGCAGCACGTTGCCATTCGTCCTTTGCAGTCTTGGCGTCAATCTGGGCAACAAAATTCAGCAGAGGGTAGGTGAATAATGTTTTGCAATACTGGAAAGCCTGGGCACCTAATGCCTTCATAACGGACCGATTTGGCGTCGCATCCGGGACCGACCTCGAAAACTGGTAAGGCTGCAGATGAGCCTCGAAGACGAGACCCCATTTCTAGATAGCGATAAGTTGTGTGATTAAACCCTCCACGAACTAGTGTAGCCCGTCTTGACCTTGAAGCACCGTCACGGAATGGGTAGCTCGACTTAAACGGTGGAGCATGCCGTAGTACCAGTGGCGGTCTCATGTTGGATGCTGCCCCTATGAGTAAGTCGGGAGGTGAAAGCAAAAGGGCTGTCGCCCATCACCGTAGCTTTGCAGCTGTGTGGGGTCAAGATTGATCCGCTGGCCAGGGTATCTGCATTACGAATTCCGACGGACCTGTGCGCGCTATCTGTAGCGCTGCTAGAGTATATTCCTTGATCTTGGTGTACGTGCTGATCACAAGCATGTTACCAATGGGATCGTGCAACCATAAGTTTGCTTTCCAGTTAATCATGGCCCAAAAACCGCTGTATGACGTCCGGCGTGTCGTCAACTCCCAGGGAGCGTCGTGGAAAGGTGTTGTGATACGAGATCACTAATCGTCGTATTCCCATCAGCTGGAGGCCCTCGCAAGCAACTCCTCCCAGTGCCTGTTGAACCAAGTAGTGGTTCGGCGAAGTTGCTCCGGCAATGGTGCTATCCGTTCCCTGGCTCTTGCTGCAACAGCTGACCATGTCGACAGCGCTATTGAAGTAGGTTTTGCTGTGGAACCTGGAACCTGGGTTGCAGTCACGATAGCTGCGTCCCCCTCAGTGTCACCACGAACAGTCCAGGCCCGCCAGTATTGGTCTTGTTGCTGAGTAAGCCAAGTAATCGCATGTTTACCTCTTTGTGTTTTGATAGCCACTGATACGTCGGCCAGGCCAAGGCCTCCCGCGTGCTTTGGAGTCACACGCAGCCCTGAGTTTACTGTGTGACAACTTCTTTCTGTTGTCGCCGCGTGCGCCACAAAAGTTGCTTGTAGAAATCGTGCAGCTCCAGCTCCGCCTAATGCGGTATGTCAAACACCATAGCGGTGAATACTATGGATGGTAGCACGATTGAGTCAAGCATCAACAATCGATTTGTCACACTCGTTGCTACTCGTGTCGCTGTGAGCAGGCGCGGCTGAATACGCCGGATGTGTAGTGCCCAATTTCTGTTGACGAGCTCCACTGTCTCGATCTCGTAGCCCAAGTACCTTGTCATTGTTCCAGGAAGGACTACAGCGATACCCTCATACTGTTGCACCGTGATGGCTCGGTTTACATTTGTCTAGCTGACTCTTGTCCGGTTGGACATGGAGTCCAGATGAATCTCCAAGCTCGAACGATGGTTAGAGCATGGAGAATTTGTTCAGCTTTGTCAAGGAACGGAGTTGAGTCATCGACAAACGCCGAAAAGAGCGAGAAGACATCCTTGCCGAATACCGGACCTCACCGGGAGTGGTGCTGAACGGTCCCCGTTTACGATGATATTGGCTGTTGTACCAGTGTGGATACGTCAGACAAGATCGGCGAAGCGTAAATCAAACCCAAGCAGTCGCACAGTTTCATTCAGAAAATCGCTGTCAGCCGTGTCGTAGGTCTTCAGATAGGTAGAGTAGACCTACGAAGTTGAAGAAGTCGTGAGCTCGGAGGGACTCCTTCATCTACCGGAGTGTGTGAAGGGTGCGAATCGGATTGCTCGACTTTTGTCGAGACATCAGCACCCGTCTACAGTGGTGACTGATAGGTACCCGTGCCTTGCTGGATGTCGGTTATAATGCCATCTTCAGCTGACCCACCGGCTTGATGAACTTCAGTGTAGTAGTGCGTGCCCACGCCAATTCCATCCGATCGTGTGGTCTCCATCATCAGTCGCTGTGAAAGCACTGTGTTGACATAACCATGAAATAATCATGACACTCCGGATTCGTGAGGCTCTCACACGCACTGTCAACGTAATTCCTGCCTCAGAATCGCCGTTCGTTCAGCTGCGCTCTTCTCACATCTGTCTCGAAATAGAAAACGTCTTCACTACGACAAAAAGAAGGCGGGAAGGACTGACTGGTTGTAGAAGTGGTGCTGTACCAGGGACAGGCCCGGGACGGATCCGAAGTTGACTCAGTGCCGGTTTTCTTCACTCTTCTGCCCGTCTTTATCCTCGACATTGCAAGTGTATAGACGGTCTGATGTGAGAACCACGTCCGTGCTGACACTGAATGTGCTTCAACACTAGGTGCGTGCTTGCACAGAACCTCTTTGTGGGACTACTGCCCTGGATTACGGTACGGGGTAATCCAGGTGATTGGCAACACTGTCCTAGCACAATCTCCGTCGTGTCACGCAACAAATTGCCACTGCCTCTGCTCTGCAAGTACGAGCCTATTCCTTGATCTTTGTATCTCGTGGACGGCTATGCAATGCGGCCAAAATGGTCGACAAGTTGAGAACGATGTCGTTGAATTGTGTGCGTCCACGGAGCTTTGAGTCTCGACCTGGCAATCGTTGAGAATCCGTTGGCACTTGATCCTCCTGTTGTCGGATTGCTACCGCTTGTGGTCGACTCAAAAGATGCGGACCAAGCCAGCGTCTGGCGCTTAAGACGCCATCGTACGGATATTTGTGCGAGCTTCTATCGTCGTTGGTGGTGCCTTGCAACTTCGTTGTCTCAAAGTCGAAATGACATCCTTCATTCAGACAATCAGAGCTAGAAAAGCAGGATCTATACGCTTAGTATTGTACTAGTTAGTGAGTGAATCGCACGTCTCATGTGAGACTTCATGTTGGACATGTCTTGACTACTAGCACAGCCTTGCACGCATACAACATTACTACGCATGTAAATATATGGATGTCCATTCAGACAGACATTTGGTGGTGGACTGAACCGGAACTGTATTTCCTTACGTACCGTCCACATCGAGACGAGGGATACACTCATCTCGTCGTTCCATAACGTGAATCTTGGAGACCATTGTCGACACTACAGATGTAAAGCTCGTAACATCTGTATAGTAATGCAAATTCTTGCAGATTGAGGTGCGAGACTGCAAGTGGTGGTGGTGGAACGTTGATTCTGAGCCAGTGCGTGGATGTCATGAAGTTTCTGAAACTTGCGTGCAACCACGTTGCAAGCTGCTAGAACACCTTGACCTGCGATTAGCACACAGACGCCCACTTGCTGGATCGAAAATCACGGACTTGTCGAACGCAGTGTAGAAAGGCTGCTTGTTTCCCGGTTTACATCGTCCGGTTTATCACTCACAGTGCCACCTGACTCATCTGACATTTGAGCTGAGCAAAACAACACGAACGTCTAGCATGAAGTCAAATCGCCAGAGCTTGAAGTGTGTACGGTTGCTCGCAGTATGCAGAAGAACGTTCGGAACGAGTTTCACGCTGCGCCGTCCAAACGGACCACGGGATCAGCTCAAAAATCCCACAACCGAATTCTCGTCACCACCGTTGATTGATCGAGCAATGACGTCAAGCAAACAAACCGTTGGTCGTATCATCCCCACTCGATTCAGCAACACCGTGAACGAAAGCGTATGCACTCGCTCTACAGCTTCCGATGATCACGTTGCAGAGTTCAGCGATAACAGCTCAGCACGGTATCCAGCACAGCAGCAACACGATCAGTTCACCGCAACGCTGCCTTCATCGACGAAATTGTCGCTGCTGGCTGCTTCCGTGACGAGCGTGGCCGAAACGACTAAACGCTTCTTGTTGAGACCTCCACCAGCAAAACATCAAAGTAGCGCAGTATCAGCTTGTCATGCTGCGGTGAATCCCAATAAGCACTTTATCTTTGGTGCCCCGAGCATGGAGGCACTGACCACAAGCGATTTACCTGCACGAACCGTATCATCCACGACTGTGACCCTGTCGATCAATCCTCCAAAACGGGCAACGTTTAGGAAGCGCAAGGTGAGCGTCAAATCCACATCTTGTCGCGAGCAGTGCCGATCGAACCAAGCTCGGTACCGCCAAAGGCAGCGGGAATACGTGCTAAAGCTCGAGTTGACCGTTGCCAAACTGCGTGCTGAAATCCCGATGCTGGAGATCCAGCGTCGTCGTCTTCACTACGGTTCCGAGCAACGCGTCTGGGACGTCGGGCTCGAGTACTTCCGGCTCTTCCGTTACGGAGTTGGCAACTCTTTCAAGCAAGGATTTCCAGACGCTTGTGGTACCCCACGAGCTTCGGAAGCTCAGAAACAATTAATGTTTCTCCGATCAACCATGGCACGGGATGTTGCGTTTGGTAGCGTGACTGGGGTCGAGGTTCTGATGGAGCACTGGCAACGATTGTCAGAGTATCACGATAATCTGCATTTCCACCTTACGCACATGGAGAAGCTGTCCGAGAGTATCGTCACCGCTACGGCCATAATGAGTGTGACAGTCACGAAAACCACGCTCGAGCGCGTCTTCTCTCACCTCTTGGAGTCCGACAATGTAAAGGACTTATCAGTGGCTGTGAATCTGCTTGGCCACAAGCTGGACTACCCATGCTCCGTGATCTTTGTGTGGGACGAAGAAAGTAGCTTGGTGGAGCGAGTGGAGACCGATATCGATACAGTATCGCCGTTGTTGGAATTCTTAGGTAGCCTCAAAGACACGTCCCGCGTGATTGAACGAGCCGAGCTGACTCCAACCAGCTATATCGACGTGGCAAGCCGACCGACAGCATGATCCGAATACCATGACTATGACTACAAAACCATATGCTGCTGTTGGCCAGGCCCGTTTCTTGTCATTAGCTCTCATCTGGTCGTAATCAATGTCTCTCGTCTGTGCAAAGATATGCTCTTCCTGCTGTTACCAACCATTGTTGGTTGCCAACTTTCAGTCTCTGTTCATCGACGATAGTCCAGCCGAGAGGCGCATATCCACACAACTTGGGCTGGCGACAGCGAGGAAATCCCGCACGTTTCCAAAATCGTCGAGAGCTGTGCCGAATCGTCTCCATTCTCGCATGCGAATGCAGTCGACCCATCGTCGAGAGCTTTGCACACCTCCAGTCGTCGTGCTGCAGGCATTTCCAAAAGGTGGCACACAGCCTGAGTGAGTCGGAAGTATGACCGAGGCAGTGGCTTCGTCGATCCTGCTGCAAATATGGCTATGAGGGATTTAACGTCCTCCACGAATTGACGCGTCCCTGAACTGCTTAGTTGAGTAACCTCCACCGTCGAGACAGGATTGTAGAACGCATCAAACAAAGCGCTATCTAGGGCCGATGCTAGAGGCTCCCAAAGAATGGATCGGCACTCGGGGAGAAGCAGCGTACGCGCGTGGGACAGCACATTGCTGATGAGTGTGTACGAACTCGCCAATTCGGAAGAGACAGTTTGCGTGATGGACAGACGGTCGTTGTTTATGCCACCGTCATGTGCGTCTGTCCAAAACGTGCTACAGGCATAACAGGGACGCACGCACAGCACACAAGCACGAATGAGTCAAACATGTTAGAAGACGATGAGCAAGCGAACAACGCTCAAGTAGAACCACCTTCGTACCTTGCGCAGTACATTTCTACGTCACGTTCCGCTGTGTGCACCAGCACGTCCTTGCCGCCATCCAGCAGCATCGTTGCCAGCGAATTGAGCCATGAGATCTGCCGCTCAAAAATCGTATGCGAGAACAGAAGTGACTCGTCTTGCTCTTCCTCCAACTCATTTGTCGGACTGTCTTCGCTAGCTGCTAGCTTATCGGCCGTAGTAGTTCCAGCTGACGAAGCTTTACTTACTTGGAAGGCTGCATCACCATTTTCCTCAACCTTATCGTCAGTTTCTGCACGGCCGAACAGGCTTTTCATCGTCTTGGACCCGACCGAATACGCCGCGGACAAAGCAGCGGTGGGCCCGATCATGGCACCCGGTCCGGCAAGCGCTTGCCGAACTGCTGTCGCTTCTTCAGTAGCAAGTACAGTGGCTGTCGCACGTGCAAAAACTTGCTTTGAGTAGGCGACGTGCATTCGAAGCACCTGAGCTCGCGTTGTCTCCGATCGTGCAATCTTCCTCGAAAGCTCCAGGAAAACATTGCTCTGATCCCACGCCGCCAATGCGTGCGTTACGTACTGCACTGCATTTGCCACTACAAACAGCTCTCCCCAGATGTACAGGATGTTCGCGTCGGTGGTTCTACTAGTTAGGGCGCCAATCAGCCGGCGTCCACGAGCCTCGCAGAGCTCTCCGAATCGACACAAAAGTGGCAGATGCACCTGCATCACGTACAAGTAACGGTGCTCTTCCGCCTCCATGAGCATGAATCGCTGGGAAAGGAAATCAAGCATGGCCACAAACCGAAGTGCAACTGGTGGAATAAGCACTGTCTCGTGCTCTGACACGGCACCCCCCGCGCATCTGTACACCTCCTCTTCCAGACGCCAGACCGAAGCCTGTTTCCCGTAGCAGGCGTCTAGCTCGAATCCGCTACTGGAGGATTCGACTTCGAAAATCGACGAAAGCACACGCTGCGCGTACTCAACGTCGGCATTCGTCCAAGCGAATAACACGTCATGATCCGACGTAAACACATCAATGCAGCGAGGATATGCGCGACGATCCGTGCTGGCCCAGGAGTCGTAGCCAATGTCCTCGTCAATTGCGTGTTCGAAGAGCAGGGTCTCGTCCAACGTATGGCACAAGAGCGGTGGATGCTACACGAAAAAAATGCATCCATCAGTAAGCAGAGAAGCTACACAAAAAGCGAGAAGTATCGTCTTCTCACCGTCAACAGCGTCGGCAAGTCGTGCGTAAGCTTACGACAGACAGCTCGAATGAGTCCGCGCAACATCAGAATCTGAGCATCCCAGCAATGGATCTCGTTGCGAAAGCGATGTAGCTCTGGAGTAAGTGCGTGTGCGAGAAACCGTGTGTGTGCACTGATTTGCTCCTGCACGTAACTCAAGTACCACTCCGGCTTCGCCAGTTGATTCGTCGCACTATCGAGGCGCTCAAAGTGGTAGCGAAAGCGCAGCAGCAGCGGCTCCAGCAAGCAATCCATTGCCCACAGATTTATCGTCGTCGTCGTCGGTGACGACGTAGACTGCTGACTAAGTTGCAGCGTCAGCAAGAACGCGAACGCCTTCGATACGTTTTGCAGCTCAGCTTCCTACCAGCAAGACAGCAGCAGGTAACGACAACATCGTCAACGTTGATAAAGTTACCACCCGTTACAATAACTCTATCATCTCGTCTTTACCTTGTCCGTCAACTCGTCCAGAGTTGCCAATGGTTCGGGCCACTCAATTGCCTTCAACGCCATTTTAAGCTTTTCCAGTGCGAAACGACGCAAACAAGACGACAGCTCATCCACTCGACGCAGTGCTTCTCTCTATCAGGCAACAATAGCAGCAGATACCCGACAACAAGCATGAAAGACAACACACACAAACACGTGGCAGCAGCAGAAAGACCATAGCAATAGCACGACAACAAGACACCAAAAAGAATATGGAAAAGCACAATAACAGACGGAAAACAACACCGACAAGGATAAATAAACCGACAGTAGAAGGAAGCAGATCATAGACAAGCACAACAAAACAATAGGAGCGAATAGTGAGTCACTGGACCACACTAAACGGCAAAAAACGCCCCTAAAACCCACTCGAAGGACGGGAACATCGCGTGGAATGGCAGCCACAGTCTCTGCAAAGTGCCGAAAAACCGCCAGCGCCTCCGGCGTCCCGTGAACAGCTTGAGCTTCAACTTCTTGGCTTAAGTTCTCGATCTGCACGGCCGTTTCAAGATACTTGGCTCGGCTCTGGAGCGTCTCGAGCTTGCTCACACTTGGACAGATAATGCTCTTCAACTGTATGAAATGCTGTTCGATGGCACTCAGCTGAGGTTGCAGTGATTGGAGATCGTTGGAAATTGCTAAAACGTCGTCATGCTCGTTAAGTGTACAGATCCTGGCCGGGGTCGCAAGTGAATCCAGCGCCGTCGTCAGATCCGTGAGCTCCTTCTGCGAGCGCAGACGCAGTGCTGAGAGACCTGCAGATAGTGTAGACCAGTCAACATCTTGCTCGGATGCGTCTGCAGGCAGCAGCGTCGAGCCGAGCGTCGACAACGGAGACACTGGCATCACTAGGAATTACGGCGCAGAATTACGTGTGACGAAGGCACAAAAACGAGGTTGAAGGGAATTTCTGCCGTCAGATAATTGATCGGTCGGTCGTCGGTCGGTCGGAAATCAATTTGAGTCAAATCTGCTGGATAGGCATCAGATTTTGGGTACTTCTTCGTGTCGCGGACGATTAGTTGCGCTTTCTTTTTTGCAAGCGAAGAAGAGCTCGTCCCGTTATCTGATTGGCGCACTGAAGACCAGAACTAGATCTGCGTGGGCATAGAATTCGGTCATTAATGCACTGAATGGTGGCAACGGATGCAATCAGGACACCTTCAACTACAAGGACGGGACCAAGGATCATAGTCCTTACCACTCAATTTGAGACGTACGTCATCTTCCTCTTCAACGCGAGCCTTCCTAGACGGTAGTAACCATCAGTGACCTCGCTCTCGAGATTCACTGGCTATGCTGCTGTGGCATCGCTACATCAGGCGTTGCATCACACACCAATCTGTCGTCTACAGGACCTGTAGCTGCACGAGAGGATAGAAAGCAATTCACTCGTAGTGACAATGCATCTGGAATTCAGATGATCGTTCGTGATATCGATCAACAATGTAGCGACTGCGCTGGCCACAACTGCAGTTGTGCACCTAATTTCCAGACGCTGAGTCAGCTCCTGTTCTGCTGCAAGAAAATATGACAAGCGTGCAGTGAAGTGCAGTGCAATCAAGACGGTTGATGTGCTACTCTGCGACATGGCAAACATCGAAACCTTGAATTTCTTCCCGCACGAGGATACCAAGATTGCTTCTCTTTGACGGTATCTCTCCAGGACAGGTCGGCCAACATGTCGAAACGGTGCAGACTTTGGATTCGACAGTGCCAGCACGTCGTTTCGATCCGACGCGACCACTTGCCTCCCGGTAACTCGATACAAACTGCGTGTTTACAGCACGACCTACAAGATAGTATAGACATCCGTCGACTCCTAAAGTCCCCCTTGTCACGCATTGCATAAATACCTTGTTCTATTATTATTTGCACTGCAATCAGCACCACATCGACGTCAGCTCTATCGAGCCCCAAACAGTCCGGATCTTCACATTTGCCCACTCTCATCCCACAACGTGCCCACAACAACTAAGCAGACGGAGCAGCTACTTTCGATCCACTGACGTGACACAATGCCATGTGACGAGCCACTTGGTCAGCACTCAGTCGACGTTGGGGCTGGAGCTGCAGCATACACGACAGCAAATTGACAGCTGGTCTTGAAATGAGCTTCTGAAAGCCCCAAAGCTCGAGGATTTTGGCCACGCCGTACTTCTGGAGCACGCGCAATGTTGGCGCACAGCGTCGGTCGTCAGCAAAGAGCGGGGACCCGGTCAAGAGGATGAACAGAAGCACGCCAAGTGACCAGATATCAGCTTTCTTCGGGTCGTACGCCCCTCCTTGTGTCACTTCTGGAGCCATGTAGTAGTACTTGCCCACGACATCTGCCGACAGTTTATTCGCGTCTGTGCTCAGTCCAAAGTCACAGATCTTCACGTGACCGTCTTTCAGCAGCACGTTCTCGAGCGACAAGTCCCGATGGGCCACGCCATGTGCGTGGAGAAACGCCAGTCCTCGGGCGACTTGCGAGAAGAGATCGAGGGCGACCGTCTCCGTTACGCGACGATCAGGTTTAGCTGTCACGTACTCGTACAGATCGCCGTCACTACAGAACTCCATTGCAATAAAGACACTGTCCCCGGACGCGAAGAAGCCCTCGCGAGTATACTCGACCACGAATTCACGACCAGGGGCACGTTTTGTCACGGGGTTCTCAAGGAGCTGCACGACCAGCCGCTCGCTCAGCGGGTTGTCCCGCACGACTCGTTCCTGACTCGGCTGTTGCAATAGAGAAACGCCCACGCGCTTGAGCACAACGAGCTGATTCTCCAGTGCCTCGTCCTGGTACAAGGCCGTCTCGCCATATAAAGTAGATGACAACTTTTTGCGTAACGTGTAGCGAGGCAGGACGTCTGTGGACACGTCCGTGACGACGCACGTGGCGTGCATCATAATTGAACTGCTCTAGACGATGTACGAAAAGGGAGGAGCGACGGTGATGATGATGACGATGAATTTCCGCACCCTTGTCGAGCGCAACACCGCAGACAGTCGGCGGCGAGAACGTCCGACAAATGCAATACACACAAACACGAACACTCGGTAGTAGCGAGCAAAAGGGCAAGTGAGCACGATGTGGCAGACGGTAGACGCTCGGTCTTGTCTCTCTCTCTCTCTCTCTCTTTTTTGTGTGTGCGTACAATAGCAGGCAATAGCAGCAGCAGCATAGGGGCAGTTTTTTTTCTTTCCAAGGAACCTAAAGGCACGAAATCGTTGTCGTCATTGTAACGGCTTCTGCTGCTTTTTCTGCGGCCCGGCCGCTGCGGCAGTAGAAACGCGTGTGCTGCAGCTTTGTGAGACACGTCGAGGCGAAACGGTCCGTGACGACGGCATTTCGGGACTCACCTATTCGCTCCAGGCTGACAACCTGGGCCGGGGAGCACGAGGCGAGAGATTTGAGCGGAGACAATCGCCGATCGGGTTGGCAGGTAGCGACCGGTTGGTTCTTTTACGTCCGTGTGTGTCGGTCGTCCTATCGTGACAGCCAGCCCCGTCCACTCGGTAGCTGAGACACACGACACAGTTCGGAGAGGACTTGAGCTCGGTCAAAGGGCGTAAGAGTGAGTTCTTGACGTTGTTGTTGTTGTTGTTGTTGTTGTTGTGCGCCGCTGTCAATTCGAATACCGTCGTACACACGTTCAAGTGTCACTCGCTTACGTTCGTCGCCTGTCTCTTTGTCACTTTGTCGGACGTAGCACGACGGGTCGAATGCGATCGTATTCCAATCGTCGGCACGTCTTTGGTCGACGTTGCAGCATTTGAACCGAGAGATGGTAACAGCTCTTCAGTTCTGTGTGTGTGTGCGCGCTGACTCCATTCACCTCTCGCATTGCGTTCTCGAGTACTGTGCTTGACCGTACACAGACAGAGGTGGAACGGTACTCCGATCTCCGGGCGGGGTCTCGTTTGATCTACTATTGCACACGGTGACATCGCCCTCGTGATACTTTGTTGTCCCGGGTTCGACCTGTCGTTCGTCCGCGAGCTTGACGCTGTTTGGGCTGTCTGCCCCTATGTATGGACCGCGCGTGGGAGTTCCAGACCAATTGTCCGAAAGCCGGACACGCGCTGGATTCGTTGGACTGACAAACGCAACGGGCGACGTGAAGTCACAGGCGTGGCAATGTACGGTAGAGTGGATGAAAGGACCTGTGCTCCGTCGCGCGCTCGTCTCATTTGGAGCACGAATGCATGAGGATAGAAAGTCGACACGATCGATCGTTGACGTCTTGCTTCGATCATGGCATTGTGCTCGATCTTGCATGGAGAGAGTAACAGGCTGTCTTATCACCTTGCGGTTTACAAGATTGCTGAAAAGTCTCTAGCTGCTCGAGCACCTCTACCGGTGGTGTGAGCTGCCGTCCAGGGGCATGTTGAGTAAATGGTTGCGGAGAAACCGGGGTGAAAAAGAGGTCTGTCGCTAGCCGGAAACAAACACTGTCGTCCCCGTCGCGGTTGAACCGGTGTTCCCTGACCGCTACAGCTTGTAGCTGTCGACGCAGTGTTGTTCGTAGTTTGGACTTCGCTTGGTCAGCGCTTGTTTCCTCGTGATTGTGCACCCAGCTGTTCCGCTGTGCCGTAAGGTGGCGAAGCAGATGGAGCACGCTATCCACCGGATTCGTACCCTAGCTCTGTCGATCTCCCCCGTCGTGTCCGGAAACAGACGGCCGATCTCCGCTCTGACGAGATATTGGATGGAGTAGATGTCGAAGCTGAGAGTTGGATGAAGCATTCGTAGTCGTGGACTGAGAAGAGGTCGCAGAAAGCGATCCGTCTTTACCCGACGATACTGTATCAGCATGATGCGGCGATCTTTACATGGTACCACTACGTTGACCGCTTGTTACCATCGAGAGTTGACGTGGAGGGCCACAAGTCCATTCTGCGCACGTAGTGAAGCGTTCATGTTCAAGAATCAGCGCAGTGCTCTATACGATCGCAACATGTGATGTTGTCCCTATCAATGATCGTTCAATGTACCAAACTCGATGCAACTGGTTGTCTCTGCTCGTAACAATACGCGGTAAGATGCCCGCAAAATGACGGCGTTTTTGATGATGCAGTAGTGATGAAAGATCCAATAGGATATTATGACGCTCGCTTAGCCGGCAATGCCGCCTGTCAAGACGTGCTGTGGATGTCTATACGTTGGGGCGTTGGAGCTGATCCTGCAAGGTGACGACGAGGGCTTTTGTGGACTATCGAGGCTTGCGACACAATCAGACGCTGGCTTGCTACTCAACGCCGTGCCTGAGTGATTGTGGTTTGTACACTGCTGAGCATGAAGAACTCATGGGACGTCCTACAGCATCGTGCACAAACAACTCACGAGGGCGTGCTGCTTGCAACATCACTACAACGTAAAAGACAGGAGACACGTACTCGAAGTTGACTCGAAAGCTGATGTTGTGCTTTATAACTTCTCGGTGTACTAGCGAAGGGCAGGTGAGCTAACTTGTGTACCACCAACCTGCAGTGTTGATACGTTACTCTCCAAAATGTGGTTCATTGGCTTTGTCGTGCGGTAGATGGAGGGTAAACAAGGATGTAGCTGCTTACACGTACGCTCGGCTCCCTTTTGCTTATCCTGACGAAGTTCTGCCGCCTTTGCGACACCACGAATACCTTTCTAGCCTTACAGTCGTCCTTTCGAGCATCTTCACACTCTGCAGCATGCAGTGGCTAGTAGCAAGGCCAGCTGAGAACGTGTTGTACGACGATATCTTCGTCCGCGTCGTAAACTACTACACCCTGCATCGGAAGTTAGTTGTCGACAACGAGCTTGTCGATCGGAGAAGAGTCGACTTACTCGAGGGAAGCAAATGAGTGAGTAGCTTAGAATAGCATGAACTCTGTCTGATGCGGACTTGCGCGATGTGATAGTTCTACAGCGAGTCCAGCAGCTTGAATGCGCCGCTGTTGTTGTACACTTCTGTGAAGCTTTCAAGTACCACGCCGAGCGATTGGCAGTGCATCCCGGTAGACGTCAACAGTCTCTTCAGTCGCCGCGTCGTCGACATCCGCTGCCAATGCGAACGCACTCAGCAATAGACACCAATTGATCGTTCCCTCGTTACGAACGCCAATTGTATGACTTCACCATCAGCAAAGGAATCAAAGGGCTGGACGACCAAGGAGTGGCCGATCACACTCTCGATTGACTCTGCAAGTAACAATCGCCGTGGTCGCACCTCAAGCCTCAGTGGACCATGACGCTCCATTGCAAACCCATTCAAGCTTTCACTTTTTCTAGGAGATGTACTAGATAGAGTAGAACTAGGTTCTTGTCGAGCGTCGCATACGACGACAGCATCGGGATCCGCTCGAACCCGCCGTCTGGTTTTCAGTAACTTCACGCTCTCCACGAGTTCATGCACGCTTTTACTCGCACATGCAAGTGATTGCTCGACGAGCTTTGGATCTTGGTCAAGACACTTCCTCTCATACGATACGTCGATGCCTGATATCGTAGATACTGCTGCATGCACAGCCTGCTTCTCTACGGTAGTGGTGGGTCGTCCTGAGTAATGAGGGATACCTTACGTACCATTGAGAAGCACCTTCTTCTCTAGCTACTACACACATCTTCTCACAACTTGCTAAGCTCGTGAGGAATCCAGGCATAATGCAGGTACGTCTGCCTGCTGGAGCAGCTGGTGGGACAGCGACTTCTAAGCCTTGCAGCTCCTGCTTGTCAATCTCGCCCGCCGAGCAGAACACTGAAGCTTGCGACGAGCTTGATGTTCTTTTCGATTCGGACAGCTATCAAGCTGGAGTGGTATTCCTGCCGTCCATGTTGACCAGCTGGTCATCAACCCGACAGCAGGCGATACGGGCCATCACGATTGACGTCGGATAGTTCTGCAGAAGACGTGGGAATCAGAGCACTTGGCTTTGGTGCCGCGACTTGTCTGTCTACAGGTGGCGAGCGCAAGTAGAGCCAGCGTGTTTGTTTGCATTGAGATGGAGCTATCATCGCTGCAGTCAAAACATAGACGCTGAGGGGATGAGATGAGGCTTTGCAAACACGATCGCCTCGCTTATGTCGGTCGCAACAGGACGATATCTAGTATTCGCTGCAGCGTTGTAAGGTCTCGACGCCGCTTTGAGACGCCTTGCACCTCGAATCGCCTCAAGTCCCAGACCGAAACTTCTATCTTCACGATTTGGTCGTTACCACCTGTCTTGATGCTTTTGGTCACCGAGGAGCCCTTGTCCGACAAGTCAACGCCTCTTCGTCGAGCTCTTTTAGATGGGGAGACGACGACGTGTTTGCTTCGGTAGTACACGTCGGGGTGCTCATTCCCACTTTCTACTGTTCGTACCGAGGTCGAGAGTAGTTAGTCCCTCTCTACGCTGCCGACATGGAGCTATTCGCCGGATTTAACGCTGAAGAACTGGCAATGATGCATGAGTTGCTGCGGCTCTTGGTTGAAGACGACGACGCGCTGACTCAGCAGCCGATACCGGGCACACTTCACGCCCGTCAAGACAGCCAGAGTATGTTTCAAGGACTGGCTGGAGCATCCCCGAAACTAGGAGGAGGGACGACTTTTGACAGTGGCTACTACTTGTGGAACATGGGCGGTCCCAGCAGCATGGCGTGGAATGCACCGCCGGCAATGCTCGTCCCTGCACCGCAGCTCACTACGAAAGCGACTCGCACTCGGACAAGGAGCACCGCGTTGGCTAGTGATGAGGAACCGATGCTCAAACGTGGCCGCTTGGATGTTACGCCGACGATGATGCCGCCGATGAACCGCATTGCTGTCCCCGATGGATACTCCTACTATTAGTGGAGCCACCGGACCATGAACTGAGCTTTCGGTGCCTATCTGTCGCGGAACGAACGCGCAGATGGAGCTCTGGTGCCGAGCACGTAGATATTTAATCGCACCCAATGCAATCGTGGACACCATTAGTCAGTTCGTTGTTGCTTGCTCCTTGTTCCCTTGCTGACAGAGAAGACAGTCGAATGAGATCTGCTGCAGAGGTAGCCAGCCAGCTTTGAGCTTACGCTATTCCATGATGAGCCCTGCTAATGTGATACATGCATGATCTTCGACTACTCTAGTCGACGGGGTTCATGCCGTTGTACCACAGTCAACCACGTCTGACCATCGTCAGCGTGTAATCTTCGTCAGTTCAGCATGAGGGAGATGCTCCGACGGTCTCTAGTCGATCAACAGTTTACAATATGCATGCAGTTGTATGTGAAGAACCGAGTGAACTACTGCACAAGGCCAGTGTCGAACGACCAAGTGGTTGAACGTGACCCACCACGTGCAGCGATGATCGTGGATGTGTACAGGCCAGCAGTACTTCGACCTCAGACTCAGCATGCTCGAGTTCCATTCACTTTGACTTTCTCCTTGGGATACGGGGGTGAAACAAGCACTGCCTGGAGCTGGACTGCGACTATGCAGCACAACAACTGCAAGTCCTGCCACTATGCAGGCAGGTTCAAGTTCCAAATCCTTCCCTCACTTCTAGCCTCCTGGTCATCCAGTGCGCGAGATTGACAAGCCGTTCACGGAAGAGCGCGTGGCTGCTCTGCAACGAGGCCACGGCTACGTGATGCAGTCACACTTCCACTTTGTCGATGATCGGAGACTGCACCACTTGTCGCTCGACCAGGTTTACCTGAAGTCGTAGCAGGGAACCGCACACTGATCAACTCGGTGTCACTTTATGTATCATGCAATTTCTAAATCTGTGTCAAACCGACAGGTTTCTATTGAGCTCCAGACTGCTCGCTCACTGCATCAAGTCCCGCAGATTCGATGCAGCTCATTGAAGTTGATGCGTGCACCAATCACAGACGCCGATCGCATCGCCATCTGCTTTTGACGCTGCGAACTTAACAACATCGATAAAAAAGCACTTATTTTCCATTCATTTGAGCACGTCGTTCATTACGGAATCTGCCACCAACCCCCAAAACGACATCCACATGCTCCGCCGCCAACTATTGCGTCACGTCCACCGCCGCTTGGCCACGGCCATAACAGGACCAAAAGGGAACGCGGGAGGTGGTCGATGTTTTCGAAGCACCTCCAGCGAGTCGCTCCTGCCCATGCCGCTCACGGTCTTAACCGACGAGGAGCAAATGTTCAAAGACTCGGTCGCGCGCTTTGCCGCTGACGTGATTGAGCCAAACGCTCGTCACATGGACGAGACGGGCGAGATGACGCCGGAGGTCCTTCGCGGCTTATTTGACAATGGGGTGCGTCGTTGATTGGATGACGTACTTGAAGTTGACGATTGAACGTTTCTGATTGGCTGATTATCGGTTCGGTCTGTTGGTTGTTACTGTTATTTTCCACCAATCCCAGCTGCTCGCGGTACAGATCCCGGCCACCTATGGCGGCGTCGAAGCGTCGTTCATGAGTCTCATCTTGACGATCGAGGAGCTCTCGCGCACCGACGCGAGCGTGGGACTGCTCTGTGACCTGCAGAATACCGTCGTGAGCAACGTGTTCTGGCGCTACGGCACGGAGGCCCAGCGTCAAGCGTATCTGCCTCGTCTGTGCCGTGATACCATTGGCAGTTTTTGTCTCACGGAGCCGGAAGCCGGGAGCGACGCGTTCGCACTTAAGACGAAAGCTGACGTAGCTCCGGACAAGAGCTACTATACGCTGAATGGGGAGAAAATGTGGATCTCAAACGTCGCACATGCCGACGTGTTCCTGGTCATGGCCACGGTGGACTCGTCGTTGGGCTACAAGGGCATCACGTGCTTTGTCGTGGAGCGTGACATGCCGGGCGTCTCCTTTGGACCACCGGAGAAGAAGCTCGGACTGAATGCGTCGTCGACGTGCTCGGTTATCCTCGAGAACGTCAAGGTCCCAGTCGATAACGTGCTGGGTGACGTGGGGCAGGGCTACGCGATTGCAATTGGCCAGCTGAATGAAGGCCGCATTGGCATTGCAGCGCAGCAGCTCGGCATTGCTGAAGGCGCGTACCGCCACGCAATGCCGTATCTTTTCCAGCGAAAACAGTTTGGTCGTGCAATTGGCGACTTCCAGGCTATGCAGCACCAGTACGCCGAACTGGCGCTGGAGATTACAAGTGCTCGTCTGCTCGTTTACAATGCTGCTCGGCTCAAGGATGCAGGGCATGAGTTTGTCCAAGCTTCTTGTATGGCCAAGCTGCACGCGTCGCGCGTGGCGGAGCGCACGGCTTCGCGATGTATCGAGATGCTGGGCGGTGTCGGGTTCTCGAAACAGCTCCTGGCGGAGAAGTTTTACCGGGACTGCAAGGTTGGCACCATATACGGCGGGACGAGCAATGTCCAGCTCAGCACGATTGCTCGGCTGGTCAAGCGGGAGCTCGTCTAGTCTCGAGTGTGTGAGCTGCTCGAGCGAATGGAGGGAGATTTGCATTCATGTGTTTGAAGCAGGTGGCTTTCGTCAGTTGATCACGAGACACACCAGGCATCAGGCCATGAACATTGACCATCTAGGCACCTTTGTTGACCATCTGTGTCAGACCTGGACGTCAGCAGATGTTCTGCGCCGAGCTTTAAGAAGAATCCAGGCACGTCCACGCTTTGAGCAAGCGATGTATTAACGGAAGAACCGATGCTTACGCTTTCAAGCAAGTACAATGCCACCACATTTGATCGGTCTACATTTAACATACCCGCAGGCTCGCTCAGTAAGCAAGATGCTAGCTTGCTGATACTCCCGTGACAGGGTCGGACTTCATTTGATGCGAGCTGTAATTATTTTTCTACGCGTGTGCATGCTACGACATTCTCCAAGCAAAAAAGAAACACTACGACAGCTTGACTTCGACTACATCGTTGAAAATCGGATACGCTAACACTTGGGCCAGTGAAATGCGCTGTCGAGGGTCAATCTCCAGCATCTTTTCCAGCACTATGATCGTGTCTTTCGACAGGCGATCGTCATACCCCCACGACGTGAGCACAGCACCGACTCCGTACTGTGCCAAAGCCTTGAACCCTTTGACTGAAGGCGAGGCAAGAGAGAGCAGTGGCGAGCCCGTAAGGAGGACAAACCACATGATCCCCAATGACCACACGTCCGCCAGTGTGGGGTCATACCGGTCCCCTGCCACAACTTCCGGGGCCATGTAGAACTCCTTGCCAACTTGGCCGCCGTCACACATCCGTCGGGCATCCGTGGACACGCCAAAGTCCGTGATCTTGCACACGCCCCGACTGAGTAAAACGTTCTCGAGCGACAAGTCTCGATGGGCGACGCCCACTGTCGAATGTAAATAGTGGACACCAGCCAGCACTTGCTGCATCAATGGCAGCACTTCGTGCTCGTCTAGACACGACGAGGCGTCCAGTCGTTCCGCTACGAACGCGTGCAAATCTCCGCCACTGCAGAGCTCGTTCACGAGGTACAATCTCCGATCATGGACAAAGTGGAAGTACGACTGCACGACGTTGCAGTGGCCTCCTTTTGCTTCGAGCAGAGCAGCCACGTGCTCTTCCTGGAACGGGTTGTCGATCTCGCGTGTCAAATGGACTTGGGCTCGACGTTCAGCTGCTCGCGTGAGGGAAATGCACTTGACTGCTACGAAATTGTCGTGCCCCGGGAGCTCACACTCGAGCACTTCGCCGTACAGAGCGAGACTCAGTTGCCGGCGGACTCGGAAAAGCTGAGGAGTAGCCATGACCAGTCGAATGCGTAAATGAAGGAAGGAGGGAACGAAGTCGGATGTCCTGTTGTGGTCGGCTTACCGCTTTGGCAGCTGGAATTTTGACACGGAGGAGAAGGCCAGTCACCAGCTCGTCATCTGACCCTTCTTCTTTTTTTTCTTCTTCCCGGCCGACCATGATCGAAAGTCTCAAATCCTCTGAAGGTTAATAACGCGACATTTCTAGAGTTTAGGACGTGCACGCGTGTATCAAAACGAACTGCTGAAATCGAATAGCATGTCAGACATGATGGAGTGAAAGCGCGTGCCATCTTGCCGAAAAAAGCAGACGTTTCAGCGACGTCCGACATCCGCGTCTGTTCCGAGCCCGACGCGGCACTTCGGTAGCGTTCTTCGTCAAAGACGGAAGCGACTATCGTTCCAGGAAATCTTCGACCAGTGTGAGGAACGTCGCAGACGAAGCGCTGCCGTCGTCGCCGACGTTGAAGCTGACCATCACTCCTACTTCATGTGGTTCACACCGATTCTTGACGCGATAAGTCCGACGGTGCCTAACCTCCTCGCGAACCACTCATAATGAGCCTCTTCCGACGCCTTGGGCGCTCTGTTCAAACGGCCCCGTGGCCGCGATCGGGCGCTTCGCTTAGTGCTGCTTACTACCAGACAAACGGACCTTTATCTACACCAGTACCGACGGTAGCTGTCCGGTCTTTGCACGCATCACCACCGCGTGGCAACTCGGTCTTACTCGGTGGTCTCGGCGTTGCGGGTGCCGCGTTAAGTGCGAGATATGCGCTTCAGATCTACGAAGCCTATAAGAACCGTCCAAAGAGCGACAAGGTGGCGTCGTCGTGGAAGTACCGGAACTTTTACGACGGTCCGTTTGAAGACAAGATGACGCGACGGGAGGCGGCGCTCATCTTGGGCGTGCGGGAGAGCGCGTCGACCGAGCGCATTCGCAATGCGCATCGGAAACTGTTGGTTCTGAACCATCCGGATACTGGCGGCTCGACGTTTCTAGCGACGAAAATCAATCAGGCCAAGGAGATGCTGCTTAGTGGAAGCAAGTAAAAGTAGATGCAAAGGGAGGAGGGGAGATGGTTGCAATGGAGATGACAGGAAGCTGGACTTTAAATGACGCGTACGAGTTGCTAGCGTTGGGGCGATGCTGAGGGGTTCGAAAAGGAGCAGGCCTAGCAAGCTCGTTTTGCACAAGATGCTGGCTAGGCAGCAGCTACTGGGGAACCGAATGTCGAAAGATTCGGATGCGTTAAGTCATCCGCTAAACGTGGTGCTGCGTGATGATGCATCCATCTCCTGGCGTTTTCTGTTTTGTGCTTGCGTTATGCCAACATCCGGACGATTTACAAAAAAGAACACTGCCCTTTCTGGTCGTTTTCATTTCATGTGCGGGCAGTCCATGACGATCGCAACAAGTGCTTTGGCCATGGCTTCCTGAAGAGCTCCAGAGCCCAAGAGCTTCTGAGCCCAAGAGCTCCAGATCTCAACGTCTTCTGATGATCTAACGTCAAATGAGTGCTGTTCTTAACTGACCACTGGATAGAAACGACTGTCTTGTTTTACGTCCACAGCACTATATCATCATTTTCTAAACCCACCTGACAAATATTGACCCACAAGCCGAATATTCACTCTATTTCGTCCGGATCAGATCGACGCTAACTTAAGGTCTGCAGTCTGTCCATTTCCAGGTTGCTTTACCTGCTACTTCACGACCCGCATCCCTATTTCCATACTTCCTCTCATACCGCATACTCTCCCTCCTCTCTCGGTACCCTCTATCCCAGGTCGACCTCCGCACCAAGCAAGTCCTCGGTCATGGCTGCTCAAGCTGGAACCGCGAGCGTATTAGGGAGCGTCTCCAGCGGCGAGTTCATCTCCGTTGCCGGTCTCCGCGTGGACGGTCGTCGCAGTCACGAAGTGCGTCGCATCCGCACGCGTTTCGGCCTCTTCTCGCGCGTCGATGGCTCCTCCTACTATGAACAAGGCAACACCAAAGTCGTGGCTGTGGTCTACGGCCCTCGAGAGCTCCGTACGGCGTCTACAAGCAGCAGCAGCAATAGCAATAGCGCAGCTGTAGTGGGTACAGGAGCTGGAGACGCAGTGAGCAGCTCGCAGCCGCGGGCGACGGTCCACTGCGAGTTCACGCAAGCGACTTTTGCCACGTCGGAGCGCAAACCCCAGCGCAGTAGCGACCGCCGGAAGCTCGAGATGTCGCTGGCCGTCAAGCAGATCTTTGAAGCCTGTATCCAGACGCAGCTGTACGCGCGCTCGCAGATTGACATCTTTGTACAGGTTCTGCATGCGGATGGTGGGGAGCTGCCGGCTAGTATCAATGCCATTACTTTGGCGCTCATTGATGCCGGGATTGCACTGAATGACTTTGTCGTGGCGTCGTCGGCTGGGTACTTGCAACAGACGATGCTCTGCGGTACGTGAGGGTCGAGTTGTTGTTGTAGGTTGTCGTGGGTCGATGTACTGATGGGGATGCATTGGGTGGTGCTGCATTTGTTGCAGACTTGAATTACGCCGAGGAAGTGGCGCGCGCACCGCAGATGGTGATAGCACTGAACCCGCGGTCGCAGAAGCTGAATCTACTGCAGATGGAGTGCAAGCTGCCGCTCGAGCTCTTTGAGAGTCTCATGGAAGTCGCCATGGACGGGTGTAACCAGATGTACGACTTGCTGCAGAATGCCGTGCTGGAGAACACGAAGAAGCGCCTGCGACTGCGCAATTCTGCAGTGGCTGCTTGACGAGTCAAGAACAGGACGATCGATCCAGAACGAACAAATGAACGTGACGAATTGAAGCAGTAGACGTAGCGCGGACGAGGTCTCTCTGCGTCACATGCATCAATTGATGGCTAGAGGTTGTATCTACTTGCGAATGCCGCCGCTCTATTCCATGAGCCCAATCTGTACCCATTTGCTACTGTCACACATCGATCGCCCTGCTCGTTCTGTAGCCATTTCTGCTAAAGTACGATGACTCGTTTATCGCGAATCAAGCTGGTTTTCCTTTTCAGCCAATCAGAACGCGTCATTGTGTTCGCGGCAAGTGCATGTTTGACCTCAATTTTATCGCGCGAACGCACTTGTCGATATCCCTCGCGCCGCCCAAACTATGGACCGTCACGGCGTCCGTACGCATCACGAGATGCAAATAGACCTCTCAACTGATGCGCAAGAGAACAAGGATCCCAACGGTATTCGAATCGCCGCCAAGTTGCTCCAAACCGCGCCAAAACAAGCGATTAACCGTCGCAGTGCACCAAGGTCCAGCACCACTGACTGTTTTACGCCCCGTCGCGCACTCCACAGCATCGATAGCAACTGCGTTTTATCAGCAATGGACTCTACAAGACGTGGACAATTGGACTGTCGTTCTTTCGATGTTAAAGACCCAGCAGAAGCTGCAAAATCGCCCCAAAAAGCGTCACGATCGACTCCAGACACTCCTGTAGCTGGAAAAGAGCTCGTTACTGACCGTAACAATCGTGTTACTTCAGCTGAAAATGCTGCAAATCTGTTGACAAGTTCTTGTCGTCAATTGGAGCTCCAGGAGAGCGAGAACTTGGCCTGGATGGACATGATGCTCGCCTTGCTGGAGAAGCGCTATGGTTCTACTGGCGCGCTTCCAGTGTCTCTTACGGACCTGGAAGCTGCCAATATGTTCAACTTGTCATGGGTCAAGAGCCTTAAGACGGGATTTGCCAATGAACAAGCTCTGTCCAAGCGTTCGCGAAGCTTGGACGATACTAAAACCAAGACTTTAGTTGCTGGTACTTTTCATGAGGGCGATGATGGGAGGTTTTCACTTTCGAGCTCAAGATGTTTGCAGCAACAACATCTCTTATTGCACTTGGATCAGGAGTCTGAGCAGACAAAAGCAAGCAAACGACAACGTCTCGCGCTGCGACATGCGCAGCAGATTCAAGTCTCGAGTGCTGCGTCAGTCTCTAGTTGTGGATGCAAGACTGGCTGTCTCAAGATGTACTGCACGTGCTTTAGCTCTCGAGGATTCTGCCACGATGGATGTGCCTGTGACGAGTGCAAGAACAGCCATGTGAACAAAGCGGAACGTGTGGACGCTATTCAAAAGTATTTAGTCAACGACCCGCGCGCGTTCTCCTTTGCGTTGGTGCCTCGAGATGCTGTTACGACGGGCTTCCTTCACCTTTTGCCAGAGGTGCGATGTGAACCCTGTTGTTGTTTTTGTTGTGTGTTTGTCATCACTAAAGACGTTGCTTGCAACTAACGTTGCTCTTTTTCTTTTGCTGTAGAAAAGTAGCACGGTCGTCATGCGCGGGTGTCGCTGCCAGAAGTCCAAGTGTATGAAGAAGTACTGCGAGTGTTTCCAAAATGGTGTTGTGTGCACATCGCACTGCCGCTGCGTGAGCTGCTCCAATAACAGCGATGCCTTATCGTTGCAAACAGAGCATCACGCTCGTGCTTACGTCGAGCGTGGTGCTCGATCGGAATCGGTGACTTCCAAGCCGAAGGCATTCCATTCCGTGCAAATCACTGTGACAAAGCAGCCACGCCGGAATCACGTGGGCAAGACTCTGCGCTTGAATCTATGAGCTGCAGTCACAGTTCAAATCTCGTGCGAAAGCATACTACAAATAGAACACAATAGTCGTCTTTGCCATGTTCGTCTATTTCATTGCTGATAGTTGCAGACGGATAAGCTTGGGGAAAGGTTCAGTCGTACGTTGAAAGAAAGCTTACAATACGTGCATCGTGTGGTGGTAAGCAACAATAACCACATTATATCACCGGCAGATTCGTATCGTGCAGCAGCGATGTTAAGTATCGACAGATTATACTTACTCCGATACTTGCGATACCCAACCAACCTTATCGCACTGACCCTGCTCGAACGTCACGACATTAGCAATTATGCTTGCTTGAATCTGCACCTCGATAAGCTCGACGTTGCTTGATTTCTTGTTATGTATCCCGAATATATGTTTACAGCTCACATAAACTGCCATTTTGCCTGCAATCCCCGTTCAGTACTCTCCAAATCTTAGTCAGAGCTTGTTAAGAACTCTGTATCCGAACCATTGACGATAGGTTCAACATCCAGCCAGAACCCTTCTCGTAAGCATTACTGGGAAAACCACACCACCAAAAAAGTACATCAGCCATCCTTAATGCTGATTTCGTTCCAATTCCAATGGCCGAAATACCCACTTGTGGTCAAAGACGATGACGCGTGGCAAAGGCATGATGGATGCATGAAAACGCAGACCATGATGAAAAACTGTGAACGTTCGTGAACAGAATGAAGGTACCGGTCTTTTAGTAAGCGGTCATACTGACATTTGTCTGACGCGAACAAAAGGGCTAGACCCGGATTTCATCTACTCCAGGTTAACACATTGCATCAGTCGGACGTAAACTCGTAGTATTGCAAGTGGAGAGCAGAGGTGATACAGATACTTACTTAGGGGAAGGATGGTACGGTGGACGTGTCGCCTGGTTGATGGTTCCGATTATAGGGCAGCATGTGGACATTTCCTTGCAATCAGCTAAAGAAATCTCTTGCAAGCACAAGAGACGACCCCTGCATTGTTTCAATGACGTCTCGTGCGCCCTCCTTTTACATGACCTCCAAGTCTGTCAACGAAAAGCAGCCAAGAGAACATCGAGGATCAGGCTGCCTCCTGATAATCTCCTGGGTTTTGTTCGATCCGATCGATTCACTTAGCGACCGTGGAGAAGTTTGATTGACATGCGTGCACACCATAACGACGCAGTCAAGTATGTCCCCGTTAGGTTCAACTGCAGCATGATGTGATGTACCCATTGTACTTCCAAGACCGACTGAGGCGTTTGCATCACATCAAGAATAGCAATACTTTGTCAACCAGGATACAACGTATACTTGGGATGTCGTATGAAAACGATGAAGCAACCTGATAGCCCACACTACATGTCGACAGATTACTGAATCCATTTGCCGAGATCGTGTAGATTGATAACTTGCTTGTCCAGGCTCGATGACGCTAATTTGTATAAGAAGAGACTACACCTTGTCCTTCCCAGGTAATTGTACAGCGCATCTCTCAGGGTACTCAAGCACGATGGCAAATTTACTTGTGCTTCATAGAGCCATTCCAAGTTGTTGTTCTTACGTTTCAAGCTAATTGCATTGTTGAGAGCCTACATCATCAAACGAGTGTAAAACTACTGTCACGATTTTATTGATACTTGTTGATAGATGAACTGCTTCACTACACGAAGAACTTTGATATCCGTACTAGCCTCGGCCAGGACGCGACTTCATCAACGGTTGCTAAGCATGAAGAAAATCAGACAAGTACTAAAATCAAGGTGTTTGCGCCTAAGCTGACTTGTTGCGATGATGCCCACGAAGAATCGTTGATACGTTATCTCCCTTGTGTAGGAGCTGACATCTCCGTCAGTGTTAACTGCCGATCATGAGCCATCACATTAGCCGAAACTCGTGTTGAACGTCTATAAAGACGGCGCAGCTTTCTGTTACACGAAGCTGTGCAGAAGCTTAGAACGAGAAGGACATGCTCGTCGACGCTTATCTGGCATGACCCTGGATGATAAGCAACACTCAGTTTACGCTGAACACCACCGTTCGATTCAAACTCTAGATGCTGCTGTGTGCTCTACCTTGCAAACGAGAAATCTGCCATACACACCACAGCCGTTGTCGTCACCAGTGATATATTTCCGTTCACAAAAGCGTCCATGTGCTTCCTTAGCTTCTTTGTTTACAATTGCTTGACCCAAGCAATTGAACACTTCATGAAGCTCGCCTTCACACCTACATAAACTGCGGCACCTCCATACCTGTCAGCAACAAGTCGCCCGGCTCGTTCATAAACTCCTCCACGTCATGTGACGGAATGAGCGCCACGTGGCCTGCTAAAGCTCGCCGCATCTGCCATACTTCGTGTGCAGTTCGATCATGTCTTGGCGGCTCTTGATCGTCTTCCCCCGTACTTATCGGGACAATGCCCTCCACAATACCCACACACTCGTGCGTCGTCGCTCGAATCACAGCACCACCACACATTCCTTCTTCTAAAAGATCTTGACTCCGTGCAAAAGCCTGTCCACCACTGCTACGTCCAACAAAGTGTCCTGCCACTGTCATAGGCACCTGATAGCCTTCTTCCAGCTCCTTATTCACCTGTCGATGTCCAAGAAAGACCACGTCATCGCCTTGTTTACAAGGCGCTGTATCGAGCGCTAGCGTCTGCACCTGAAACTCTTTTGCTGCTGCTTGCCAACTCGCAATAGCATCGGAATCGACCAACTTCAGTAGAGCAAGATCTCGACTCGGATGAGTGTAAACCTGACTAGCAAGTGGCAGCTCCAGCAGCACCTCTGGCTTGGTCTCGTTCGAGTTCTCTGTATGAACTGCTGCCAGCAGTTGAAGCGAGTGACGCACATGGTCTTCGTTCACAAACTGTAGCCAGTCCCATGTAGCAGCAAAATAGCGAGGAAAGAGCCACGGACATGCTACGTGTTGGCACGTGGCAACAGAAAGTGAAGAGCTTGAAGAGTCATGCAGGATAACAGCTGAGCCACTAAAAAATGAATGGTTGTAAACGTGCATTAAAGGATTTACGTTAGGTAGGACAATAAAAATCGGAGAAACAAGAAAACTGTTGATTGATCCACCTACCTACTAAGGTAATCGAGTGTCGTCATGCCTTCATGAGGAAGGCAGAAGCGCGTCGTAAGGGACAGCACGGCTCGACGAGGGTACAGTTTCGGGACCATTTTGAGGATGGTGTCGCAATTAGTTTCAACTGTGAGTTCGTTATCGGAGACTTTGGACCTTTTCAGGTTGGTGATCGACTGCGTTTGTTTGTACAACAGATGCTGCTGGTACAGTCTCTTGTATCATTTATTGCTCTTCAAAAGCAGCTCAAATGCTGTGATTGTTGGCTGGACGACTTGTGCGGGAATTGCCATCCGAAGGTGCTTCAGAGTTCGTATGAAGTGTGCTTATATATGCGACTTGGACGATTCTGGATTCATCGATGCAAGCTAGACACTGCCTGCTTTCCTTGTGTTCTGCTGATCAACCAAGTGTTTATAACGACGTCAGTTGTCAGGTATCTTTGTCAGCTTTTTGTCCTGCTTTACTATTGAAATTGATGCCTCAACGATGTCACAGACTCGTGACTGGTTCCAGTTCAAAATTACAAGGGTGTGCTGCTTCTGCGCGTGCCAGATGTAATGGACGCATCAGCCGTCCGTACGTTGAGCTTCTTTTCTACCGTGCAACAAGATAGTGTGCAACAAGGTGCTGTGCAACGACTCTGGAGGATTTGAGTACGAGGTGTGTATGTCCACCTTCACCACCATCGGCTATGAAGATTGAAACGGTGTACGCATCTTGACCGCATTTGACTTTACATCCGACCAATTTTCTGTCGGCTTGCCATTTCACACACCGATACTTGACCGACACACCAGACCCCTACTGTTTTTTGGTATATTTAGGTCATTTAGTTATCCTAAGGACCCGAAAATGTTCATCTGACTAAGGCCTACACATCCCTCGTCGCTTTGAAAGCTACATGTATTTCTATTTGCTACCACATGCACACTACTGCAGTGTGCCTTATATCTATCCATCGTCACGGCGCACCTGATCTGCTTGTGCTATTCCATTCCTTTCGAGCCAGTGACCTAGGTTCCCTCTTAATGACTCCTTGGCGCTTGCCTACAGTCGAGGGAGCCTCTCCACGTCTTCTTGACTGATTTATGAGCTCTTCTTCAAGTATATGGCTACTAGCGAGAGCATCCGCCATCCTATCAAAATGTCGAAGATGATGTTGCCACGTGGACACAATCAACCGATCATCGAGTGTCCTGTATTGTCGGTATAAGTCTTGTAAATACCGTGCTCTCGGCTTCTTTCTCCTCCTCAGCTGCCCCAGTATGAGCATGGGACTATGAGATTCCTCTTCGGCAAAAAAATGTCCCTACGCCGTGGATATTTTTAAACACCGTGGCCAGTGTCATATCGAGGCCGAGGCCGTTTCTCACCACTAGCAATGAAGGCTGGCGGGTTCGTGTTTACGATCTGACCATCACTTGCGGCTACCGTACTAGCCGAAGCATGCGCGTGCGATTGCGCAATCGGCCTAGGTCCTTAAGCTTGGCAAAGTCGTACCGAAGCTTGCGTTCGAGACGCACATCAACCACACTGACACCAGCTCTCCGAGCGTACATACTGCTGAGGCGACGAGTGCGGTGCACCAGCGAATGAAGTCGTTGTATTTTTCATCTGTTTTTTTGCCTGTGATCAAGAGGATGGGTACACCCTTAATCGGTGGAACCGGTGCACCACGTGGTTGCATCTCAAGGCGTGCCTTTTAAGGACTTTGCATCATCATATATGGCTCCAGGTACCTCTCATGAATTGCCTGGCCACTTGCCACTTCCTCGGTAGAGTAGCTCCAGGGCCTATGGTCCCCGACGACGTGGTGCCCATTCAGGTTATAAGCTTGAGCTATCCTGAGACCATACAGAAGGCCCTTGTACTCGGCCACGTTGTTGGTCGTGGCTGCGACAGCCAGTGAGACGCTGCCCACCCATTTGATGAACAGCGGCTTGGTGACCAATCCACCAACAGCAATGGTGGAGCCGGCTCCCCCGGGACCCGGGTTTCCTCTTGCACCCCCATCAAGAAAAGTATCGTGCACTCTCTGTCGTTGCCCTATCGGAGCTCCTCTGCTACACTCCCCGGAGAGGCAGCAAAGGCTGCATGAACAACCCATGCCGCACGATAGACCGCCTCATCTTGTGTTCTCATCAATACATTTCCTCGTAGCGACAGCGACCCTTGGTGTAATCGACCTCGTGGTAGCAAGGTTAATCGACAGATCGATTTGTACAGCATCGTGTCCCTGCATCTGCGGTTCCAGACTGCCTGGAGCGTGTGTGAAACTCCGAGGCGCCAATTCTCGCTCATAGCACCAACCATATATCTCCTCCTGCTGTGCCACTGGCAGGTTTCCGTAAAGTTGTTGCAGTACCTTCCGTTTTCCAGTTGGTACCTGTGGCAATCGAAAGCCAAATATGGGACGGGGATCGTCGTCCCCCGATTGCAATCCGAGTTCGGTCCGCTACCCCAAAAACTCTCTTTATAGTGGTCGCGTTGCACAGCATCTCCACCAGATATGCGCCTCGATGATGCCGAGGTCTCGACACTCTGGCAGTGGACAGCCTACGGCTGATCGGGCGGTATCCCACGTAGAATATACTCTCATCTTTATGCGGTATAGCAATTGTTTCGCCCAGACAGTCGCACATGTGATGGTACGGATATCAGTCCAGTCCACTGCTCCTAGCCCTCCGCCATGTGCTGATCGTCCGCTATCCATGATTTCGTGCGATCGACAACTTCATGAAGGCCGATGCGACTTCACTCACGCGCACCGCGTTTTTTAATATTGACGTGTATGTGGTTTGGACCCTTTCCGTCGTCTCAGGTCAGCGAGGCGGTGCAAGGGCCCATATTGGATCGACCTTCTCAATCTGATACTGCTGTACTGTCTACTGCTAAAGAAGAGCTCTCACTTCCTGCCATGATCCTACGGTGCAAGAGTAAGAGACGGGGGTTAGTTCTGCGATAACTGGGGGATCCACGGTCCCATCACCGGCGGTGGCCGAACTTGTATGGACCTCGAAAGGCGTGGCCAGTGGCGTCGCTTTGACGGGAATGACTGTGTCCTGCTTGCATTGATATGATTCCGTGGGAAAATTTGCGATTAGGGCGACTATTAATGTAACGGGGCACCATGAAGCTTGTACTGATGACAGTACAAGCTACTTATTCTGACGACAGAAAAAGGCAGTGCCTCGTAACTTCACGTACACTCGTACGTGCAGAGGAAGACGGTAAGAAGAAGAGAGTACTTGGTTAAAGTAAAAAGTAGAACTGTATTTATTATAGTTAATGTCTGTTAATAGATTACTATTTATCCTCATCTAACTATGTCTAAATACAAATGTGTAAATCAACTATCTGCTCACCACTCATTGCGTGCGTCTGTCGTGGCGCGTCTTCGTTGGTTGATATAATGGCCTATATCAACCAATTAGGAACTACTCGTAAGTGCTACAGAATATTGTCCTTATGACAATATTCTGAGAATATAACTCTTATAGTTATATTCTATTAACAATTTCTTATAAGTTGTTATGTAACGATTCACCCCGTTACATCACCCCCCCTTAACCATCAGTCACTTTAGTGACTGATTGACTAAATGGATACTCGTCCAAAATCATTTGGGACAGGGATTGCACTTGTTGGTCCGAGTCCACTCTCCAACAGTTCATCGCATGGATAACAAGCCCATGCGATGCGCGAGCAAGGCCGCCGATAGCGCGTCCGCACGTCTCTGTGCGGACGCCGAAGCAGAAACTGCAGCAACTGATGTCTCATCGGTTGCTGAAGCGACTCAGCCTGTGTCACTTGGTGATGCAGGCGCTGGTCATGAAGACACTCATGTCTTCACAGAGTATGAGCTCGGTGTCTCATACTCTCCCGATACGGAAGACGGATCCGTATCTACGGCGATCGAATCCAAGCCGTCTGCCAAGCGTGGCATGGATGATGCTATTCGTCACAGCATCTTTGGTTCATCTGACGAATCAGATGAACTATCGCCGAACCGAAGGCGCTCGAAGTCGCGAGACTCGGGCGCTAACAGTGGTGTCGGTTCTCCTATTGACACCACTTCGCAACGAGGTGCCAGTCCTTCTGTCGGCACGTCGCAAGAAGAGCGGGACCGCAGTGTGTTGCGTCTCGCTCCCGAGGAGAAGGCATGGATGCCTCCCAAATCTGTCATGGATCACTTGTCGGCGACGACGAGTGATCGTTATCGAACACGATTGCTCGATTGATCAAGGATCCATCACCTTGACCCCAGTGCGAAAAACTATCACACTGAGCATGAATTCTTCATCGATGCTTTCTTTAGACATCGATGGTACAGTGGGAATCGCAAACCTGATGGTCTTTCACTGCTTCAAGCGTGGAACGCTTACATCCATAACCTTGAGGATGTAGGTCGTGACGTTTGGAACGACAAACTTATCAAAGCTCGTGATAAGTTTGAGAAAAAAAAACCTACAGGTGCACGCTACAAGCTGCATCGTCTGTCTAGGGAGGGTGGGTTACCCTGCCTCTCTTGGGGAGACTCGTGCCCATGTTGTGTGAACAACTCTGCGCGCGCACCTAAGGAGGCTTACCTCCCTAACAGCCCGTGGTGGCCAGTACGTATCTTTAGTGAGATGTACGGAGGGATTGACAACCTGAAATCCCTTTACGACCGTGCCGGAAGACTTTCTCCGGCGGTCATTTTGCGGCACAGGATGTGCCGCGTCGTACTGCTCAACCAGACCCAGTACGTCAACCATCAGTTGGGAGCGGGGCTCCCAAGTATTCCAGGACGGGGGATAGCCGCGCCACCGGACGAGATAACTCGTCCAACGTTCGTTCACGTCGAGGTGGTTCAACAGCTGCTCAACCAGATAGCGCTGGCCACCGCGAGGGTCCTCTAATGGAGGTGGGGGGGGGTAGGGAAGACGCTCTCCAAATTATCATGGGGAAGCGTGTATCCCCGTGAGCCTCTTTGATCGCGTAACGCAAGGGTTACGCAACGATCTCGAACATGATCGGGACAGGCGTCTCCAACTGGCGGACACTGTCTTGAAGCATCGAGCTGAGTTTGCCTCTGCTCAGCTTGAGAACGAGAGAGCTTTGACATCTCTGCGTGACGAGCTAAGGGTAGCTCGTGGGATTGTTGATCGGTCCCGGGCTGAGATAACTTCTCTTCAGACCCTTGTTGATATCCACCATTGGGAGCACAAGGCCCTCTGTGAGATGCTTGAACGCAAGGGCGTTCTTCATCAGAAGAAGCAGCGTACTGATGGTACGGCTTAAGCCGACTAACGTAAAAGGTGGGATGCGTTCGCATCTTACGTGGCAACTCGATCGTGTATGCGTTGCCTAGGCGAAGCAATACACGAAATGGGCCGATGTACTTGGGTAGAAGTTTACTACTACCCAAGTTAGTCACTACATGCTTTGGTAAGTTAACCGTAGACAGTAGGACTAAGTCACCTTTATTAAATAAAAGAGTGTTTGCCCTTCCATTCTTGTCAGTGTTTTGCTTTTGCTTATCCACCGCTTCGGCGATGGAGTCTTGCACAAAACGGACTACCGTTTCACGAGCCAGTATGAACTCATCTGATGACTCGTTAGCTTCAGTGTGCTGTGAGCGCACTGCAGCAACATCAACCTTTTCTTCAGTGAGGGCTTCCGCACTCTCACTGGGATCATTGTCTTCAGTGAGGGCTTCCGCACTCTCACTGGCATCATCTTCTTCGATATCGATGTTATCGATATCTGCATCAAACGCAATGACCTCATCGTCAGAGCGTGATGAGCGTGAACCAAATCGGTTTTTTCTCGCGCGAGTCCCTCCCCCCCTTAAACCAGAGTTACACTCTAGTAAGGTGGGTGCACGCGGATGGCGTAAGCCATTCACGTAAAACGGTGTATGTGTCGTGGACGCATGCACCGAGTTGTTAATGGCAAACTCTACCATTGGCAAGAACTCACTCCAACTCTTAAAGGAGTGTACATATCCTCGAAGTATCTCTTCGAGGACACGATTGGCGCGTTCCGTCTGACCATCTGACTATCGATGATCAGATGTCGACATCTTCAAGCGCGTTCCGAGTGATTTGAACACGGAACGCCAGAAATCAGCAGTGAATCGTGGATCTCTGTCTGATACGAGTTCACGGGGCAACCCATGAAGTCGAAAGATGGTGTCAATAAAGACACAAGCACAGCCACTTGCCGTGATTGACTCTGTTACAGCCACGAGGTGTACCATTTTGCTGAATCTGTCAACAAATACGAGAATACCCGTATTCCCGCGTGCGTCTTTGGGTAACCCGAAGAAAAAATCCATTGAGATGGATTCCCAGCACTCTGCCGGAACTGGTAGAGGCTGTAAAGGTGCACGCAGTGAAGGACTTGACTTCACTCGTTGACAGACTTCGCATGCGCGAACATACTTTCGCACAAACTGATACTGGCGGGGCCAGTAAAAGTCTCGACTCACCGTGAGATACGTTTTCTCACGGCCACGGTGTCCTCCTATAGGAGCATCGTGGTACTCGAACATGATCCGCAAACGCAGATCAGTATCATCTGGGATGACAACACGTGGTGTGTCACCAGAAACGGCTGTATAATACAGTAAACCGTTGCGAGTAGTGTATCGATCTGATGCCGATCGATACGCAGACGATAATCGTTTCAACGATTCTCGAGATGGCTGTGAGAGGTGTGTCAACATCTTCACAATCTCACCATCTTGGGCATACGCCCGCCTCACATCATCATGCTACGTTGAAGATGGGACTGAGGACGTCATAACCGCAACAGTGACTGTCTCACTGTTGGGTTTCGCGACTGTTTCAAAGTCGGGACGACGTGAGAGTGCATCAGCGACGACATTCAGTCGTCCTGGTTTATACTCTATCGTAAAGTTGTATTCTGCAAAGAATGACAACCACCGCGCCATTCGTTGTGAAAGGTGCGGGCTGTTCACTGCCGTGCGTAACGACGCATGGTCAGTGTAAACAATGAAGGATCTATCTCCTCATAGATAGACTCTGAACTTCGCGAGTGTATACTACATTACAAGGAGTTCCTTGTCATGCACTGGATAGTTCCGCTCAGCTTGTTGCAGTTGACGCGAATGATAGCAGACGACGCGTTCAAAGCCTTCAAGGTCGTACTGCATTAATGCACAGCCGATTGCGAAATCGCTGGCATCACAGACCACATGAAATGTCCTGTCCTGATCGGCAATTGCTAGGACTGGGGATTGTATCAAGCTCTACTTGATACCATCAAATTAGCGCTGACATTCAGCGTTCCATAACCACCTCTCGTTCTTTTTCAACAAACGAGAGAGGTGCACAGTCATCTCGGCGTAATTGCGTGAATACTTATGCAAATACGCCGCTAGCCCAAGGAATTTTCGAAGACCTTTGACATCAACCGGCACAGGCCAGTCGGTGATCGCCTTGATCTTTTCGGGATCAGGACGTACACCGTTCTTACCAACGATGCACCCAAGAAATGGTATTTCGCTTGCTGCAAATATACACTTCTTGAGGTTGGCATACAATTGATGCTTTCGCATGATTGTAAGAACTTGTCGGACGTGGTATATGTGAACCTCAACGTCCGACTTTCCATCCATAGCCCGACTATGGATGAATACGTCATCGAAATAACTCGGCGCAAATTCTCGTACTGGTCTCAACAGATGTGATACACATCTGTTGAAAGTGGCAGGGGCATTACTAAGCCCTTGTGGCATTACTAGCCATTCCCAGAGCATGCGGCTAGGCGTGCTAACTGCGGTATAGGGTATATCCCGTTCCCGCATAAGGATTTGATAGAAGCCATCCATCAAATCCATGGACGAAAAGATGGTACTCTTTGACATACCATCAATGATTACGTCCTTCCTCGGTATCGGCGTCTGAGCCGGTACCGTTGCAGCGTTCAACTTGTTAAATGCATGCACAATCCGCCACCCTCCTGTTGCTTTTCGCACACAGAAGGTCGGAGAGCTATGTGGGGAAGTTGATTCCCTCACATGGCCTGGCAGCTAAACGATCGGCAAAGAACTTGTCGATCGCAAGTACTTGTTCACGAGGCAGTGTCCACTGCTTCATGACACAGTACTTCGAGCCTGGTTTAAGCTCGACCTCGTGTCGAATACCTTTATCCTTCGGTAATTCGCACGGAACAGTTTCAGGGAATACATCCTTGAATTCAACCAAATCTTCATAGAGAGGATTTGTCTTGAGCGATTCCCACGATTGGGAGTCATATCGCTCAATTCGTGTCTTTTCATCTAGGACACTCTCGTCCATAGATGAACTACTGAGAACTCTCTCGTTCTCAGTAAACACTGTTGCTGACCTTATGTCGGTTACACACTCGTCGTCAGCGACGAGTACGCAGATCTGCTTGACTTTGCCACTACGCAGATCACGCAAGAACCTTTTATGTTCGAGCGTTGGCAACTGAGTGATATCCGAAGTCAACTTCGGAGGCGCAATCAGATCAAGTGTATAAGCGCCTACACTTGATCCGTTATTGACTATGACATTCAATGTCTCTGTCATTTCCTGGGGACTTATTCCTTCGGCTTCCCGGCAACTTATTCCCGCGGGTTTCGGGGAACTTGTTTCCGTCGTATTTATAATATCGGGACTTATTCCCTTAACTTCCTCTAGCTGGGGTTGCGCAACCACAGCGAGATCCTATACGAAAGACTCTCCAGTCGATCTAGGATTATCCTTTCGCTTAACCTGAGCGATCTATTGTTTCTCTTCTAGATGTTCCCCGCTAGGGATACATCTTTGTCCCGGTCCACTCGACTTATTCGAGTGGTGGACGTTCGGCGCAGCCTGTGTTTCCTCACAGCCGCCGGAATCTTGCTCCGAAGTGTAGCCGTTTGTTACACTAAGGTTTTGTGCAGTCGTACTAACGACCGTACCACAAGTGAGGCCATCGCACTCACTCGTAGTACATCCACACGCTTGTGGACGTTCCTAAACGTTCATCAGATGGCCATCTGATGAACAAGCGGCAGGCATCGTTACGGTTCGATATTGCCAGTTTACTCGTGGTTCGTACCTTCTGAGCCACGGTATTCCAAGGATGACATCGAATTTGTCATCCAAATCCAATGCGATATAGTCATCGTCATATTGGTAACTTCTAGCGTATAGTGGATCTTCACAATACGATTCATGACGGTTACGGATGCGCCTGTCGCAAGACGTACCGTCATCCTCGTAGGAGGTGTGTCACATTCAACAAACTTAAAGTGACCATCTTCTAGCGATTGGCGTCGCACAAAATTGTTGGACGCCCCACAATCGACTAGAGCTCGAAGGTACAACTTATTTGTCACTTCGAGTTTCAAGGTAATGAGTGAGATCTCATTACCTAGAGCAGCAACGCACAATGATTGTGTGTTGGGAGCAACCTTCATCAAGAGGCCTACAAATTCTCTTGACGTTGCTGGACCATTGGGGTGCTCCGCACCTACTGATCCTGTCCGTTTTTTTATGGTCCATCCCGATGTTGCGTCTTTGCACCAACAGCGGACCCGCGTCCCTGCCCCTTTCTCATGGGTGGACGGTCACTACGCCCAGTGTTGCGAGACACTGGGGGAGAGGTACTACACTCGTAAGCGTAGTGTCCTGTCTTTTGACATCTATTGCATTTATGCAACTTCTTGTAGCCTGTAAAGCGAGCCTTCTCGCTCTCTACATAACAGAGTTCCATCGGCTCTGGACCTCCGCTGTCATATCGTCTCGGTTGACGATATGATGTCGAGCTGGCGCGAGCCTGTCTCAGACTGAAGTCTTCCTGTTCCGCAATGGAAATGGCTTATTCTAGTGAATCTAGTTCAAGTCGGAACAGGTGAGTCTTGACGGGACCATCCGCAAGACCCTGCATGAACACCGAAACCAACGTGTATTCATCAACCGGGTTGGAACTTATACAACTCGTAAGATGTCGTATATGTTGTGCGTCAGCGTGCACATCACGCTTACCTTGTCTGAGCTTCAAGCGTTCAGTTCGAGCTCTGAACTCAGCTCTAGGCGGTTCAAACGTTTGTTTTAGCCGCGACTTGAAGACTTCTAACGACCCAAACGCATAGGGTTCGTGCAAATGAGCCACAGTGCCCAAGTCTTGGCACGTCCTGCCAGATTTGATTGGGCAAATGCAACTTTCGTTTCCCCATCGTCGATGCGACGCGCCCTTATGGCGTCGTCTAATTCGACGAACCATCTCAAGAGGGAGTCCTCTTCAACTCCTTCATACTTGGAGATGTCAATCTTCAAGGTTTCGGGTCGACGCGAGTGCATCGACCCACCACCAGCAGCCTGCTGCTGTCTCAACAGTTCAAACTGTTGAGCACCCTGTTCTCTCAACAACTCTGCTTGTTGAGAACCTTGTTGGTGAAGCAAGGCTACTTTCTCGCGTTCAGCGTCAAGTTCATTTCGAATGAACTTGGCGATAGCAGCATGTTGGGCATCTCTTTTGAGAGCCTCTAGCAAGACGCTAACAGCATGGATGCCCATGGTTGAACCCATCCGTTCAACCGCATCCCATTCGACATCGCTCATATGGGAGTAGCCGTCACGCGTAGCGTGAAAGCTTTGGTCATCTTCATCATCCAACATATTCATGTTGGATGTGAACGTGGTCCTTGAACGGACTACGAAGTGCTACCAGGTGTAACGGGGCACCCTGAAGCTTGTACTGATGACAGTACAAGCTACTTATTCTGATGACAGAATAAGGCGGTGCCTCGGAACTTCACGTACACTCGTACGTGCAGAGGAAGACGGTAGAAGAAGCGAGTACTTGGTTAAAGTAAAAAGTAGAACTGTATTTATAATAGTTAATGTCTGCAATAAATCACTATTTATCTTCATCTAACTATGTCTAAATACAAATGTGTAAATCAGTTATCTGCTCACCACTCATTGCGTGCGTCTGTCGTGGCGCGTCTTCGTTGGTTGATATAATGGCCTATATCAACCAATTAAGAACTACTCGTAAGTGCTACAGAATATTGTCCTTATGACAATATTCTGAGAATATAACTCTTATAGTTATATTCTATTAACAATTTCTTATAAATTGTTATGTAACGATTCACCCCGTTACAGCATCCCATTCGACATCGCTCAAATGGGAGTAGCCGTCACGCGTAGCGTGAAAGCTTTGGTCATCTTCATCATCTAAAATATTCATGTTAGATGTGAACGTGGTCCTTGAACGGACTACGAAGTGCTACCAGGTGTAACGGGGCACCCTGAAGCTTGTACTGATGACAGTACAAGCTACTTATTCTGATGACAGAATAAGGCGGTGCCTCGGAACTTCACGTACACTTGTACGTGCAGAGGAAGACGGTAAGAAGAAGCGAGTACTTAGTTTAAATAAAAAGTAGAACTGTATTTATCATAGTTAATGTCTGTTAATAGATTACTATTTATCCTCATCTAACTATGTCTAAATACAAATGTGCATGTCAACTATCCGCTCACCACTCATTGCGTGCGTCTGTCGTGGCGCGTCTTCGTTGGCTGACACAATGGCCTATATCAACCAAATAGGAACTACTCGTGAGTGCTACAGAATAAATGTCCTTATGACAATATTTTGAGAATATAACTTGTAGTTATATTCTATTAACAATTTATTATAAGTTGTTATGTAACGATTCACCCCGTTACCTCACCCTCTCACTCACTACAATTTTAGCAATTACGTATTCAAGCGCATGCCTCCGTGCAGTTGTATCGGATGCTTAGCAGATCAGCTTCAACAAACCGGCTTACCTGCTGACACGTTTCCATGTTCCATTTTGCTGTCTGTTCTCAAATAAAGACGCCCACCTTCGTGCGTGGTGATCAATGGATAGTCCATCGGTCACTCATCTTTGGTGAAAGGACACGACCGGTACACCCTGTCTGTACATTCAGAGACTCGATGATAAGCACGCCACTGTACTTACTTACTAGCGGCCTCAGAATTTTTGGATCGTGTCCAACCCACAGTCCGAATTATGGTCGAGCTTTCGGATCCCTGGGGTCCCGCGACGACCGCGAAAGATATTGTCATCTCAAGACTACAACTAAGCACAGCGTACGGCACCTATCCGAGGACAAATGCTGACTTAAGAACACACACAGTTGCCGGCGTGGTTCTTAGTTGCTGGCAGACAGGATATAGCGGGTCATTCGCGAGCCTGAATATACCTCACCTTCTCACTCATAGTCCAAATTACGGCATTGGGCGACGGCGATCCTCTTTTTCCATCCCAACAATATCGGAACCACTAGCGGTACTGAACCATGTAGCGGATGTATGTGTTCGGCAGTCAATTCCCTCTGGCAGTCGTGCTTCCCATGAGTCAGCCCGCTGGGGCATTGCTACCACTCTTGCAGTGATTTGCCGCGATGTTTAACTTGTATTCCTTGTGGCGGGCACCAGCGCCCGTCTCAAATGTGGGGCCCTCCTGCACACGACCTTACGGAACATCAAGTTTGCACGTGTACGACAGAAATGCCGCCAAGTACGCAACTCAATCCCTACCATCGAAGCCGTCTTACCGACATGCGTTGACGTGCATCAACGTTCTCAACCACGAGGAAGCAGAGACAAAGAAGTCTGCAAACAATTTGAATCGTGGGCACGTAGTAGGCAATACTTACTTCCCGAGATTTGAATACGATAGTATAGAGTCAATCTCCTTTCTTTGCTGGAAAGAGGTATGAGTGGGCTCGCATATACGACGCCTGTGATCCTTATGGATCATCACGCGGTTTGTGCAGGCAGAGTCATCCATTATTTTACCCAGAGTCGTCTGTGACCGATACCTGCACAAGATGGAGATTTGGGATCAGTTAACGGTTCGATATCGCTGCAGTCGTCTCACACTTCAAAATTTACCCAGCACTCATCACAACCCCAACATGCCCATGCTGTACCATTTGAGTATGTCTGCTATCACTTTTCTCTCTTTGCACAGAGAGGTTGGATCAAACGCCAGCGATATCGTGACCAACAACGTCTTTGCTCTCAACCTGACCACATACCCTCTCCTGGACAAGGCCACGTCCAGCTCGCCAATACATGAAAACCCGGACAACTTTGGTTTCGACGGCCTCCACCGTGAAGATCTTCGAAGCGAAGAGAGGGCTGGACTTCTACCGCAACGGGTATCAGCGTATGTTTACAAACTGCGTATGGGTGTGTCGAGTCGGCTACTACTACACCCAAAACGTGTTATGAAGACATGTGGCATCGAAGCAAAGACCAAAGGGCGCATCGGTGTTCACGATTTCTGGCGATGGCTTGAGTATGTAGACTTGTACCGAGCTCGAGGCAAACAATTTAGTGACTCTGCACTGGTTGATGTCTTGGTGAAAAAGTCGATACCAGAAGCACAGCTGGTGAATCTGTTTCATTCGCTTCGATTCTACCGCGAAATGGAAGACCGTGCAAACGTCTTTCAACGGATACTAGCTCAGAAGTGCTCCCCAGCCACTTCCGAATATATGATATCGGTGTGGCTGAAGTCCAATTTGAACCCCCGAGATGTTTTCCGGATCCTCGGTAATGGATGGAGGGATATCAACGTTTCTTCTCCGAGTGTTATCCTGTGGCTGCGATACACCGAGGCGTTCCGAATAAAAAACGGTGGCGATGCGTATCCCGTTGAGCAAACGGGAGAAGACCTGTTTCTACAGAGATACACGTTAGCTCAATCTCTCACTTTTCTCGAGAAAGCTCGACAAGAACAGGACCTGGTACAGCTTGCCAACGAGTTGGAGGAGTACGTCAACGAGCACACACACGCATTGCCAAAGTTACTAGCTGCTGCTGCCTGACTGGTCCCTACAATCGTACGTGAGACGGACCGCTATCGACAACGAATCTTGGCAATGCAACAGGTCTTCGACTATGTCAAAGAATCCACATGTTGCTGACGCAACACCTCAATACATTGTCAAAGCATAGCGTTTCATCACGGTTGTTGTCACCTATGCCTTTCGTGTATGTATGATCTGAGACGGTCGTATCATATCTGTCTCGATCTTTACAATAATCCACAAGTATCTCGAACGTAGAGTAAGTGCGATAAGTAAACAAGTAACGTCTGCTAAGAGAGCTTCTCCACTAAACTTTAGAGTGACAGTCACAACCAATGCACTTCTTTGCTATTGTCGGATGTGATTCAGTCGAAGTATTTTTTCTTTTCGGGGTAATCGTCACCATTGAAAACAGCCGCATCTACCTATCATAGTATCATGCAGACGCAATCTGTGCTAGCAAGTCATCTTTGTCACTCCAATTGCTTCTAATAGTGACGCAAGTGTGTGAAAGAATCAGTCGTCAAAGCCCGACCCTCTCTCCGTCATCACTTCAATAGCAACAACGTCACTTTCAAATTCCAGACTGCCATACATTCCTCTAATTTGTACGCCTCATGATCTCAAGCTTCAATTCACAACTACAGACCGTCAATTGTAGCATGTAGGAATGCAGCGGCCACAAGTTTATTGAGTGTAAGAACTACACTGCATGATCTTGTGAGAACGCGATCCATAACGTCATCAAATTGACAGCCAGAATCGATGGATTTCCACCGACAATGTCGATAAATTGGTCATTACTTGCACGCTTGACTAATGAAGCCTGTACAGATGGGACAGAAACAGACTGGAGTCGTAAGCTTGCGGGTATGCCCAAGAGAAAAAAACACGATACACTGCACGTGTTGTACACAAGGTCGGTTCGTCCCCAACGCATGACGTTCAATTACAAGCCAGCGTTTTGTCTGAGGTCGTACTGCAGCACAACTAAATCTATACCTTGAATGCACCACTCTATTTCGACATCGATCTTGAAAGACGCGGGTGTTCGATCGAACTTTGTAGGTTGGCATCATCAGTTGAGCAATAGCGGAGAGTCTAGTGAGCGTTCAATTTGATTATCACCATTCAGTGATTATCGTATTATTTTGACACAAAAAATTAGACCCTTAGAAACGCCACAATCGATGATGACATAAATAGAAACGATACAATCAAGAACGGCGCGAATAGAAACGCCACAACGGTTACACCATCCTCTATCACTAAGCAAAGGTCACGCTCTCTTGCGACTATTCCTGTTGCGAGTGAAGCCATGTTCGAATTCGGCTTGACACGCGATGGACAAGTTCTCGTACCCCGAGTACTACGACTTCCCGCCCTTCTTCACTCTCCAGCCCGTGCGTGCGACACGGGAGAAGCAGCTCGTGTTGTGGCAGCAGCTCGTGCTCGAGTATCACCGCGCCCATGACGTCCCCCTGTTCCAGCCCTTTGCGTCGACGCTCTTTGAGAACGTCAAGATCTCCCGCAGCTTGACGCAGGAGGGCCGAGTGGCAGTGGCGGAGCATTTGATTCGCTGTGGGCATGGCCAATGGGAAGACGAGACGAAGACGCGGTGCCGCCTCATGTGGAAAAAACCGGCCGTGTTAGCGGCGGAGGTTTATGATTTTGTAGGGGTTAATTGGTTTTTGTTATTCGTTGAGAGGGGTTTCTTAAATGATGCGATATGCTTGCTAACTGTCTTGTGGTCATCTAAAATGGTGTGTAACTGGTGTAATGGGTTCAGGCCAAGACACACGAGATGCTCGGCAGTGTGTTTACGGTGTACGAACTGTATGCAGGAGACGAGACCTTGGGCACGAGTGCGTGGATTGTTTTGCAAAGTTGTAGACTGAGAGGAGAAATTACTTGCCGGGTTATGGTGTGTGGTGATAATTGGTGTTTGGTTGGTATTGTTGATGTGGTGTGAATTTAGGTGTACATGGGATGGAGCCGTGGCTGCTTCGTGAGGCTCTGAAAGTGCTGGAAGGCGAGGGAAAGGTGTGTATGTGTGGATGTAGTGCTTTTTCTTTGCTTTTCTGTTGTTGTTGTTGTTGTAGATGTATTTACTCAGGCGGGGGATGTGAACTGATGCGGTGGTGTGCTTGTTTTTGGTGGTGGTGATGTGTAGGCGGCGGTGATTGCTGGTGAAACGTGTGAAGAGGATGGTGTGAAGTTTCTGGCTACGGAATGAAGAAAGCAGAGCAGTTAGATGATGGGGAAGGAGGTTCTGCGGGTGCAGTGATTGAATGTCGTGTAAGGGTAATATGAAGCGATGGGAAGTTTTTATATCAACTGCATCTCATGTCAAAACCGGTGGTTATTGCGGGGAAGAGTGTCTGTGCTTCTCTTCGCAGCATTGGGACACGTGGCGCGCACTGCAACTAACGGTAAAGTCTGCAGAGTAAGGAGAAGAAATAGCTGGTACGTGGGACAAACGCTGGTATCCACGTCGTTGTTATTGCACTTCGACGAAGAACATGTCATCCGAATGAGCTGGTCAATAGGATGTGTGGCATATCTTAACTGCCATGTTGCAGAGTTGAGGAAAGCGACGGAGAAGAATGATTCGTGTTTTGAGCGGTTGCTGGATGTTACCCTTCTTTTCTCGCTCTCTTCTCAGCAACGGTTGAAATGACGATCGCCACGTCGCAACAAACAACATGAGCTCGAGAGGTGCTCTGAACGGAGCTTATTAATGAAAAGATGAAGTCTGGCTTTGAGAAGCTTGCGGAGAAGATGAAGTTGACGTCGAAGGACAACTCTGACGATGCCCATGAGCGTCAATCCGAAGAGCACGATGGAGAAGGCAGTAGTCATGAGCATCGTGGAAAAAGTGGCAGTCACTATCACCATGGGGGAGGTAGCAGTCATGAGCACCAAGGAGGTGGTAGCAGTCATGAACGCCGCGGAGGAGGCAGCAGTCATGAGCACCGCGGAGGAGGTAGCAGTCATGAACACCGAGGAGAAGGTAGCAGTCATGAGCACCGAGGAGAAGGCAGCAGTCAGGAGCACAAAGGCGAAGGTAGCAGTCATGAGCACCACGAAGAAGGCAGCAGGCATGAACACCACGGAAAAGGTGGCAGCCGTGAGCATCATGGCGGTCACGTGCCAGCGTGCCCGGTGCTAATCGAGCGATCCGGCGCCTCCCAAACTAGCAAATTTGAAGGTAAGTCCTTTCGAGTAACTATCGTCGCAAGCCACTGGTACGAGAAGGTGGTCCACTCGCTTGTGGATGCGTGTTCGAAGGAGCTCTTGGCCAAAGGTGTGGGGGAAGATAATTTGCACGTCGTGGAGGTCGCAGGGGCATTTGAGTTGCCGTTCACGGCTGCTCGATTGATTGCGTCCGAGAAGATGAGCCACCGTCCAGATGCTGTCATCTGCATTGGCTGCTTTGTCGAGGATGCCACGCACACGTGCGAGACCATGCGTCAAGCCGTTGCGCACGGAATTATGAAGCTGAACGTCACGTCGGACGTCCCCGTCATTTTCGGCGTGCTCTGTTGCGACAACGAGTCGCAAGCTCACTCGTCCGTGGAAAAGCGTTCGTGTTATGGCATTGATGACAGCGAGCAGTGCAACTTCGGTGTATCGTGGGCGCAGTCAGCATTGCAAATGGCACATCTGAGTCGTTGTACTTCGGTGAAGGAGATGGAGCATTGCAGCTGCTTTCGCAGTGACAATCGTAGTGGTGGTGACAGTGACGAGCACAAGCGGAAGCTCACGAAGCATGAGTCTGGAAAGCACGAATCTGGTAAGCATGAGTCTGGAAAGCTTGAGAAGTGTACGTCTTGCGGTTTGTCGGAGAAGAAGTGCTCGTGCAAGGAGTGCGTGTGCAAGGCGTGCTGCGATCACGGTGGGGCGTGCACGAGCTGCAAGTCGTCGGCGGAGAATTGCGAGTGTAAGGACTGCAAGTGCCGTTCGTGCTGCGTCAGGCGCGACGCGTGTCGCCGGTGTGGATGTCCTCCAGACAGCTGCTCCTGCCAAGGCTGTGACTGTGCTGTCTGCAGCGGCAAAGACGGGAGCGATGCGAAGACGAAGTCAAGCAAGTACACTGATGAGCATGAGTCGACGAAAGCATCGTCAGGCGGGCATTCCAAGGAGGAAAGTGCGTCCGGTAGCGGCAGCGGCATCCACGTGAGCTCTGTCAAGTGTGACCGTTGTGGTAGCCCGAGCGGCGGATGCCAGTGTGGCTTGTTGCACTAAGCGCGGGAGGGCGAAGTGGTGAGGTGATGTGAGGTCTGGTCATGGTAGTGTTTGATGGCAGATCGGATCACTCACAGATGCATATTCAACGCGTCCAAGAAGTGAACGACGAATAACACGATGCAATGGCTCGAGAGGACTAGCGTTGGCAAAGACTGGCAGCGGCATGTATTGTGTCAAGGGAGAATGAGTAACAATCAATGAATCGATGTCGCTGGGTCACTCTGTTGTTGTTGTTATTCTCGCTTGGAGTCAACTAGGCAAACACTCGACATACTATGGCATGAGTCAGGTGTTACTATTGAGCGTTGACTGACTGAGCTGGTCTACAGTCTTTTACACCTGCACTTCAACTTGAGTAGTGCTTTTAAACGTCCACTTCAACTTGAACTGTCATTTCGTACAGCTTTATCCCTCGGTGGGAATGTTCACAGGGTCGGGACGAGGTCACGTTGCATGTGGGAATAACTGGAGCAAGACGTGAGGTCTCGAAATGCATGCACGTTAGTACCAGTCACAACCGAAACCTCTCTCGATCAGGAACGATGGCAGTTGGAACCACGACCAGTGTAAAGCACAACGTGCAGACAAACGAGACGGAAGGCGAGTCTCAAGGTCACCACAGTGACGACCGTGGTCAAAAGACGGAAGGCGACCCGCGAGGTTACCACGGTGAGAGTCGTGTCCAGATTGACAGTCAACTCTCCTCGCTCAATGGCAACGACGAGTCGGAAGCTTCACGCAATAAGAACCAGGAGGTGACTGAGTCTGGAACGAATGGTGAAGATATGGCGTCTAGACAACGAACGAGTCACGACGATAGTGAGCAAAAGGAACCAGCGATCAAGTCGGCGACGTCATCGACAGTCGTTTGTGGCGGTGGCTGCGTTGCTGCCACTCAGCGTGCTGCTGCTGGAAAATGTCCCGCCTGTGAGTGTCCTGCCGATGGGTGCCCCTGCACCAAGTGTGGCTGTCCTCTTTGCGGTCCAACCCAAACTGCTTCAACCCCGTTGCCCTGTCGTGGCGGCGATGCAGCTCGCGACCGTGCAATTGCCGGCAATTGTCCTGCTTGCGGCTGTCCAACAGGCAACTGTCCGTGCACGAACTGCATCTGTCCAGCCTGCTAGGCTGCGTAACCCAAGGAGAGCGTCGCTGAAGAAGAAACGAGCTTAGGGGATCGCCTGTGCGTAGTGTCTTTCTTCTGCCTTCACGTCAGCTTTGTTGCGACCAAAGTAGTGAATGAACGAACGAACGAGCAAGTCGTTGAGGTGCATCCTGAGGAATGTGTTAATGCACGAGCAATAGGTCGTCCCGACCTTGAATTGGATCGGAGGAACCAACTATCTCCGCATTTTCCCTCACACCTCACCACTGTTCGAGCTTGAACCCGTAGACAGCCCGTTTATCCATCCAACCTACAACCAGGTAGGTACTTGAACCGACACGAAACGCGTTTCTGAAATCCGCAAGAAAGGTCGGATACCTCCTGTACACATCTCCTTCCTTCTTAGAAGGACCCATGCCCTCGATTGTCGACCGTCGCAACCCTTTGGCTGCCAATGACGGCATCGACGCACCGATGGTCTTCGATGTCGACGCACGTCGCAAACGTCGCGTTCAGAGCTCGTCGTCGTCTCCCGGACGTCGTCACTTTCGCTCTCCCGGGATGCCGCAACTAACGGAGACTCAACTGCAGCCATCCTCCGGTTCACCTGCTTCAATGGCTCTGGTGGTGAAACCCGACGAGCACCTGCCACTGCCTTTGGGTCAGTCCGACCTGGAACTGCATTTGCTGCAGACCTTTGGAGCTTATGCCGGTCACCGGCTCACCCAGTCGTATCTTCGGATCAAACACTTGTCTCGAGTGACACAGTACGTGGCCGACGTGACGGAACGAGTGGCGCTGCGGTCCGGACTCGTGACGCTCGGTCAGCTGCTCTTCCGACAGTATAAGCGACTCGGGCATCCGCTCGTTCAGCACGTGGACGACGCCATGGGCAAGCGCGTGATTCACGCTCTGGTCAGGATCTTGATGCTATCCGAGCAGCACCCACGTCCTGTCCGGGCTTTGGAAGCTGCTGACTCTGGTAGCTGGAAGGACCATGAGGAGGGGGTCCAGGAGGACGATGCCAAGGGACTTGAAGAGCTCGTGGATAGCGTCAAGTTGACGTACCCGGAACGGTTTCAAGCTCTGCTGCTGGGGGAGGTGCCACGGGTCGAGCACGAGCTCGTGCAAGCTCGTCGTCGAGCTCAAGTTCTTGCACTGGAAAGGGAAGAGGAAGAGCTAGAAGCGTGTGTGCAAGCTGAGAAAGATGCAGCAGCAGCAGCTCAAGAAACAGAGCCGCCTGTGGTCATGGACCTCAAGGACTTTGTGCCGCTGGACGAGGTGGTCCGTCTCAAGGACGAGAGCAAGGAACAGCTGCAAGAAGCAGCGCTCGAGATGGCGCAATTGCGTGCGCAGATGACGGAACTCACGCGTGAGAAACAGCGACTCGAACAGCGCTTGACTGACGTGCACAATTACCGGGAGAGCGAACGCGGTCGCCGCTTCCAGGACATGGAGGAAGACCTCGCCCGCACGAAACTCGAAGCGAGCCAGAAGGCCCACGAGCTCCGCGCGCTCGAACTCGCTTTCAACGAACTGCAGCAACGCAAACACAAGAAGAAGAAGCGGAGCCGAAGCCGCAAGACGACCACCAGCCAGTCGAATGCATCCGAGGCTACGCTCCCGTCGCCCCAATCCGAGAAGAAAGCTGCAACCCACGCGTAACCTCTGCAGTAGGACGTCTCGACTGCTGCATCACCTCAACAGCTCACAAGGAAACAATGAAAAGGTTTGGTGGGGATGTGAATGTATCTCTTGAGAGAGCTCTCTCTCTCTGTCTCTCATTTTTTAGTGTGTATGTAGTTGCTATAGTTTCGGGTCCTTCTCCTTCCTCTTAGCTTGAGATCCCCACGACTCCGAACGCCGTAATAGCTCCGGCATTTCCGTTCTGGAGCGAGAGGTCGTGGCCGCCCTTCCCGAGGTCGTCCTCGTTCGCGTGAACCGCGAGACTGCGGCCAATGATCGAGTGCGGGCCAATGAGCTTCACGAGCGCGTCTTCCACGTGCACCTTGGCCCGGCCGTCACTTGTCACGTCAATGTTCCCGAGCGAGCCAACGCAGCGCTCGTCGTCTGTGTGAGCGCCGTGGGTCTTTCCGAAGGGGTTAAACACGCCACCAGGTTGAGAAATGTCCCCAAAGATGTTCACGTGCAGCGCGTGTTTGCCGGGAGAGAGGCCCGAAAGCTCCCCCGTGATAATGCTCTTGGCGTCTTCATGGGCCTGGGTGATGGTGAGCGACCCGTACACGGTCGCGTCGGTGCCGTAGAGCGTGCACACAGCCTTGGCCATGACGATATAGGGCTCAAGATGAGGAGTGGACCGGTGGACGCGTGAGAACCAGTGGTTTTGTGGACGGAGCACCCAGTGAAAGGGGGTGGGATAAATGGTGAGAGGAAGAGGAGTGGGAGAAAAATCTGGGTGCTTTGAAGTATTGTCGTCGCTGGTTGGTTACGTTGTCGTCGGACTTTTGAGGGTGTGGGTGGTTGTTCGCTTTGAGATGGTGTGGGTGCCAGACAATGTAGGTTGGATGGGATATTTGGATATTTGTAGATGGTGTGTAATTAGTGAGGGAATGAAGGCAGAAAGAAAAGATTGGTCGATAGAATGATTGACTTGAATACCGGATATCGGTCGACAAAACTGCTAATGAAGATGTTTTCGAAAAGGTGGCGGATATTTTACCGAGTATTTGGCTCAGAGGCGTCACTTGGACTTTGACGCAACGCTGGTGCATTGGCTACACCGGTTAAGTACGGTATTGCGGTAATGTACCCACCTACTCTCGTAACTGCTCGAGTGAACTGACAACCAGGATACAACATCCGTTGCAAACGTAAGCAGCATCTTTGTGACAGAGTGCGACTTTATCGCTGATCGTGGCTTTTTTATGATAGTGTTCACTCGAATGTGCTACCTGTTGGTTGTGACCAGCTATCGTTAACGACTCGGTCGACTTGTGCTGGCAATCGAAGAGATGATCCGTGACAAGAAGATAGATAAGATCGATCGTAAGATACTAGATGGGATCGTGAACATCAGAGTTTGACTTGATGTCTTGCAAGCTCTTTTCAAATCCATCGATCTAGTGAGTGAAAATGGTTGTCGATATCACTAAACGATCTAATGTTACGAAGAGTCGTGGATGAAAGAGCGACAAGTGTCTGTTTTCTAGCTTATTATTATCTGCAAACACTCATTCGCTGTCACTTTACAGATGTTAGAACAATCGTAGACCACCAAATCGTACGAACTCAACGATCTCACACACCATTGATCCTTACGCATAAACGCGATCACATTTCGATACCGAAAAAACGACACGAACGGATAACGACAAACGCTTCGTGTTGCACTCCGCATGATTTCGCCTCCTGATGGATGTTGTTGAGCGATAGCCCCGACATGGGATAAGCTGTAACAATATAAAAACCACTTCGCTGCCGCACCGTTTTCACGTACGGAGATATTTGCTTGTCGTGGTGATCTATGTCGAAACACCCAACATCCCACAAAAGCCGTGAATCAGCTTGTCTCGTAAAATGGCGCATGTCAAGTGCGTGGTTGTTACCCAATCGGTCTCGTCTCTAGCAGCATCCTTCAATTTGCAAGAGAGAGTAGCGGCTTCATCTTGATGCATCGCTAGCTCTTGCTGTAGCGACTCAATAGAGCGCTGCCGGTACTTCTTCATCTGTGTTTCCCGATCTTGTAGACGCGACAGCTCTACTTGAAGTCTCTGAAGTTGCACCGTTTGGTGCCGACCTCTCTCCTACAGTCAATCAGTATTCGATCGGTGGCGTTTGAAACAACGTCCCAAAACACTGCACCTTTGTTTACACGATACCTTTTTGCGCTTACGATACCGACGGGATGCTGTCTGCATCTGCATCTTGCGTCGAAGTTCGTCAAACTCGGTCGCGTCCATGACGAAAATGTGTTGACCATTTGACACGGTGTTCTTGTCCAGGTTATGGTGGTCGGATGGACACGACCTTTGACCTGACAGTGGTGAATCCCTCAAATTCTGCTGAAGTACTGAAGCTGGAGGTGAGATCGGGATCGTGGCGACCGTGCTGGAATCGCGTATCCCGATTGGGTTGAGACCAGCACGTGGCATGTTCGGAGGCGAGACCGGGACAGGTGCAACTTCTATCAAGTGCAAGTCGCCATTGCACGACTGTGAGTCGGTGCCTTGTCTAACATGACATTGAAAATCAAGACAATAATATGACTCAATGTGGTAAGCACTTGCATGCCATTGCACAGGTGACGCTCGATCTCCCATCGGGTTAATGTAGACAGGTAGTTCATGTTGAACTTACATGACATGTCGAGTTGCTCGCGCTTCATCAGGTGACGGACTTGGTTCCTGCTCGTGATTTTCCACGTACATTTCTTCATCACACTTTACTTCTTGCACTAACGCATCACTTTGTGATCCCATCGTAGCTTCCGGACTAGCCACAAGACACTTCTCCAGCATCTCTCGACCATTCTGAATGCGATCGCAATTGTGACAAGCATCGGAAGAAAAGAGTTCGTAGTCACTCGTGGGGCTTCCAGTCGATAACAGCTCCAACACTTCCTCCATCATCATCCGGTCGCACGGAGTCGTACCGAAAAGGTCGTGAGGTTCTCGCCACGCCATGTACTTCTTAACGAGGAGGAACAAGAGTGATGGAAAACACGAAGAGCGAAAACTCGGCGGGAATCTGCGACGAGCTCAACGGGTGAGACGTCATCGACACGTCAGCCATTCGCATGTCTAGCAACGAGTTACGGATTACGACGCCGCCGTTTTCCAGGTCGAAACTAAACTTCGTGCTGTCTGTTGTTGTTCTGTCTCAAGAACAACATGTTGACGCAATTGACGTTCCCCCACAGGTTCCTGTTCTCATCATCCATCAGTTAAGGTACTAATCATCGTCGTCTCGTCATCATTGTTTAGCATCAACATCTCAATCAACTTCCCACCTCCTTGTTTGCTACAGTTACAAACCAGAAAGCATAGACGATCTGCTCTTCACGGTCTCAACTAAAAGATCTCATAGCTTCGCATCGACACAGTGTCTGTCTGATCCAGACAAAGCTGCTTGCTACATGTCCATCAGTTCTCACAATTCCACCACGTTGTCAGCAATTGCCTCGGGATAGAGCATGATCGAGAGCGCATCAAGACGAAACGGAGTCTACAACGTGGTGCGATTGTTTACGACTTGAAGTGACCGAGTCAAGGTCCTTCATGCCACGACGACGTCCACGTGGTATATGTGCCATCGTCGATACTTTTTGCACCAAACTGCCGTAGGCAGACTTCTCGCCTTGTAAATGGAAAAATGTTACAGCCCAGCAGGGTGGTAGGCGGTGGTAGTCTCGTCCGGTATCGGAGTGTGCAATTGATGCAGCGATGCCTGAGACGAGCAGTCTTTGTCAATCTTACTCTTGGCAAGCTCATCATCATTAGGAGAAGCATCGGATACTGCCACTTGAATGCATTCGACCGAAGCCCAGCCAAAGTCATGATTCAACATGTCGAGCGACTGCACATCGAGATTGCGAGCCACAAGCGTTTTGCCAGCATCACGATAGCGCAAAGCAGCTTCACGCAATGCCGCAACAGCCGAGAAATCAGCAAGCGTGCAGTCGCTCATGTCCACGATGATAACGTCCGGGTCGTGAAGGACGTCAAAGAACTCGCGGAACGAAGCCACGGACGAGAAGAGAAGTTGGCCTCTCACATAATACACCATGGCCACTTCCTGGTGTGTGGGTTCTTCGCTGTCGGTGCACATGCTGACAACAGGCACAACTTCCGTGCCAGTGTGAAACGTGAGCTTTCGACCGCTCTGCCAGCTATTGACGAGACACTGCCAGATAACGCCAATGATGACTGCAATGGCGAGGTTCGTAGTAGCAGCAAGCACGGTCACGAGGACAATGGCGATGGTGTCTTCGATCTTGGCACGGAAAATGAGCTTCAGCGACGGCCAGTAGAACGTATGGATGACAATCACGAACAGAATTCCCGTAAGGCAAGCCACAGGCACGTGCTCAATGACTGAGCTTGCAAAAAGCACGACGAGAAAAGTGCACACTCCACCCATGAACGCCGAGAGACGGTATCGACCACCGTTCAGCACGTTTCCATTCGACTGCGCGATCATGGAGCAGCCTCCCATCCCAGAGAAGAAGCCGCACAAAATGTTGCCAACACCCTGTGCAATGCACTCTTTCCGCGTAGCTTTTTGCGACAGCTGCTCCTTCTTCAGATCAACAACCGACTGCAGCGTCATGAGCGACTCGAACAGTCCAACTGCCATGACACTTGCTGCTGTCGAGAGCACAACTCCCCAGTCTCGCACGTCTTGAAACGCGGGAAGAGCAAAAGTCGGTAGTCCACCGCTGAGCGGAGACGTATCCCCAATCGTTCGTACGTCATATCCAAGCAGCGGACGATTGATGCCAAACTCCAGCCCAACGCCAACCACTGCTGCAACAAGCGTGGGTGGAACCAAAGGGCCAAGGTACGGCACCTTGGAAAAGTACTGCATGATGACCATGGTGAGCAGCACAAGGCCAATGGTAACCCACGTCGTTGGAGACGACGCTTTCATCCACTCGAGGTCTCCAGCAACTTCACACGCTCCGAAAGTCCTGCTGTCGTCGACACACGTTTGGATCGTGGTTTTCTGCGACAGGAACATCATGATGGCCAGGCCATTCAAGAAGCCAATGTGAGCGGTCCGTGGGATCATGGAAAAGAGCGTCGAGAGACCCAAGAGACCAAAGACGAGCTCCAAGACGCCGGCAAGCGTCACAGCCACGAACAAGTGCTGCAATCGCTCGTCGTACGTCAAGTACGACAAGGACCCAGAGCTGCTTGTTATCGACGGCAAGACCATGGCAACTGCTCCCGCAGCGCCTGCGACAGTCGCAGGGACGCCTCCAAGAAGACTCACGAGGATCCCGAGGATCCCGGTAGCGTAAAGGCCATTGACCGGGTCCACGTTCGCTGCGTAGCTAAACGCGACTGTCTCAGGCATCATTAGGAGCATAGCCGCGACGCCACAGAGGACTTCCCGCTGACAAACCGCCGGGTGGTGCCAGTAATAAGAACAGCACGTTGAAGTCGCGACGTGACGACCGCAAACCGAAGCTTGCGTCATCATTCCGGTGGTCGAATCAGAACGCGTCGAGCATAAAAAGGAGCGCGAGCAGTGCTGAAGGGTCGTGACGACGCGACGACAGCCGTGACCAACACTCGCGTCCCATTGGCGCCGGAGCGAGTGCGGCGTGGCGCGACGTTCGAGCGTTGTATAGCGGTGGGAGGGAGGGAGGGGCGACAGCTTGGAGGACGGCGAGGGGGCGTTGCTGAGACGAGGCGTGTCCATGTCGTGGGACAAATGATGATGATGATGATGACGATGGCGACTGTTTATTGACGAGGAGGCAGCGAAAATAAGGGAATAGGGGGATAGGTAGTGGTCGGGTACTGAATCGATCAAAGGGAGGACGCTATTGGCGCGTCGAATCGAAAATAGAAACGACGCGGTGATACATGGATGGGTACATCTTTCTATTCCCTCGGGTTTCGACACGTTTCGTAAACGGGACCGCGAGCGTATTCGTACGAAACGCTGACATGTGTGTATACTTAGCGACGACAAAATCGGTACGCTCCACCCGTCCCGCCATCCCGCTGTCCCATCGTCCCATTATCCCACCATCCCATTATCCGCACATCCGACCTCGTTTCCGTAGCGTTACTTCACCCTCCGTCCCCCTCTCTTCCCATGGCGACCCACTACGGCCGCCACCTCGAGCGACTCGAGCGCGGCGAGCCCCTCGAAGCCAACGCGTTACTAGCGCTCTGCGAGCGCGTCAAAGACCTGCTGGTCAACGAAGACAACGTCGTGGCCGTCCCGTCGCCCGTGGCCGTCTGCGGGGACCTCCACGGCCAGTTCCACGACCTCCTCGAGCTCTTCAAGTTATCCGGCCCAGCGCCCGAGACGAGTTACGTCTTCCTGGGAGACTTTGTCGACCGCGGCGCCATGAGCGTCGAGACCATTTCGCTACTGTGCGTCCTCAAGGCGAGAGACCCCGACCGAGTGACGCTCTTGCGGGGCAACCACGAGTCGCGGCAGACGACGCAGGTCTATGGGTTCCAGCTCGAGTGCCTCAAGAAATACGACGGCGACGCGCGGATCTACAAGGCGTTCATGGACCTCTTTGACTTCCTCCCGCTTGGCGCGCTCATCGACGAGCGGCTCTTGTGTCTCCATGGCGGACTCAGTCCCGCGCTGCATCACTTGGACCAGCTCCGGATGCTCCATCGGTTCCAAGAGATCCCGCCCGACGGCATCTTTGCGGACATTGTCTGGTCCGATCCAGATGCCAAGACCCTGGGCTTCCACATGGTACGTGCGTCTGTCGTTGTTGTGGACGCGCTATGATGATGATGATGATGATGGTGCTCATCTCGGTGCTTGTGCTGCGCTTGGCTTTCTGCTCGTGCTGGGCTAGTCGCCACGGGGAGCGGGATACATTTTCGGGGAAGACGTGGTCGAGAAGTTCTTGCACACGAACAAGCTCATGCACATGGCGAGGGCCCATCAGTTGTGTATGGAGGGCTTCCAAGTGCTGTTTCGAGAGACGTTCTCGACGGTGTGGAGCGCACCGAACTATTGCCACCGGTTTGGCAATCTTGCCGCAGTCATGGCTGTTGATGACCACCTTGAGGTACGGTGAAGTGAAGACTAGAAGTGCTGGCTGGCTGAACACGAGTGCGTGTCGACTTTGCAGCTTTTGCTCTTTCGCAACTGACATTCACCGTCTTCTTCTTCTTGGTAGCGCACGTACAAGACGTTCAAAGAGGCGGCGTCGTCCAGGAACATTGGCGTACTGGACAACAAGGGCACCACGAGCTCGGACGCAATCGACGCAGGGTACTTCACGTGAGCCGAGGGGAGTGATGGCAAACATGACACAGACAAAGGGACGTCAATAGATTCTGTATGGTACAGCTCACTGACCTCAAAGCTTGCAGCATGCAGCACGTCGTTGCTTAGCGGTGACGCCGTTTTTTTTCCTTGCGGTTCCTTGCACGACGCTTGTGGTCCTTTTTCGCCTTCTCGTACGCTACAGCGATCTGCTCCATCGTCCTCAGGCGCAAAGGCTTCATCTTCGACTTCACACACTTGTCGATTTCAAGCGCGTCAAAAACAACGAGCGAGTCGGGGTGATTGTACAGCTGGGCATTGCCCACCATCAGGTTAAAGTCATCCTCGAATTGGTCGTGTGACGTATAGAAATAGTCGTCCAGGCGCGCCTTGATAGTGATCAAGTCCATCGGATGCTTCACAATTGTATAGTAGTCGGGATAATCCACTGCCGAGGGCTTCTCCACATACAGATCGGCTCGTAGACGCCCGGTCGGGTCCTTGAGTTTAACAACGGCGTCATAGATCTTTCGGTAGTAGTAGCACAGCATCTTGCGCTCACGCCTCAATGCCTCGTCCTCTTCGCGACATACGTCCGGAACTTCGACCGCAGCAGCCACATCATCTTCATTCCCGCCACGCTTCCGCTTGCGAAGCGTACTTTCCTGCAAGCTCTTTGACGACAACTTCAACGCCTTATCATCAACTCCATCCTCGCACATCTTGACAAACTCCGCGTCGGTAAATTGATCCCGGTACGACATTTCCTTGCGTTTTCGAGCTTTGCCAGAGACGGCATCCACGTCAAAGTTCCAAGCATCCTTGTCGTGCTTTCCCGTTGCAATATCGTGCTCCATACTCTTGTTGGCTTCGCGTAGCCACGCCGGGGCATCGTCCTCCAACATCAGTCGGGACCGGGGCACGCGCAGAAGATTGTATTGCTTGCAGTACTCGTCCCATTCGTCTGCCTCACGGTTTATGCGCTCACAGTCCAGTCGTTGATACAAGGCCAGTTCCTCGTCAGTCAACGCCATCATTGCGTTGATCTCGTCATCCATTAGAACAGTGGAAGCTTCATCATCACCAGTTGCGGCGTGCGCTGCTTCCTCTTGCTCCATCTTGATGAGGCTCTCAAGCATCGCACGTCGCTCTGCCTCCTTCGACCGATTGTTAAACTTGCCAGCTTCCACGACAAGATTGTTCATATTCATCTTGTCGGTCGCACGTGAGAGAATCTTCTCTTCCACGGGACTATTCGTGACAAGCCTGAAAACTCGCACTTCGTTCTTCTGGCCGATACGGTGCGCGCGGTCCTGGGCCTGCGCATCCATGGCAGGATTCCAATCGCTATCAAAAATGATCACCGTATCTGCTGTCGCGAGATTCAGCCCGAGACCACCGGCGCGCGTACTGAGAAGGAAGATGAAGAAGGGCGAATCTGGCGCGTTGAACATAAACATCCGCTGCTCACGTTCGTCAGCACTCGTTGAACCATCCAGCCGAAGATAACGGAAGCCACGATAGTTGAAATAGTCCTCCAGCACGTGCATCAACTGTGTCATCTGACTGAACATTAGCACGCGATGACCCGCAGCCTTTAGTTTCGGCAACATGCGGTCCAGCAGTTCAAATTTACCGGATGAACGCACGATGTCAAAATCAATCTGGTATCCGTTGGTCTGGAAAAGGTACGGGTGGTTACACACCTTGCGCAGCTGCATAAGCACATTCGACAACCCCTTGGACGTGTACTTTGCCTTTCCTTTCGTCTTGCCTGTGTTATCCGTTGTTTCCATAAGAAGTGCGCCTCCTTCTTGAATACGACGGTACATGATTTTCTGCCAGCCCGAAAGCTCACATTTCAGCACCTTCTCCACTTTGTCAGGCAATTGGTCAAGGACAGAAGCCTTCACGCGGCGTAGCAGGAAAGGACGTAGTACTTGGTGCAGTCGGTTTATGACCAGCATGCGTTCTTCGTCAGACAGCTCGTTTGAGTCGCCATTGCCGGAGAACTGGGCAAACGGCTTACTAAACCATTGCTCGAATGTATCCACAGACTCGAAAATCGTTGGCAGTAAGAAGTTCAAAAGTGCCCACAGTTCGGGTAGGCTATTTTGCAAAGGCGTGCCTGTCAGTAGCAGCCGGTTACGTGAAGTGTACATACTTCCGAGAGTCATCGCAAATTTGCTCTGCGCATTTTTCATGCGGTGACCTTCATCCACGATAATGTACTGCCAGTCGTATTTACGCAGCACGTGCTTGTCTTTCATGATGTACTCATACGTTGTCAGAAGCACGTTGAACTGGCACGATGCCATTTCCTGTTTGTGGAGGTCTTTGCGCACCTGTGGAGGTCCCTTATACACCACAATTACGAGGTCAGGCGCCCACTTCTTAAACTCGTTCACCCAGTTCGACAAAGTGGATAGAGGCACTACCACGAGAAATGGACCGTGATTGTGTTTGACTTCTGTCACGTACGTAAGCAGCGAAATGGACTGTATCGTCTTACCCAGTCCCATTTCGTCTGCCAAGATACCGTTCAAGTGGTTGTCATACAGCGAAACCATCCATTGCAAGCCCCGCAGCTGATACTCCTTCAGATCACCACCGACTAGCATGAACGGCTGCCGTGGCAGTTCACCTTTTGACGCGATCTCGAGATAATTCAGGTCGTCGTCTTGGTCGTCAGCACTGTTGTCATTTCTACCTTCATGGCGCGCGTCATAATGTGCCGTGTATTCGTCGACAACGTGGTGCTTTCGTTTGTGCTGACGCACCAGTTGACGGATGCTGTCCAGATAACTGTTCGTCTGGCTCAGCAAGTACGTCAAGCGCTCGTTCTTAGCCTCAGCTACCAACTTGCCATAAGCTTCCATATCGTTTGCCTTCAATGCCTTCAGACGAAGTTTCTCTTGACGGTCTTCTTCCCGCTCGGCCTTCGACGCACGCTGGTCGATAATGGCCTTGACCGATTTCGAAAACTTACTCACCTGTGCCTTCACGTTCTTGTGGTACGCAAAGAACTCGCGCGAGTGGTTCAGGATAGCCTTCAAGTACATTTGATGGTCTGCCCGCCGCTTCTTTTCCATTGCAACGGATTTCTTACGCTTCTCCCGCTCGTCACTCTGCAGTTCGACACGCAACACTGGCCGCCGACGTCGAAACGATCGACGGTCGACTGCAGACGGTTCGCCTAGCAGCGCCAGTCGCGTTGCGTGCGCTTTCGCTACATGACGCCGCAATTTTTGCTGCAGCAACACACAGCGAAGATCCCGCAGTGTGCGTTGCTCGTTTTCATCCAGCTCTCCATGGTAACTCTCCATCTTGTCCAAACTCGACGTCAAAAACTGCTGTAACGTCTGCATAAACCGCATCTTTAGTGCCACGTCGTTCAGCCCCAGATACGGAGTGCAGATACTGTACGGTCCAAAAGCTGCCTGGCCCTTGTTCTCAATATTAATGAGGTCCCCATCCAGATACTCTGGACCAATGTACAGCAAATTCCGAGCTGCTCGTGTCCATTTTGGCGTAATGAGCTCCAGCACTGCAGGGTCTGCGGTCGTCGATTGAGGTGGCAGCGACGCTGTCATTTTCACCTCTGAAATAGTAGAATCCACAGCTTCTGACGTCCTTCCAGCAGTACTGACTTGCTTGGTCGGGGCAATAGCGGTATCCATTGAGTGGCAAAGGGCTTTATAGGCTCGGATCTGATTATGCAGATATTCCAGCTGTTTTTCCGAAAAAATCGTGGATTTTTGGCGGCGCATTAACGGGTTCGCAGCGACTTCGAGAGGGACGGGCACCTGGATCAGAGCAGTATCAGGTGGAAATAAAGACATCTGAGTCGACGTCTGAATCGGATTATGATTGGGTGAAAATGGAGACGTCTGAGTCGACGTCTGAGTCTGCCGCTGCCGCTGGTACTCGCGCAGCAGCGCTACGATTTGCTGATACTTGGGATGACCTTTCTGACCAGCGCGTTGCATGCGCAATGCCACGTCCATCAGTTTCTTCACATTGGCAGGTGTCAACGCCACGCGCGGCGCTGCCGACGCGCTGCCTGATGACTCCATTGAGGTTTTTTTCCACTTGGAAACGGGTGGCACCGATTTCACTTGTTTTCACTATCGAACGAGAAATGAAGTCGAGACTGACTGATGCAGTCCAGAATAGTGTGGACCACATGAACACACACATTTTTATTAAAACGGAACCGAACAGAGACGCGTGATAATCACCATTGGCGCTGCTTATCTTCTCCGTCTGTATGGAACGTTTTACCACAAGAAAGGTGCTTCTCTCGTCAAACGACCCTAATCTAAGAAATGGACGCGCGGTCGAACACGTGGAGTGGAAGCGACTTGGTCATCAGCCGGAAATACGCCAGTCCAGAGTCCGAGGGGTTCTCTACACGAAGAATGACAACAACAACAACAACAAACACGACCACGTGAGATATCATGAGACGCTTTTTCCAGCACCGAGGAACCATGACGGATGCTCGGACGTACCGAACATGAACCCCATCTGGTTGTAGTACGTGATGACGGCAACAAGCTCTTCTGGTGAGTACGTGCGCATGGTAGCGCGGATCTTGCGGTAGTCCACCTGCTGCTTAAAGTGAACCTTCGTCGGAAAGTTCTCTGTCGTGGCAGCCACAAACAGACCGTTCTTCAGCTTGCGCGTCTCGTCATAGCCCTTGGCACCAATGTCCTTCAGAGCAGCGATCACCGAGATGTCATCAGCTGCTACGTCCTTGCCTTCGTGGCCGAAAACAGTCGGTTGGAACCACGTGTTGTAGTCATCAATGGCAATCAGCACCGGAAACTCCACAGTTTGCGCCAGTTCGTCTTTCAAATCGCACACAGCTTGGCATGCCAGCTCTTCGTCGCGAACACCACAGATAACCAAATCGCGCAACGTTAGGGAAGTACCCTCGAGATCAGCGGTATTCTTCGGCTTGGCCTCGTACTTGTCCGTGCTGTAGTAGCGATCCTTGTACTCACCACGCAGCGGAATCGACCGCAGCTGCTCTCCGTGGCAGTGCAAAAAATTCTGCAGCAGGTCTACGCCGTAGACGTCAATATCGAACTTTCCCTCCTGATACGGCGACTGCATCACATACGGAGCCTCGTGGCACCACGATCGCGGGTTTGGAATGTAGAGCACAATCCATTTGCTCTCGCGTGCAAATTGCACAATCTGGTGCAGCGCAAAGCTCTTGCCTGTACCGCGCTCACCATCAATCAAAAACGCGCCAGCAGAGCCACTATCCTTGGCCGTCTCCCAGTCTGCAGACGCATAGATACACGCCTCCATCAGTCTATAACCAGCACCCCACAACAATTCCCATTCAAACAGCCTCGCACGAGCATGCAGTTGACGTACCTTTCATCATTGATAAAATTTGCAACGTCGTGTCCCGCAACATGATGTGGCGATGGCCCACGAGGTCAAACGTATACTCCATGCGGCGACCAACACCTTCTGGAAAGAGCTCGTCCAGCTGCTCCTTTGCAAACGCAAAGAACTTCAGCCGATGTGTCTCCGTCGCCTAATGGGTACAACACCGCACAATATTGTTATTCATCAGCATTCTTAGTTCTTTTCTCGCAGTCCAAAAAAAGTGTTTTTTTCGAGTTACAACCAGTGAGTACCTGCGCGATGGGTACACTCGCAAGTGTACCCATGTCCCCGTCCGAGCTCTTTCCAGCGTCCGTCGTCTCCGAGACAGCAGCAGAAAGAGAAAGAGGAGCGTGCACATCCGTAGATAGTGCACGAATCCATGGAGACTGCAAACGCCGCATGGTCATGGCCCGAGTCAGCACGCGCACGGCCATCGTCAGTCGATGGCTAGGAATGCGTCTCGTAAAAAAGTGGATTCAAATCCACCAATCACCGGCTCCAACCGATTTCCACGACGTTTTACGCTCTGCAATCGATCCATGAGACAATGAAACCAATTAATTCCGCAAATAAATTGATTCATCCATTCAATCAATACATCCACGCACGCAACTACGGTTGTCGACGTCTACAGCAACCGACCGACCGACCGACCGACTGAGCGCCCGCCTCCTCCACTTTTGAGCCCCTTCTCTGCCAAAACGTGCCCCCTCTCTTTCCAGTTTTGGGCACACCGGATTCCACAGGGCGGGCGGTGGTTACGCTGGCGAACCCGGAGACTCCAGCGGCAGCCAGCAGCTCGTCGGCCATGCTGAGCCGCTGCTTGGCCGCGACGTTCTGTTCGAGCGACACGTCTGCCGTGGCGACGCTCCGGCGCTCGCTCCCCTCCAGCGACGGTCCCTCCAACAGCCACAGCAGTAGTAGCAGCAGCAGTAGCAGCAGCAGTAGCAGCAGCAGCAGTAACCGGTCGAGTACCCCCCAGCCGCAGAACCTGCTCGCGGGAGGGTACGCCCAGCGCCGTCCTCTGCCAATCAAATCGCCGCTTGCTGCGTTCAAGTCGCAGCTCGAAGGGACTCAGAAAGACTCGACTCCGACTCAGATGTCGTCGGCCGAGGAGCACGAGTCGGTACAAAAACGAGACCGGGACGACGGCGACGGAGAGCAGTGTAGACGGGACGGGACGATGGTGTTTGAGGTGGACCCCACAGCAGTGCAGCTCGGGCGAGAGATTGGGAAAGGGGCGTTCTCGATCGTCTACATGGGCGAGTACCGTGGCCAGCACGTGGCCGTCAAGTGCCAGCCAAAAGACGCCGAAGGCGCCGTTCCTGTGTTTGTGAGGCGGGAAGTGGAGATGCTGCGGCTGCTGCATCATCCGAGACTGTTGCAGTTTACAGGAGCAGCGGACCACGTCCGTGCCAAGCAAGTCTGGATCTTGAGCGAGTACTTGAACAATAGGGACGCGGATTGGCTGCTCAAGGCCATTCGGAGTGGCACGAGGAGCCACATTGGCTGGCAGGCTATGGTGCGGATTGCACTGGATGCGGCTCAGGGGATGGAGTATTTGCAGCAGCGACACTTTGTGCATCGGGACATCAAGTCGTCGAACATCTTGCTGGACGATCAGTACCGCGCGAAGCTCTGTGATTTTGGCTTTGCGATCGAAATCAAGCCTGTGGAGGTTGTCGCCCATGGAGATGATGTCGATGTTGATGTTGGTGGTGCTGGTAAAGAGCATCGCAATTTGTATTGCGGGACGGATGCGTACATGGCGCCCGAGATGTTTCTGAACGAAGACTATGATCAGAGCGTGGACATTTTCAGCTTTGGTGTGGTGCTCATGGAGATGTCGTGCTGCCGTGTGGCCAACTCGGATGGCTTCTTGATGCGTCTTCCACAACACAAGTTCCAGGTGTCGTTATCTGAGTTTCGTGCAGCTCTTCCAGCGTCGTGTCCCCCGGCGCTTGCAGCCCTCGCAGCGAAGTGTGTGTCGTTTGAACCAAGTGAGCGCCCTGACATTAAGACTATCGTGCGAACGCTCGACGGTGTGCTGCAAGACACAAGTAACAGGCCCCGAGACGTTGTGGATCTGGTTCCCTTCACGCCAGATGACCGTGAACCACAAATTGAAGAGGACGATGATACTCACTTTGGTGATGGCGACGATGGCGAGAGTGAGGGCGAGTGTGAGTTTGAGGATGACGAAGAGGAGGAGGAAGAAACTAACGAGGAAAAAGGTGACGACAGTAGCTACGAGTGGCAGGCAAACGCCCGTCCGATCACAAGGAGCTTGGAGTTGGACGAAGACAGGAGCAGTGTGCGTTTGCCAGTGATCGGCGAGCAGATTTTGGACGGTAAGGGTGAGGAATGCCATAAGGCAGTCGAGTTCACCTCTCGAGGTTCTTATCATGAAGGAGTGATGCTTAAGCGCAGCCGTCGCGGGAAACGTTCGTGGGTGGAGAAGTGGTTCATCATTGACCACGACCAGCTTCGCTACATGGACATTGCGCCGCGCAGGCAACAGCAGCACAGTCAAGAGGGACATTTTCGGACAGTGCAACCCACTTCATCGCTGTCGCTGTGTGGGTGCCGTATCTGGAAAACGACGGAGATGCCTGAACTGCAGTTCAATGTGATCGACAGCAACTGGAAGATTAAACGCGAGCTCCAAGCGTTGTCAAGGCGTGATCTCGACCTGTGGACGGAGCTTATAAACCAAGCAATCGACCATGCCAACGACCTCCACGCGCGTGAGCACGACGGAGCAAATGATAGCACGACCGAAGCAAGCGCGAGTAGCAGCAGCCCAAGTCGTCCTAGTCGAAACAGGGCGCATACGCTACAACTACCGACTCAAGGGCCGTCCAGGCGGTCGAGTGTAACATCGGATGCTACAGTTTTGCAGAAGATAAGGCGCCGGAGCAGTGCTGCGAAATTCGAAGTACCACCAGAATTGCCTGAGACGGAAGAGGATCGTTTAGACGAAGTCTATGCTTGGCTCAAGCAGATCGGCTTCCAGCGGTATACGCGTATGCTGAAAGCAAAGGGCTTCGATTCGCTGGACTTCATTCGCGAGGTGAGCTGCATTGCTGCATTGCGGTCGTTCGTTGTTATACTCACCACCTGTTGTTGCAATCTAGACTGGTATTGAAATGGAAGATTTAAATTTTGTGGGCATCAAGGAGCCCCTGGCTCGCAAATCGATTCGCTCGGCAGCTAGAAAACTGCGAGGCGATGACGATGATGATTGAGCGAGTCAGCTTGACCGGGATGTTCTTCGCTGTCGTGGTAGGCGTACTCTGTGAAGCCTGTAGTGAAGGTTGGTCGCCACGATGTTTCCTTAACGTATAGTATGCCACATCACCTCCAGACTCCGTTCATTTTCATCCATTCTTAGCGCTGCCTCTGCTACATGTGAGCACCGGGACCGTGATACAAGCTCGAGCAACAAACAGCGCCCAGCCTACCTGACATCAGTGCAGATAAAACCGAGACAGAACACAAGCGCTTGCATCCAGAGTGAAAAGCTGAACATTGCAGCCTAGATCACACAGAGAGAGCTCTACATCAGCGATGCGTTGGATGTCAGACCGTCCTCGACGCCCGTGAGCAGGTTGCGTAGAAATGTCTCCGTCACGCGTGTGTAATTGATTATCTCCGAGCGGTTCATCTTGTCCAGCGACATCTCCAGCAGCCCGGTCAGGTGTTCTGCGTTCTTCTCCAGGTTTTCTTGCAAGTACTCAAACAAATTCTTCTCCTTTCCGAGCGGCAAGTAGTAGCCGAAAACATACGTATACTTCAGCACTCGTCGGCACTGAATCAGCTGCTCCGTAGCTGCGTTCAGAAACTGCACGTCAATCCAGGACGAGTCGCCGTGGCTGGCTTGCAGCTCTATCATGCGGTTCTCCGTGCCTTCACGCATTCGCTGTGCAAACTTGCCGGCTTCCGAATGATTGGCGTACCTTTGGTAGTAGTGGAGGTATCTGTCCAGCTCTGCCTTCGCCCGTGCCGCATCCGTATCAGCAGTCTCTGCATCCGCGTCGTAACGATTGCATTTGTAAAAGCCACCCGTGCCCGACCCATGCTTGTCCCACCCTTCCATGCATATCCAGCAGAACTCGTAGTTGCAACTGCGGCATGTCATGTGGTTGCAACCCTGATTCTTTTCGATGCGGACAGAGCACTTGGGGCACTTCTTCGTGTTCGCCAATATCCAGTTGGCTGTTTCGGACTCGTTGCGGCATTTCTCCTGCCAGGAAGCAAGCTGATCGCACGAAACTGGCGCGTGGGCCTCCTCACCACAGCGCAAGCAGAAGACACATCCACATGTGCACGTCACCGACGACAATCCGCCGGCGCTGATGATAGCCTTGCTGCAGCCCGGTGACGGGCACCACTTGACGCCTCTGTTGATGTCCACGAACGATCGTAGCAAGTACCGCGCATACTTGAGATAATCCTGCGCATCCACAATCTTCTCAAAGATCGATTCACTCACCACCTGAACAGATAGCAACATGCATGAGTAAGTAAAGTGATGCCGCAGTTTACGCAACTCAAGACCCGGCCCACCTCCTTGCACCCGTGCGCAGGGCACGTCGTGGTCACGCATACCGGTCCTTCTCCAATCTTGAGCGACAGGTACGGTTTCCAGCAACCAAGACAGTACACGTGACCGCAGCCCATGCCAAACACGTCACTCGCTGCGTACTCGTCGCAACAAATCTTGCAATCCACCTACAAACACCCAGCAGCAGCAGCAGCAGCAGCAGCATTTTTTTGTCAGCAATTAGTAAGTAGGAACGCCAGCAAAAGAGACTTCCTGCTCTTTCAGCTGTACCTTGGTCGATGCTGGAATCACTGGCGCCTGTTTGTCGGCAAACTCCACGCCCGCTTCGTGCTTCACCTTCACCGGGTCAGCATAGTATTCTTCAAAGAGCTTCTCCTTGTTCCAGCTAAAGTACCGCAGCAGTACCGACGCTTCGGACGTCGAGATCTCCAGCACTTGAGCGATCTCGTGGATGAGCGCGTGCTGCTCCTGCAGCAGCTCCTCCTCGTCAATCACGTGGTACTCCTGCTGCTTCTGACTCCCAGCACGTCCCAATCCACTGGGACTCAGCCGTTTCTTCTTGGCAGACGAGCCACGTCCGAGCGGAGACAGCGAGTCGACCGCGTGCTGTTTCTTGGCACTGGGGGGACTGAAAAGAGCCGGAAACTGGTCATTCGTCAGCCCTTTCTTGCCCCTGTCTTGCTCTTGGACTTGCTCTTCGTCGTCGTCGTCTTCTTCCGAGTACTGGTACTCCTCCTCGACGTCACTGTAGCGATATTCGTCATCAGAGAGCGACGAGCGAGACGGATCGACAGTGTTTGTGCTCATGTTGCGACGCTTCTAGAGGGATTTGCGTACTCAAAAACACACGAAACGATGCAGAAGGTAGAGAGGATGAAGATGAGATGTCGAGCGTGGCTTGGGAGGGAGTACAGCGAGCACTACGCGATCAGGAAGAACGGCTTTCTTCGACCGACGGCTTGCGAGCTTCGAGGCGGCGTTTTGGAGGCGAGGAAAATGCAGAGAAGGGAGTTGTATGAGGAGGAGAGAAGACGGTTTTAGAGCGATTTGGGCGACGTTTTAGAGCGCTTGAAGTGGCGATTTAGCAATCGAGAGGCTGTTTGCTCGACAAGTTGCTTGAAATAGACACAAATCGGTAGGTTTCAGCTCGACGACTGGCAGCGGGTCTCAACTCGCGCTTGACCTATTCCAAAACTAAAACTGAGCATGTACTTTTTGGAATACCTGACACTCCGGTATGTCCTGTCGGAGACCTTTGGACCCTCATATAACAGTACTGCGCCAATATTGTCCCGTGCTTGACGCTATTTAGATCACTCGTGACAACAGACACGGTTTTGCTGACCCTATCGACAACTCCTTGCAGGATCTCAGTAGTAGGCTAACAAATGTAGCGATACAGCGAGTCTCACGGCATTTGACTGTGCTCGGATGTGTCGGTCGATCGAATTAAACCTGTACGATGGTCTCACCAACAGCGCTCGAAAGCGCAACATAAGTGTCGTCGTACAACGTACGCGGCGTATAAATGCGACCTGGCCACATTTTACGAGCCCTTTTCGGAGATACAACAACGCGCTCGGTTTGTCTCGGAATGTCTTCATGCGTGCTCGTCCCTTGAAAACATATTGAGAGACATGAGTTTCTACCGTCATCCATTACCGCGCATGTTCGCAAAGTGGACGACTGCAGGCAGCATCGAGTTGGAAAAAGAGACTCAACCCACGCTCCTATCAACGCCCACAATACCGATAGGTCCGCCGTTACTCGAAAGCTGTTACGAGCAGCTTCAACGAGCGTTCAACAGATGAAGCGTCTTTCTCCCGCTTGTTATGCTTCTCTTCTTCTGCAGTCGTTCGATGCTGGAGCTAGTGTGCTACCGTAGCATCAGATCACTTTCCCATGAAAAACAAGTGAAGCAGCCACCACGTTGCGGTCGAGATTTGAAATCGACGTGTGGTCAGGAGGGACGACGTGGTTCCCCACCACTGCTCCGAGCATACACACCTAGTCTCTGCTATCGACGTCGTCTCGCCGTTTATCACTTGCACTCGGACCGAGCACTACGTTGACTACTAGCTACACTTTATGACCGACCGTCCGACCGTCCGTCCGTCCGACCGGTTAGCTCCCCTTCGTACAAAAAACAGCCACGCCCCCCGCTCCGATCATCGATCGATCGATCACCTGCCGCTTCCATCCGTCACTTTGCTTTTGTCCACATCGTCCCGACCCCGTGGAGTGAGTCAACAATCCCACTCCCTTTGCCATGGGGACACCACCCAAATCCCGCGTCACCGCGTCGTCGTCCAGCTCCCGCAGCTCGGGCGTCGAGTGCATCGTCGCAGGCGTCGTGTCGGGCTGCGTCACGCGCTCGTGCACGTCGCCCCTGGACGTGCTCAAGATTGTGATCCAAGTGAATGGCCCCACGTCGACATCTGCCGCGCCGTCCATGCTCGTCGCTAGCCGTGCGATCGCGTCGCGTCCATCGACGTCCTCGGCCATTGCACGCACAGTCCGTGAATTGTACGCACTCGACGGCGTGCGTGCATTCTGGCGCGGCAACAGCGCGGGCTGCTGTCGTCTTGGGCCGTACGCGGGTTTGAAATTCTACCTCTTTGACTCGCTTCAGACCCGTTTTGGAGCAAACGATGGCCACGGACTCTGTACCATGCAGCGCGCTCTCTGTGGCGCTGTGGCTGGTCTGATTGCGACAATGGGAACGTACCCGTTGGAGGTCGTGCGTACCCGCATGATCCTACAGACGACAGCGCCTACAGGTGCGACCTACGAGATCCGTGGGGTTCTGCAGGGCGTGCAGCTGATTCTAAGACGAGAGGGACTGCGTGGCCTCTACCGCGGCGGGTGGTCGGGCGTCATGGGTGCGATTCCGTTCGAGGGTGTGCAATTTGGCTGCTACGAGTACCTGAAGGCGAGTGCGGTGCACCATCAATGGCCCGCGTATCGCTGGCCAGAGGGGAAGACCGAGATGGACGGGCTCGACTTTTTCGTCTGCGGGAGCGTCTCGGGCGCGATTGCGCAGACAGTGGCGTACCCGTTCGATACGGTAAAGAAGCGACTGCAGTCCCAGCGAGTGCGCGTGGCGGCTGAAGCAGACAGTGCGTCGACGCTGTACTACCGAGGGATGGTCGACTGTTTCCGCAAAGTCATTCGTGACGAAGGGCCGTTGGCGCTGTACCGCGGCACGGGCCCGAACCTCGCGCGCATTGTGCCGTACGCTGCCGTCATGTTCTCGACGTATGAGACGACGAAAAAGACGTTGCGGTTGATGAGTGAGAGCGCGTGAGTGGAGCGAGAGGGAGGGGAGAGAGAGTGAGAGTGTGTGTACATAGTGTATGTGGCGTTGTGTGTGGTGAGGCAAGTTGGAGGGGCAGAGAGAGAGGGGGGAGGATGAGACGCTCGCCTCATGATATTTATTCTTCTAGTCAATAATGATACCGCTGCGAGTGAAGGTTCAGTGAGTTGTATCGTGCGTCTGTTATGTTTCGTCTTTGCCTCGAGGGCAACGAGTGTTTGTGTCGATGAAAACGAGACGGCCGCTTATAAAAGAAAGCGAAACAAGCAAAGCATTGTCGTCGATGCCCCTTGAACCAGGAAAGGGAAAGACGTGCTTGCTGTGAGATCCTGGTCCACACAGGATCGATCATTTCGCAGCTGACACCGAAACGAGGCAGTGTAGGATAACAGACGTTGTCTACAGATGTTTTGCAAGGCTTCCGCATTCAATGAGTAGCCCCGCACTTGTGTTTTCCTCAGCAGAAATGCGCTACATCAGCTGTAGAATGGATATTCCTGCATACTGGCGTAGAGTGCACGACAGGGCCATCGCTGTTGTATGAGCCAATCAGCACATTCAGCTGCACAAATCCATCAGCGAGCTGAATGCTACAGGCAGTTGTTAACGTCGGAATCAGTTGCGTGCTGTCGCCTCTTCCACCACGGGCCGCTCGCCACTGCTACGGTCTACCGCTCTCGTGCGAGTTACAACACACTGAGCTTCGTTGCCCTTCGTGGTCGTCTTCGATTGCAGCAAACACGTTCAGCAAGCAGCTAAAAATAGTCGTGGACACTGTAACAAAGCGACGTCGCTATGCGTTTACCGCGATTTCTTCCCCTACGACGCGACTTAACTCGCTAACGTAACGCCTTCACTTAACTTGAATGCACGAGTACATAACATCCACACACCCTAGTCCTGTACATGTATGATGCGAGCGCAAAAATTAACGTAAACGACGTGCAAAGTGACCGCAAACGACGTGTAGATATGCAATGCTGCCCTTGCCGTATCGCTTACTGCAAAGCCCTCGATTGATGTCACTACGCCATCGATCCGGGCTTGAAAGATAGGACTCGACGCACTTGTTCTTTGCGGCGTACTCCAATGATTGCTACATCTGTATACACATTGTCCAGACATCGCATCGATCGCACCGAGCGACGTTCTCTGTCCCGATCTTTGATTCCATGATTCACCCGCGACCTTCCGTCGACCAATGAGCGCGCCGTATCCGAGACAGGCGTTCGCCAAGTCACTGCGACTGGCGCCTCAGTGTAGCAGTCGAAGTACCAGCAGCAGCAGCAGTGGAAAAAATCCCCCCCCAGACGCACACGTCGTTCTCGTCATGGGGAATGTTGCTGCGAAAGAGGCGCCTGCCGCCTCAACGTCAACCCAAGTGCGCGACACGACAACAAAAGCAACCTCAACCGCAAAGGAAACCACAACTGCAACACCAAAAGCAACTGAAACGGAAACAGAAACAGAAACGGAAACCGCACCAGCAACGGCAACCTCGACATCAACGCCGCCACCATCCGAGTCACCGCCGCTATTCCGCGTTCTGTCGGCCGATCAGCGCGCCGTCACCTTTGACGAGCGCGCGCACCTGCGCGTGGGCGCCCAAGAGCGCGCTGACCGCGTGACGCTCGGCCTCGATGCCAGGTCGGACTTTCGGCCGCTCCAACGCGCCGCTACGTTCGACCCGCGTCTGCATGAGCAGAAGACCCCGTTGACAGCGTCGGACGTGCTGCACCGTCGCTTTTTCAACGTGCGCGAGCGCCGCGTGAGCGTCGGTGCCGACCGCAACTTGTTCCGCATCACGGAGGATGACACGGAGCGTCAGGAAGCAGTTGTCGTCGTGGATCCGTACTCGACGGGCATGACGTTAGCAGAAAAGGCACTCGCGCGGGGGTACGTCTGTCTCTGCGTGTACTCGGACACGCTGGACGTGACCCAAGAGCGCATTGCCAAGGTGCCCAAGCACTTGACCGCCAGGTACGGAGCCATCATCTACCACGACGGCGACGTCGAGAAGCGCGACGAGCACCAGGCGCTGGCCGACACGGCAGCGGCGCTACGTCGCGTCAAGCACGTGGACATTATCGCGGTCTTTCCCGGCGCCGAGACGGGCGTCATGCTCGCTGACAAGCTCTCGGAGCACTTGCAGCTCACGACCAACGGCACGAAAGGGTCGGCTGCTCGACGCAACAAGTACCTCATGGGCGAGAAAGTACGGGCCGCGGGTTTGCGCGCCGTAGCGCAAGTGCAAGCGACCAAGTGGTCGCAGGTCGAGGCGTTTGTGAATGAAGAACTGGCGCCGCGACTGGAAGCAGACGAGCGAGCGTTTCAAGTGATTGTCAAGCCCGTAGAGAGCGCCGGCAGTGACGACGTGATGCTCTGCTGCTCGATGGACGAAGTGCGCACGGCGTTTGGGAATATCCAAGGCAAGATCAACGGCTTGGGACTCGAGAACCAAGCCACGCTCGTACAGGAGTATCTGGACGGGATCGAGTACGTGGTGGATACAGTGAGTCGCCACGGCGTGACCAAAGTCGTGGCGCTCTGGGAGTACGACAAGCGCGCGGTGAATGACGCGCCGTTCGTGTACTATGGCGTGTTGTTGCGTGCTGCTCCAGACGGTTCCGTGCTGGCCAAAGTGGTGGACTACGTGCTAAAGGTCGTCGATGCACTGGATATTGTGCACGGCCCTGCACACGCAGAAGTGAAGGTGGTCAAGGGGGGCGAACCGTGTCTGGTAGAGATTGGCTCGCGCTGCCATGGCGGCTCTGGCTCGTATCTGCCGATCGTGACTCCGTGTCTTGGCTATAACCACGTGGATGCCGCGTTGGACTCGTACCTGGATGCGAAAGCGTTTGAAGACTTACCTGATCGTCCAAAGGAGCTCAAATCTCATGGCTGTGAAGCGATGCTCGTGTCGTATGAGTCTGGCAAGCTCGTGGGTTACCCCGGGAAGGAGGAACTCGATAATTTACCATCGGCAGTGTCGACAGTGTGGTACACGCACATTGGACAGCAGCTGGAACCCACGATTGATATGTTCACGACACCTGGAAGCGTCATTATGGTCCATGAAGACGAAGAGCAACTGAACCGTGATTATGCACGCATCCGCGAGTTGGAACACGAGGGTTTGTACGAGCTGGAAATTGACGCGAAGCCGGAGAAGCCACGCGGCACGGTGGTGATAGTGGACCCTTTCTCGACGGGCGCGTTACTAGCCCATGAGCTGATGGCGAGAGGATACGATTGTATCTGCGTGTACAGCGACCGTTTGGCGAAAATTGAGGGTGCACGATTGGTGCCGGAGGGTCTTACGCTAGAGTTTGCAGCGACTGTTGCGTGCAAGGGAAACTTTGAGCAGACGGTGAATGCCATTCGTAAGGCTGCGAAGCAAGTTGCCGACCGACAAATGAAGAGAGAGGACGATTTGACGGCCGATGCTTCGGTTTGTGCGGTATTTGCTGGCGCGGAAGGAGGTGTGAAGTTGTCTGATGCTATCGCGGATGCGTTGGGGCTGAAAGGTAATCGCATGGAGCACTCGAATGCGCGATGCAGCAAGTATCTTATGGGTGAAACCTTGCGGGCTGCCGGTATACGTGCCGTGAAGCAGGTGAAGGCGAATACCTGGGCCGAGGCGGAGGCTTTCATCACTGAGGATCTGATGTCAGAGCCTTTTGAAGTGGTGGTTAAACCGTTGGAGAGCTACTGTACTGAAGATGTGGTGCTGTGTCGATCGATGGAGGAAGTAAAGCGTGCTTTTGACGCCGTTCTGGGCAAAACTAATCGCCTTGGACTCGTGAATGTAGCAGTGTTGCTGCAAGAGTACCTGGAGGGTGACGAGTATGTGGTAGATACGGTCAGCCGGGACGGAGAGCACAAGGTGACGGCTGTATGGAAGTACGACAAGCGCCATGTGAATGATGCTACATTCGTGTACTTTGGGTTGACACTGGTACCTGCTGAGGGTATTGTCAACGAAATGATCGACTATCAGTTCCAAATACTTGGTACGTGAGCTGCTCTTGATATTGGAAAGATTTATGAACTGACATCTCTGTGGCTTTTGCTCCACTTTGGTTGACAGATGCACTGGGTTTCTGCAACGGACCCGCTCACGGAGAAGTCAAGTTCTGCCGCGGCTCTCCGGTACTGATTGACGTTAGCTCTCGCTGCCACGGCGCGGAGGGCGCGTGGGTGCCCATTGCTAACAGTTGCGTGGGCTACAACCAAGTGGCTGCGGCAATTGACAGTATGGTCGATGGAAAGGCGTTTGCCAAGTTGGCTGACCGGCCAGGGAAGCTGCTTGCTTACGGTGGCACAGCCGTGCTCGTGTCGTACAAGAATGGTGTTCTGAAGAGTATGCCAGGCATGGCGGAGATTGAAAAGATGCCAGCGTTTTTCAAGAAGGACATCTTTGTCGCACCAGGGGACAATATACGTCAGACGGTGAGCATGTTTACGGCACTGGGTTGCATCACGCTCGTGCACAAGGACCGGGTCGTGTTCGAGTCAAGTCTTGCCCGTATTCGTGAACTCGAGGTCGACGGGCTGTTTGAGCTGGAGTAAGTGTCCGAGAACGACAGCAAAATTACACAGATGCGTTGCAAATAGGCAAGTTGTGCGCCTCTTTTCATTCGATGCGTATAATATGATTGACTCGTGTGGTGTTGCTTTCGCTGCACGTTGATTTCGAACCTTCCGACGCTCATCGTAGTCGTTGACTTTAAGCTGCGTCGATTTCGAAAGACGCATGAATGACAAGTTCAAAGCCACTGTTTAAGAGTCTATCCAGCAGCAGACTGCCCACTTTTCTGTTTGACACTATGTCGTAATATGTGAGAAGCAGTAACCATCATAAACTTCAACTTGAAAAGTATGACGACGACTTGTGTGCCAACAACACGCTCAATACCTCCGTCATCTTAGAGATGGTAGGACCTCTTGATGCCGAGTCCCGTATCTGCAAATGGTACTGCAGCTTCCAATAGTTGATTGCGTCAAGTACGTGATGCGTAAAATCGACAAGTCAAACCAAGCTTCCAACTGTGCACTTCTGTGTCGTCCTCGAAAGCCATGCAACTCAAGAAGAGTAATTAACGAGAAATGCACCTTCAGTACAGTATCGATGTTGACAGCACGGAGGTCATACGACAAGGGTTGCCTCAGTTTGCATCGACAACAACCGCGTCTGCAGCTGTCGCCGCTGTTCGGCAAATGGCTCGCTGCAAATAATTACGTTGGACCACTGCGTTGTAGTCGCTACAACAGGACTCAACTCTGCCGCTTCAAGTGTATCGCCTAGAAGTATTTTGCCTTTGACTATCGTGTGCAGACTCAAAAGACCGAGAATTTAGTCACCACGATATCTCTTGCAGTGCTTCCTGTTCCCATGAAATGCTAGCTAGCATCTCATAAACAAGTGCCATAATCTACCAGCCAGCACGTTCGACCATCAACGTATTCGGCCGCTCAAAAGCCGCTGCCACAGAAGCGGAAACACAGTGTAGTAAAAACAAATGTCAATTTGACGGATGTGTTGCGCAACGCAAGGGGGACGTGACATTGTTTGAGATATGATGCGATTCTTCCACTTATTTGCAGTGGGCAATCTCGTCTGCAATATTCTACCAATGTGTGACAATCGAGAAAGCATGGCTAGCACGACACTGATTGGCTGATTCTCATCCGGAATTAGCCAATCTTCTTCCTCCGTTCTGCATCCACACACTCACACCAACGAGGTCATGATGCTCCGTGTGCAGCGCTGTATACGTGCGTCTCCCGTCCGCTTGCGGCGTCTTCAGCATTCAGCAATCACTGCATCTGCTCCCATGTCGTTTTCTGCTTCCTCTGTCCATCCAGCGATTGTCAAATCGTCCTCTGGAAGCGACAATAGCGGAGAAGAGCCACCCAAGTACAAGCCTGGCTGGTTCAGTCGTAACCCGGGCGTGACTCTGGGCGGAATCCTCTTGGGCATCGGCTTTTACATCTACAGGGGCTCAAGAGGGAAAAGGAACTTTGAAGCGGTGCAGAATCCGATCGTAGAGGCGGCTGTTATCTCGCCCTACGAAGCCTGGGAACTTCGCAGCAGCAACAGTATCACGTAAGGACTGGGCGGGGCTTCATCGAGTATACTGCAGCTCTAACAAGGTTCTATGATGCTGATGCTGTCTGCATTGTAAATGATACTGTATGTTGATACAGGCCCGAGGTATTTGAGGACGTGAGAGACGGAGTGACACGAGTGTTCCCAGCGGGCAAGGCCACGATGCAGCACTTTGATCAGTATCTGGGCTTTAAGCTAGCCCCAGTGTGTCCGACAGGAGTGAGCAAGGCACATCATCTAGAGCGAGTCTTGCTGAGTCTAAAGACAGACGCAGACCGCAAGAGTGATGTTGATGCGCAGCTAGTGGCCTTCTCAATGGCTGTCAAAGGAGCAGTGGACGAGCGATTGCGGATTCTGTTCAACCTGGCGACAGATGCTCCGATGTGCGAAGCGCTCAAGACAGAGGAAGAGGACAGCGAGACGGAGGAAGAGGACAGCAAGACGGAGGAGGGGACGGATGGGCGTGAGATGTCTCAGGAGCAGTTGGAACGACTGCTTCAGTTGTTGCTCGAAACGCACCAGATCCCATCCGAGAAGCGCGTGCTGGCCGTGGAGGAAGCTAAGTACCCTTTCCAAGAGTACATGGCAGCGACGCCAAGCGATCTGCTCAAGGCTGCGGTCCAGGCTGAAGTGCGAGACAAGAAGATCACTGAGGAGCAAGCGCGAGGACGTCAGACGTACACGTTCGAGGCGTTTTCGCACCTCATGCGCGGCAAGACTGTGTGTCTATGGGGCGAGTGCTTTGCCAACAGCAAGAAGAAAATGAAGAACTAACTACCTGCTACTTCAGAGCGAAATAAATGGCCCCATGGCTCAAAATGGGACTTTACGGGCCGCTGGTCGCTAGCCGATCGCTCTTCTTCTCCATACCAACCAACCGCATCATCGGATGCGACTCCAGCTCGTTCATTTCCTGCAACACGGTGGCTGCACTGTGGCGTAATTGGTGGAACTGCTGCATTGGCACGCGCATCGTCCGCGTCGCGCCGTCCGTCGTCTGAAGTCGCAGCAGCACGATCTTGTCCGTGTCTGTCCCTGCTGTTGGTTCGACGCACTTGTAGTGCAAGTGCTTGATTCGTGGCAAGGAGAACGTCGCTGCGTCTGGAGTTGCTTGCGTCAACACGTGCCAATGGACTCGAAGCAGCTGTCGGAACTGCAGCTGGAAAGCTTGGGGCAGGCGCTGGACGAGTGCCTGCTGGCGCGTAAGCTCGGGCTGGTGCGATACAGCTGATGTTACTTCAGAGCTGTCGGTTACTTCAGGTAAAAGGAACGTCATTTGCTCCCGCACGGCCACTTCGATAAGTTGTCGAAACACCATAGCGAGAGCTAATACAGTCGCTCGCTCGGCAGACGAGACGGCATCGACGGCGCAAACAGCTGCAGCGTCGTCTCGACAGTGCAGAGCGACGGCGAGCTGCATGGATGTGGCGAGGTGGCGAGATGCGAAGGACGCGTGGACGTCGTCACGCAGCAGGGCGTGCCACTCGCGCGCAGCGGCGATGAAGGCCGTCGTCATTGTTTACTGGACTGCTGATGTGTGAGTGAGTGGATAGACGTGTGTGTTATCCTGTATAAAACGTTTACGGTTGCTGCGGTGCCCGATCAGAGCGGATATGAGGTTCGCAGCGGAACCGTAAGCTGCAAAGTTTGTGTTGATTCGATTAAGAACCGGATACGATTGATCTTTATGCTCAAAGACAAGATTAGAAAAGGATACTCTTCGCAGGATGAGAATGGGTAACTTGTCTCACAGATGGTAAATGGGAATGAAAAGATCGACAAGATACAAAGGCAAACACCGAGGGAAAGAATTGACGAATGCAGGATCAACTAATATCCGATACGAATATCCGATATTTGGCCAGTGGTGAACGTGAAATTCGATATCCGACTGCTATCGAAGAGCAAATGCCGGTTTAATTTACCGAAACAGAATATCTGCTCGACGGTAACTTACGCAAGCGATAGAGCACTCCCGACTAATAATAGCTTGTGTCTACACAGCAATGTTAAAGCAGTACGTTAAACATGGAGCATCCCGGACTACATGCTGCACGGAGGCAACATGCGCTTTGCAGCCTTTCAAAGCATCGACAGGTATTCATGCGATATCAGCCTTAGGGCCGGCTTTCGTTTTCACGTTGAATCAGTTTCATCCCAATGCCGAATGTGCTGGAAGACTTGTTATACCAGAGGACTTTGGCAACTCATCGAAACTACATCCGAACACTGGCTCGACAAACGAAAACATCAGCAGAGATCCCGGACGTTGAAATATTGACCGTCACTACACTGTATAAAAAGAGGCAATGATTGTTAGCCCTTAGTAAGATGATAGGTTCTTAGGTCGACCAGAAACTAGAAGAGAGAGAGATTGCATCCCAGAGTCTCACATTCCTGTTCCGTAGACTAAAGGCACATACGTGATTTAGTCTTGCTTTCGTCTGCTTCTTCACCAACCTTAGTGTTGATCGGTAGACAGCCCATTCTGCCACATTCATTGGAATGACAACAATAGATGGATCTACGAATAGCCGCGGTGTGAATGTTCTATGCAGTGCGGACAAGCAGTTGCAGCACTCATTGGCTCAAGTGAAGGAGCGAGCGTATCTGATACCACACTTCAAGCGCCCGAAGTTTTTACCGGTAGCCTCCTGTTGTGATTTACCTGGATCTACCCGATTCCAAATTCCCATTTGCGTCGTTGCCGAGACTTGACCAATACCAAGAACGTGCATTGACGGGTGCTAACTGCTGCATCACAGAGACCTAGTTTATAAGTGAATGGAGAATGCACATTGTACCTTGCAGTGTGCTTAGTGTTTCTGCCTCACCCACGTATAGTCGATTCATCCTCATACTTTTGCTCAAGGTTTTCTCCGATGTGGAAGTTACTCACTCGATGACTTCAGTCGCTTACTCTTGAACCTTCGGGTTAAAATTTGAGTGACCCTTCTTTTCGACTTTATAGGCCTTGTTGATCGAAGTACAGTAGCTCGGCTTGTTGTTAGTAAATGGCGTAATGACAAGTATTTCTCAGGTCAAGGTACGGAGGAATGGGACTGGATGTCCGGGAAAAAGCAAGGATGTCAAACCGAAGCGCACAATCCTGGTGGTCTCTTCCCAGCCGGTTCTTCCCGGACACACTGCACCCGTGGGCAAAGTATTGCGGTGACAGGATGGTTCATGACGAGACCGATCCGCTTGTTGTGTATGTAGAAAATATGAATAGGAAGACACGTGTACGCGATAGTGCAAGACTCGCACTGCCAATACGAGTCCGATGATCTCGCGAGAGCGATGTCCTTAGCAAGACTTCTGTGGCACTTTGCAAGTAAGGGAACGCCTGATCTCGGCAGCTGCTCGAATACGAGGCGCAAATTATTGTCCGTTATGCGTATTTCTTGGAGCTGGTGAAGACACTGCCTGTCAGATTTCGTGCGAATTGTCTGGACTCAGACCACAGGATTGGAACCTTTGACCGGTAGTAGTGTGATGCTATAGACTTCAGCGCACAAATAAATGACCCATACCACCGTTTGAAAGTAGACAAAAGAATGCGGTTGTATCCTGAATTCGCTACGCGATGAGACTGAAGTGTGGACGATCGTTTGACGGTCTAATGATCTTCCGCACTCACGCTCGTCACGCTCTTTGACTTGCTGACGTGAATTATACGCTGACAATGCTACGATGCCACAACATGAGTAAGATGACGAAGGTCTATATTGACGTGCGCTGCGCCATGAGAAGTGTGAGATGGAGCTATCCGAAAACAATGCAGTAATCTACAGAAGTACTAATCGTGGACGAGTCATTGTCAGATGGGTGTGCAAATCAAGTTGATGGCGAGTAAGGACTCGGTTCACGACGCAGCAGGTTGCTATTGTAGTTTATCCAGTGCAACCTGTCGCGCTGGGAATCTATCGCTCGGAGGTGATCAGTACGAGTACTCTACGGGGCACGTACGATCAAACTGCGCTTTAACGACCGTGTCTAAGCCAAGGATGAAGGTCCACCATCATAGTTCCTGTGGGTCAGAAGGCACAATGACTATTGTCATAGATGTGATCAGACTCTCGTCTTCACAAAATGAGCTCTCGCGAATCATTCATCAGAGATGCAGCGCCGACACTACATCGATCGAGTCGTGAAAGTAAATCACGAAATGTTGATGACATCACAGTTCGCGCGTACATGTAAGATCTAACCTGTATCCAGGATACAACAAGCTAGATTTCTGGTACCATGAGCAGATGATAAGACATGCGAGTGACTAACAGTCTACGTATAAGTCGTCTACAAAGCTGGAGACTGGCAAGCCTTGGGCGTCTAACCCTCTCACAAGGGCGATCATACAACACTAGTTCGACAGTGCACGAACTACGTTTAGCGTAGATCGAGTTCTCGTTCACGACCACAACACGATTGTATGGGTCTTTTCTCATTCGTAACTCAGCAAGACGTCTGAAGTTCGACTCAATTCCGAGTCGTAGCTATACAACGGTCTTGTAGCTACGAAAGCATGAACGTGTTCGCTTACAAACCATAACACAAGATTTCCCAGATTCAACCAATTTGCACGCGATCTACTGGTTATATCCCCCACGACTTTTGAGAATAAGACTTAGGTACCATTGCGATCTAGATAGAATGGCCTCTCGTAGATAGAATGACCTCTCGTCATCAAATATTACAAAACTAGTCGTCTTACTCGTCCCCTCCTCCGCACTTACCACCGACCTTCCCCAACCTATCAGCACATTTACTCGCCAAAAGTCGGTTCTCCACCCTTCCTACAAAGTACCCCTCCACCACAAACCCCAAATCACAAATCACAAACGCACAAATCACAAACGCAATCGACCAGCGCCATGGCTCGTAGCCGCTCGCGCTCGCGCTCTCGTCGTCCCCGCAGCCGTCGCTCCTCCTCCAGCTCCTCCTCCAGCTCCAGCTCCTCTTCTTCCTCCTCTCGCTCGGCGTCGCCACCTCGTAAAAAGGCTCGCAGCCGTCGCTCCGCTCCAAAGACCACGTCTCCTCCTCCATCTCCTGGTCGAACGACCGACACTCGTGTACCCGTTACACTCGTGCAACCTCTAAACGTACCCCCTCCCGACCTCCCAATTGCTCGGAAACGTACCCTCGACAGGGGCCGGACAGGAGGCGTCTACGTCCCTCCCTTCAAGTTGGCGCAGCAGCTCAAGCTCCAGCAACAAGAACAAGCTCAAGACAAGGACTCCAGCGCAGCTCAAGAGTTGGCTCAGCGACGGACGTGGGACGCGCTCCGCAAGAGTCTCAATGGACTCATTAACAAGGTTAACGTGGCCAATCTGAGCAACATTTTGCCCGAGTTTTTCCACGAAAACCTCGTGCGAGCTCGAGGGCTCTTGGCTCGAGCTATTATGAAGGCCCAGCTGGCGTCTCCAGGCTTTACGCACATTTACGCCGCTCTGGTGGCCGTGCTGAACACGAAGATGCCTGAAAACGGCGAGCTCCTGGTCAAGCGCGTCGTGTTTCGCTTCCGTCGAGCGTTCAAGAGAGGAGATAAAGTCGTGGCTATTGCCCTCGTGCGCTTCATTGCGCACCTCGTGAATCAGCAGGTGGTGCACGAGCTGCTGGCGCTCGAAGTGCTGACGCTGTTGCTGGCCAATCCGACGGACGACTCGGTCGAAGTCGCGGTCAATTTTACGAAAGAGTGTGGCCAGATCTTGGCCGAGTTGTGTCCAGAAGGACTTCGTGCGATCTTTGAGCGCTTTCGGGGCATTTTACATGAAGGAGAGATTGACAAGCGCGTGCAGTATACGATTGAAGGGCTGTTTGCTATCCGTAAGGGTGGCTTTGTAGACTACCCGGCTATACACGAACCCTTGGATCTCGTTGAGTCTGGCGACCAGATCACGCACGAGACGACGCTGGAGGAGACGATTGATTGCGAGGACAAGCTGGACGTTTTCCGCTTTGACCCGGACTATGAGAAGAACGAGCAGATGTGGACTGCCATTAAGAAGGAGATTTTGGGTGAATCCGACTCGGACGCTGGCTCGTCCAGTGCTAGTGACGATGAAGACGGGGAGGACGACGATAATGAAGACGGGGTCGAGCAACCAGTTGTCGCAGAGAACAACATGCAGATAAGGGACTACACGGAGCAAGATCTTGTGAATCTGCGCCGCACGATTTACCTGACCATCATGTCGAGTATCACACACGAAGAGTGCGCACACAAGTTGATGAAGCTCAATATTCGCCCAGGCCAAGAGAAGGAGATATGCTCGATGCTCATCGAGTGCTGCAGTCAGGAGCGAACGTACTTGCGTTACTACGGACTGCTCAGCGAGCGATTCTGCCTGATCAAGCGCGAATACCAGGACGCGTTTGACGAATGTTTTGCTGAACAGTACTCGTTGATCCACCGTCTCGAGACCAACAAGCTTCGCAACGTGGCAAAGCTTTTCGCGCACCTACTGTTCACGGACGCTCTGCCCTGGACTGTCTTCGAGTATATCCATTTGAACGAGGAAGAGACTACGTCGTCCAGCCGGATCTTCATTAAGATTTTGTGCCAGGAGCTCTCAGAACATCTCGGCATGAAGATGCTGAAGGAGCGTTTCTTGGACACGATCATGCAGCCTACATTTGCTGGTCTGTTTCCGACGGACAATCCACGTAACACTCGCTTCGCGATCAACTTTTTCACGTCTATTGGACTAGGTGGTCTTACAACTGACTTGCGCGAGTATCTAAAGAATGCACCGAAGATGATCATGGAGCAAGCGAAAGCTGCAGCTGACACCAGCAGCACCTCGGACTCGGACTCGGATTCGAGTGGTAGCAGCAGTGGCAGTGGCAGCTCTTCCGATTCGGACTCCAGCTCGGATTCAGAATCGTCTAGCAGCAGCAGCAGCGACTCGTCCGATTCCGGCTAACTCAGGATCGAAGCAAGCATAGAGAAGCTGTGCGTGCACTTCCAGCTAATGCGAAGCATACCGATTTGACACGCAAAGCTTGAACGAGTTGCGCTGTGTTTGAACCTGTGCATAGAATACCAGAAGTGCCGTGATCCAGCGTTGACTGCTTTGCTGCTGATTCTTCTGGGCGTGCATCGACAAAGCTGGTGTGCTGTCGTCTATCGACGGCCAAAGAGCATATGGATTGGACGTCTTGCTTGCCACCAACGATCGTCGCGGTCTCTTTTCTCTTGCTCCAGCGCAACACCCTCGCGTCGCTTTTGAAGTCACCGGTTCGTGTACTTCGCTAGATGAGAGTTGACATCAAGGCACCTTTCACGCTAAGACAACAAAAGCCATCACCCATTCTTGTGTTCCTTCATTCTCGAATGCATACACACAAATGAAGCTTGCGAGAACCAGAGCGTCAGTTTAACATGCGATTTCCGGTTCGGCTAGAGGACTCAAACAGGTATCGCCAGTGATGTCCCGCGTATATCTCCTCATTTGGGCATAGATGTTTCCTGGCATTTCTGTTTGCAGTTACATCTCTAGAGCCTGAAGCATGTCGTTTACTATCCAACGCACGACGTCGCTTGAGGTGTATATGTGTAGCAAAGTGCAAAGAAAGCAGTTCGGCCGTATCCTTCTTGCTCAACCGCAGGCGAAGTTTTGGCCTCTAGGTCTTAGCACTGTTCTATACTGCACGGAGTTGATAAACAATCGTTTGCCCCACCATCATGCTAGCATTTGAACGGGACCGGTTGCGATAGGACTGGGCTATATGACGACGATGCAGGTATTTTGTGAGCATCGGAGGCCTCAGAACAAATGCCAAGGCACCGTGGACCTTGATATCCGTACGCTGTAGACTCGTAAGATGTGGGTGAGGGTCTAGTCTCACCATATTGATATCGCCGTCTTCATGTGCTGTCGGGTATATGCAGTAGCTGCTTCTCAAAGCACGTTCCGGCACAACATCTCGGTACTTCAGGGCTCCCGCATCTTCCACTGGTTTCTCGCAGTGTTCCTCATTGATAAGTAGGTCATTGTCGATGATGACCAACCGGGAGATACAATCGTCTGACAATTTCTCGTTTCGTATTCATCGAGAACAAACGTGAATGACTTATGCTGCCATGCACACCCGATCCCGACGGTGCTGGTCGATAGAGTCATGTAATGGTCATACCATGTTGATGTACAAGGGTGCGGCACTTTATCTATCCTACAGAAAATACCAGGTCTACAATCTCTCCCTACACGGCGTCTCCACCAAATGTCAGCCCATCACCACTTTCTTCAGCACGGCATTCGTCTACTTCATCGCTACCGGTTCGCAGCGCTCTCGTCCAACAGCGACCTGATCGAAATTGTTGCGTAGCAACCTGGTGACCATCCCTTTTTCACTGAATTTGCAGATTCTTGCATACTCTTCCGTGTTTCGTCTTTCCCAGAAACATTTTTTGCTGCCATGTCACCATCCCCTTCATCAAGCAATTCCTCTGTCACTGTCAAATGGTGTACAACAAAGGTGAAAAATCCCATGTTTATTTGCAAACTCTTCGGTTTTTTGTTCAACCTAAAACAAAACCAATTTTCGGACAAGGTTTGTCTAGTTTTATTATTCATTTTCGTCGGGGTCGCCTTCTTCGTGTAAATCGCATCATCAGGACTAGATCAATGCAAACTTTGCAAACACCAGGACTAGCCGCAAAACCAGGACCAATTAGAAATAGAAACGGTGTACTACTGTCTATCTGACTGCAACAAGCGATAGGGAACTGCGTGATTGAAGGCGGATCTATTTTTTTTAATTTCACCTACTATGAGACTGATCTGGTTGTACACCCTTTCATTTTCCAGCTACAGTCAGCTCCCTCTGTTATATCTCCTGATACAACATCCTTCCTCCACGAGATCAAAATTGGGGGTGGACAAACAGGATGTTATACAGGGAGCTGACTGTAGTGCTCACGAGCGTCTACTAACGGAGACGGAGCACTACCTCGACCGGAATCTTTTTACTTACTAAACAATTCATCTGTTGTGGAGGGAAGGAGTCAACAAATGTTTATCTTGTGTTTGTGTGTGTCAGGTAGCACAATAAGCGTCCGACCCGACAGCAACTTACACTCCCACGATGGGGAACGGAAAAACTAATGACATTCACCCGCGCCCACGCTAATTTCTAACGTATCTGAGTCGCTCCTCTCGCTACCCCGCTTGTAACGGGGTATCCCGTTACATGACATTGACACCAAATGGTGTCGATAGGGAGATTGTCTAGCGCGACAATTCACTGCCAATTATACTCGAAATAGGTAATATTGAAAGAATATCATTCCCTTTTGGATAATATTCATGCGCTGCTCAAAGGTTATTGATAAAAGACATATCAACCAAGGTTATCACCAATTGCTTATAGACGCGCGTAAAGAGCGGTGAGCAGGTTGTCGTCATACGACAATGTAGATTAATTTGGTTAGATAAAGACTGAAGTTATTTTGATTGCTTAACTATATTAAAAACAGTTCTCTTTTTACCCTTTACTCAAACTAGTTGTTTGAGTAGATGAGCTTCATCTGCACGTACTAGTGTACGCTAAGTTTTGTAGCACCCCAAACAAAGGGTGCCCCGTTACACCGCTCTATGCGTTTATAAATTCGATTATTTAAGGATGTGTGGACCCCGACATGATTTAGTGCTGGTAATTTTTGCGCAGCAAGCACTAAGATCAGAACTTGGCCGGATGCGCTTTTGCCAAGTAATAAGCTTGTGCGGCAACGGTTTGTCCTTTCAGGCTCATAATGGAGAGGGAAGCAAGTAAATCTCGGGATTAGGCTTAGAATCGAATGGTGATGGCTCGGTACGACTTGAGTTAAAAATGAAAATGCTAACGAAGTGTACACCGAGTCCTGAATTAAATTGCTTACGCCTGCAACGACATCAGCATCCGGTCAAAAGTGGCTAGAGGTTATACGTATCGACAAGATCGAAGGTCACGACTGTAACGGGGCACCCTGAAGCTTGTACTGGTGACAGTACAAGCTACTTATTCTGATAACAGAATAAGGCGGTGCCTCGTAACTTCACGTACACTCGTACGTGCAGAGGAAGACGGTAAGAAGAAGCGAGTACTCGGTTAGAGTAAAAAGTAGAACTGTATTTATAATAGTTAATGTCTGCAATAAATCACTATTTATCTTCATCTAACTATGTCTAAATACAAATGTGTAAATCAGTTATCTGCTCACCACTCATTGCGTGCGTCTGTCGTGGCGCGTCTTCGTTGGTTGATATAATGGCCTATATCAACCAATTAGGAACTACTTGGAAGTGCTACAGAATATTGTCCTTATGACAATATTCTGAGAATATAACTCTTATAGTTATATTCTATTAACAATTTCTTATAAATTGTTATGTAACGATTCACCCCGTTACATCACCCCCCTTAACCATCAGTCACTTTAGTGACTGATTGACTAAATGGATACTCGTCCCAAATCATTTGGGACGGGGTTTGCACTTGTTGGTCCGCGTCCACTTTCCAACATCTCATCGCATGGTAAACAAGCCCATGCGATGCGCGAGCAAGGCCGCCGAGAGCGCGTCTGCACGTCTCTGTGCGGACGCCGAAGCAGAAACTACAGCAACTGATATCCCATCGGTTGCTGAATCGACTCAGCCTGTATCACCTGGTGATGCAGGCGCTGGTCATGAAGACACTCGTGTCTTCACAGAGTACGAGCTCGGTGTCTCGTACTCTCCTGATACGGATGACGGATCCGTATCGACGGCAATTGAATCCAAGCCGCCTGCCAAGCGTGGCATGGACGATGCTTTGCGTCGCAGCATCTTTGGTTCATCTGATGAGTCAGATGAACCATCGCCGAAGCGAAGGCGCTCGAGGTCGCGAGACTCGGGCGCTAATAGTGGTGTCGGTTCTCCAATGGACACCACTTCACAGCGAGGTGCCAGTACTTCTGTCGGCACGTCGCAGCAAGAGCGGGACCGCAATGTGTTGCGTCTCGCTCCAGAAAAAGAAGGCATGGATGCCTCCAAAATCTGTCATGGATCACTTGTCGGCGACGACGAGTGATCGTTATCGAACACGATTGTTCGATTCGTCAAGGATCCATCACCTTGACCCCAGCGCGAAAGACTATCGCGCTGAACATGAGTTCTTCATCGATGCTTTCTTCAGACATCGATGGTACAGTGGGAATCACAAACGTGATGGTCCCTCACTACTTCAGGCGTGGAACGCCTACATCCATAACCTCGAGGATGTAGGTCGTGACGCTTGGAACGACAAACTTATCAAAGCTCGTGATAAGTTTGAAAAGCGAACCCCGACAGGTGCACGCTACAAGCTGCATCGTCTGTCAAGGGAGAAAGGGTTACCCTGCCTCTCTTGGGGAGACTCGTGCCCATGTTGTGTGAACAACTCTGCACGAGCACCTAAGGAGGCTTACCTCCTTACCAGCCCGTGGTGGCGCGTACGTGTCTCTACTGAGATGTACGAAGGGATTGACAACCTGAAATCCCTTTACGACCGTGCCGGGAAGACTTTCTCCGGCGGTCCTTCTGCGGCACAGGATGTGTCGCGTCGTACTGCTCGACCAGACCCAGTACGTCAACCATCAATTGGGAGCGGGGCTCCCAAGAATCCCAGGACGGGGGATAGCCGCGCCACCGGACGAGGTAACTCGTCCGACGTCCGTTCACGTCGCGGTGGTTCAACAGCTGCTCAACTAGATAGCGCTGGCCACCGCGAGAGTCCTCTAATGGAGGTGGAGGAGGAGGAAAGACGCTCTCCACACGATCATGTGGATCGGTGTGTTCCCGAGAGCATCTTTGATCGCGTAACGCAAGGGTTACGCGACGATCTCGAGCATGAGCGGAATAGGCGTCTCCAGATGGTGGACACTGCCTCGAAGCATCGAGCTGAGTTTGCCTTTGCTCAGCTTGAGAACGAGAGATCTCTGACATCTCTTCGTGACGAGCTAAGGGTAGCTCGTGGGATTGTTGATCGGTCTCGGGCTGAGATAACTGCTCTTCAGACCCTTGTTGATGCCCACCATCGGGAGCACAAGGCTCTCTGCGAGATGCTTGAGCGCAAGGGCGTTCTTCATCGGAAGAAGCAGCGTACTGATGGTACGGCTTAAGCCGACCAACGTAAAACGTGGGATGCGTTCGCATCTTACGTGGTAACTCGATCGTGTATGCATTGCCTAGGCGGTGCAATACACGAAATGGGCCAATGTACTTGGGTAGTAGTTTACTGCTACCCAAGTTAGTCACTACATGTTTTGGTAGATTAACCGTAGACAGTAGGACTAAGTCACCTTTATTAAATAAAAGAGTGTTTGCCCTTCCATTCTTGTCAGCGTTTTGCTTTTGCTTATCCACCGCTTCGGCGATGGAGTCTTGCACAAAACGGACTACCGTTTCACGAGCCAGTATGAACTCATCTGATGACTCGTTAGCTTCAGTGTGCTGTGAGCGCACTGCAGCAACAACAACCTTTTCTTCAGTGAGGGCTTCCGCACTCTCACTGGCATCATTGTCTTCAGTGAGGGCTTCCGCACTCTCACTGGCATCATCTTCTTCGATATCGATGTTATCGATATCGGCATCAAACGCAATGACTTCTTCGTCAGAGCGTGATGAGCGTGAACCAAATCGGTTTTTGCTCGCGCGAGTCCCTCCCCCCCTTAAACCAGAGTTACACTCTAGTAAGGTGGGTACACGCGGATGGCGCAAGCCATTCACGTAAAACGGTGTATGCGTCGTGGACGCATGCACCGAGTTGTTGATGGCAAACTCTACCATTGGCAAAAACTCACTCCAACTTTTAAAGGAGTGTACGTATCCTCGAAGTATCTCTTCGAGGACACGGTTGGCACGTTCCGTCTGACCATCTGACTTTTGATGATCAGATGTTGACATCTTCAAGCGCGTTCCGAGTGATTTGAACACGGAACGCCAGAAATCAGCAGTGAATCGTGGATCTCTGTCTGATACGAGTTCACGGGGCAACCCATGAAGTCGGAAGATGGTGTCAATAAAGACACAAGCACAGCCACTTGCCGTGATTGTCTCTGGTACAGCCACAAGGTGTACCATTTTGCTGAATCTGTCAACAAATACGAGAATACCCGTATTCCCGCGTGCGTCTTTGGGTAACCCGAAGACGAAATCCATTGAGATGGATTCCCAGCACTCAGCCGGAACCGGTAGAGGCTGTAAAGGTGCACGCAGTGAAGGACTTGACTTCACTCGTTGGCAGACTTCGCATGCGCGAACATACTTTCGCACAAACTGATACTGGCGGGGCCAGTAAAAGTCTCGACTTACCGTGAGATATGTTTTCTCTCGGCCACGATGTCCTCCTATAGGAGCATCGTGATACTCGAACATGATCCGCAAACGCAGATCAGTATCATCTGGAATGACAACACGTGGTGTGTCACCAGAAACGGCTGTATAGTACAGTAAACCGTTACGAGTAGTGTATCGATCTGATGCAGATCGATACGCAGACGACAATCGTTTCAACGATTCTCGAGATGGTTGGGAGAGATGTGACAACAACTTCACTATCTCACCATCTTGGGCGTATGCCCGCCTCACATCATCATACAACGTTGTAGATGGAACTGAGGACGTCATAACCGCAACAGTGACTGTCTCACTGTTGGGTTTCGCGACTGTTTCAAAGTCGGGACGACGTGAGAGTGCATCAGCGACGACATTAAGTCGTCCTGGTTTGTACTCGACCGTAAAGTTGTATTCTGCAAAGAATGACAACCACCGCGCCATTCGTTGTGAAAGGTGCGGGCTGTTCACTGCCGTGCGTAAGGACGCATGGTCAGTGTAAACAACGAAGGGTCTATCTCCTAATAGATAGACTCTGAACTTCGCGAGTGCATACTTCATGGCAAGGAGTTCCTTGTCATGCACTGGATAGTTCCGCTCAGCTGGTTGCAGCTGACGCGACTGATAGCAGACGACGCGTTCAACGCCTTCAAGGTCGTACTGCATTAATGCACAGCCGATTGCGAAATCGCTGGCATCACAGACCACATGAAATGGCCTGTCCTGATCGGCTATTGCTAGGACTGGGGATTGTATCAAGCTCTGCTTGATACCCTCAAAGGAGCGTTGACATTCAGCGTTCCATAACCACCTCTCGTTCTTTTTCAACAAACGAGAGAGGTGCACAGTCATCTCGGCGTAATTGCGTGAATACTTATGCAAATACGCCGCTAGCCCAAGGAATTTTCGAAGACCTTTGACATCGACCGGCACAGGCCAGTCGGTGATCGCCTTGATCTTTTCGGGATCAGGACGTACACCGTTCTTACCAACGATGCACCCAAGAAGTGGTATTTCGCTTGCTGCAAATATACACTTCTTGAGGTTAGCATACAATTGATGCTTTCGCATGATTGTAAGAACTTGTCGGACGTGGTACCTGTGAACCTCAACGTCCGACTTTCCATCCATAGCTCGACTATGGATGAATACGTCATCGAAATAACTCGGCGCGAACTCTCGTACTGGCCTCAACAGATGTGATACACACCTGTTGAACGTGGCAGGGGCATTACTGAGCCCTTGTGGCATTACTAGCCATTCCCAGAGCATGCCGCTAGGCGTGCTAACTGCGGTATAGGGTATATCCCGTTCCCGCATTAGGATTTGATAGAAGCCATCCATCAAATCCATGGACGAAAAGATGGTACTCTTTGACATACCATCAATGATTACGTCCTTCCTCGGTATCGGCGTCTGAGCCGGTACCGTTGCAGCGTTCAATTTGTTGAACGCGTGCACTATCCGCCACCCTCCTGTTGCTTTTCGCACACAGAAGGTCGGAGAGCTATGTGGGGAAGTTGATTCCCTCACATGGCCCGCTGCTAAACGATCGGCAAAGAACTTGTCGATCGCAAGTACTTGTTCACGAGGCAGTGGCCACTGCTTCATGACACAGTACTTCGAGCCTGGTTTAAGCTCGACTTCGTGTCGAATACCTTTATCCTTCGGTAATTCGCACGGAACAGTTTCAGGGAATACATCCTTGAATTCAACCAAATCCTCATAGAGAGGGTTTTCCTTGAGCGATTCCCATGATTGGGACTCATATCGCTCAATTCGTGTCTTTTCATCTAGGACACTCTCGTCCATAGATGAACTACTGAGAACTCTCTCGTTCTCAGTAAACACTGTTGCTGACCTTATGTCGGTTACACACTCGTCGTCAGCGACGAGTATGCAGATCTGCTTGACTTTGCCACTACGCAGATCACGCAAGAACCTTTTATGTTCGAGCGTTGGCAACTGAGTGATCTCCGAAGTTAACTTCGGAGGCGCAATCAGATCAAGTGTATAAGCGCCTACACATGATCCGTTATTGACTATGACATTCAATGTCTCTGTCATTTCCTGGGGACTTATTCCCTCAGGCTTCGAAGGACTTATTCCTTCGTCTTCCCGGGGACTTATTCCCGCGGGTTTCGGGGAACTTATTTCCGCCGTATTTGTAATCTTGGGACTTATTCCCTTTACTTCCTCTAGCTGGGGTTGCGCAACCACAGCGAGATCCTCTACGAAAGACTCTCCAGTCGATCTAGGATTATCGTTTCGCTTAACCTGAGCGATCGATTGTTTCTCTTCTAGATGTTCCCCTCTAGGGATACATCTTTGTCCCAGTCCACCCGACTTATTCGAGTGGTGGACCTTCGGCGCAGCCTGTGTTTCCTCACAGCCGCCGGAACTTTGCTCCGAAGTGTAACCGTTTGGTACACTAAGGTTTTGTGCAGTCGTACTAACGACCGTACCACAAGTGAGGCCATCGCACTCACTCGTAGTACATCCACACGCTTGTGGACGCTCCAAAACGTTCATCAGATGGCCATCTGATGAACAAGCGGCAGGCATCGTTACTGTCCGATGTTGCCAGTTTACCCGTGGTTCGTACCTTCTGAGCCACGGTATTCCAAGGATGACATCAAATTTGTCATCCAAATCCAATACGATAAAGTCATCGTCGTATTGGGTATCTTCTAGCGTATAGCGAATCTTCACTATACGCTTCATGACGGTTACGGATGCGCCTGTCGCAAGACGAACCGTCATCCTCGTAGGAGGTGTGTCACATTCACTGAATTTAAAGTGACCATCTTCTAGCGATTGGCGTCGCACAAAATTGTTAGACGCCCCACAATCGACTAGAGCTCGAAGGGACAACTTATTCGTCACTTCGAGTTTCAAGGTAATGAGTGAGATCTCATTACCTAGAGCAGCAACGCACAATGTCTGTGTGTTGGGAGCAACCTTCATCAAGAGGCCTACAAATTCTCTTGACGTTGCTGGATCAGTAGGGTGCTCCGCACCTACTGATCCTGTCCGTTTTTTGACGGTCCATCCCGTTGTTGCGTCTTTGCACCAACTGCGGACCCTCGTCCCTGCCCCTTTCTCATGGGTGGACGGTCACTACGCCCAGTGTCGCGAGACACTGGACGAGGGGCACTACACTCGTAAGCGTAGTGTCCTGTCTTTTGACATCTGTTGCATCTCTGCAACTTCTTGTAGCCTGTAGAGCGAACCTTCTCACTCTCTACATAACAGAGTTCCATCGGCTCTGGACCTCCGTTGTCATATCGTCTCGGTTGACGATATGATGTCGAGCTGGCGCGAGCCTGTCTCAGACTGAAGTCTTCCTGCTCCGCAATTGAAATGGCTTGTTCTAGTGAATCTAGTTCAAGCCGGAACAGGTGAGTCTTGACGGGACCATCCGCAAGACCCTGCATGAACACCGAAACCAACGTGTGTTCATCCACCGGATTGGAACTTATACAACTCGTGAGATGTCGTATATGTTGAGCGTAAGCGTGCACATCACGCTTACCCTGCTTGAGCTTCAAGAGTTCGGTTCGAGCTCTGAACTCAGCTCTAGGCGGTTCAAACGTTTGTCTGAGCCGCGACTTGAAGACTTCCAACGACCCAAACGCATATGGGTCGTGCAGCTTGAGCCCCAGTGCCCAAGTCTTGGCACGTCCTGCCAGATTTGACTGGGCAAATGCAACTTGCATATCCCCGTCGTCGATGCGACGCGCCCTTATGGCGTCATCCAATTCGACGAACCATCTCAAGAGGGAGTCTTCTTCGACCCCTCTATACTTTGAGATGTCAATCTTCAAAGTCTCGGGTCGACGCGAGTGCATCGACCCGCCAGCAGCAGCTTGCTGCTGTCTCAACAGTTCAAACTGTTGAGCACCTTGTTCTCTCAACAACTCTGCTTGTTGAGAACCTTGTTGGTGAAGCAAGGCTACTTTCTCGCGTTCTGCGTCAAGTTCATTTTGAATGAACTTGGCGATAGTAGCATGTTGGGCATCTCTATTGAGAGCCTCTAGCATGACGCTAACAGCATGGATGCCCATGGTCGAACCCATTCGTTCAACCGCATCCCATTCGACATCGCTCAAATGGGAGTAGCCGTCACGCGTAGCGTGAAAGCTTTGGTCATCTTCATCATCCAACATATTCATGTTGGATGTGAACGCGGTCCTTGGACGGACTACGAAGTGCTACCAGGTGTAACGGGGCACCCTGAAGCTTGTACTGGTGACAGTACAAGCTACTTATTCTGATAACAGAATAAGGCGGTGCCTCGTAACTTCACGTACACTCGTACGTGCAGAGGAAGACGGTAAGAAGAAGCGAGTACTCGGTTAGAGTAAAAAGTAGAACTGTATTTATAATAGTTAATGTCTGCAATAAATCACTATTTATCTTCATCTAACTATGTCTAAATACAAATGTGTAAATCAGTTATCTGCTCACCACTCATTGCGTGCGTCTGTCGTGGCGCGTCTTCGTTGGTTGATATAATGGCCTATATCAACCAATTAGGAACTACTTGGAAGTGCTACAGAATATTGTCCTTATGACAATATTCTGAGAATATAACTCTTATAGTTATATTCTATTAACAATTTCTTATAAATTGTTATGTAACGATTCACCCCGTTACAACGACCATTAAAAAGTGGCCTCTGATACGCCTTGAGTTGTGAGTTTGCTGAGTGGGTGTGAAGACTCAAGAATGCTTTTGTCATGGCTGATACCTCAGGTTTTACCAATGACATAGGTCCGTCCCTAATCACGTAGTTTTCTATCGCATATTGCGGTTAGTAGACAGTGGTACACCGTTCTAATTCCAATTGGCTCTGGTTTTGCGGCTAGTCCTGGTGCTGCAAAGTTTGTATCGATCTAGTCCTGATGATGCATTGTACTCGCCTTCTTCATCTGATGGATAGTACTCCACGGTCAGCATGTCGAGGAAGGTGCTTATTTTGCTCTTCAATGAGAACGAGCTTTCCAACCGATGCCACGCTAAGTAAAACATGAAGCTTTGAATAGATGGGCCCCATTGTGGAGAAGTTTCGTTTTGATGCAGCGCTGACTGTTGCCATTGAAAACAGATTGACTACTACGGGCTGCAGAATTGGCCATTGGACTCCATGTGTCAGCCAATATTGCATTGACTTCTTCGCCTTTTTCGTCAGCATCGAGAATTGGAATGAGCTCGTTGCCTTGTCGTGCTGCGCCAAGATAATGAAGTCAGTCAATTCGGTGTACTAGGACATCCGTCAAGTGTCGTCAACGTGAATGATGTCATCAATGGGAGTGTTACACAGCTTGTCTTCGAGTTCACGAAAATCGATTGGCGGCACACCATTCTCGAGAAGGCGAGGATAAATAAAGATAGGTAATATTGTACGCTACGCCATACATGAATTTGAAGTGGGAAGACACGATGTTCGTCAAATAATACAGCTCTGGCTTAGTGCTGACTGCTCGTTCGTAGACAGCAGTGAACTTCTCCTGGAGGGAATGGAATCCAGCAAAACTTCTGTAATTGAGACACTTCCAGACTAATAATCTACAGTTAGCGCGTCGATAGGCTCGAGAATGGAAATGGCCTTGTTTAGCTTCACGACGAAGCCATTGCCGGTGGTAACGAGGTCCTTGATCTTCTGTCGCTCAGACGTCTGCGCAGTCGTACCGACGACAAACTCGCTAGCGCTAACGATGCTGTGGATCAGTCGCTCTGATGCAAGCACCGACGCGCACATGGCTCAAACGCCCCCCCCCACGAGTGGGAGCGGGTCGAACGAGGTAACATAAGGACTCAACCTTCTGCGCCTCCTGCAGACGTGTTTTCACGACATGATAATTGTAAAAAAATTATACCAGATCCTTGCACGCGAAAACAAAGATGAGCATGACCACAAATGAAAATCCCAAAGGATACGTCACCTCACTGTCGTTGTCCTTCCTGATTTCGACGCGGAGAACACATCCTTCACAAAAAGATGCAGTTTAGGAGATAAAAGCTTACGAAGTACCGCGATGCGAACGCCCTGCTAATCCGTTGCCAGGCATTTGGATTCGTTGAAGTATTGTCAGCCACCGCCACACAGAATATTGACAGATTATAGCGATCGAATACGTGCGTGACATCCTGTGCAATCAATCGGCGCTGTGACTTTGGTGTCCAGTAGATATTGACTAGAGGAAAAAGCGGATTGTAGGAGACGTGGCAATGTAGTTGATAATAGGGTCGTTCTAGATGTTCGACCAGCCACCCCTTACTAGAAATTAATGAGCGCACTACATGCGAATGTCGACGGCTGCCTTCAACCGATTGTAGCACTTGTTTAGCAATTCACCTGCAAGCTTCTTGAGATTTGTGATAATCTTTTTGTTAAGGCACGTCACGCTAATATCTTCTTAAAGATGAACACCCTCAACCCCTAAAATGACGACTCTGTGTCGTAGTAGTGCATGGCAATACGGAGCTAAAACTTCTTCTTCTCCGACCGCGATAGCGAAGGTAAGCAAAACTCCGTGATGGACCGTTGATTATGAGATGACGCAGAGATAGACATGAAATTAACAACGTTGCACCGCATAGATGCCATTTTTGTTGGGCACGAAGATATCCGGGCGATTAGGACTCTCCAGCCCATTCACAACGTGAAGAATCTCGAAGCACTTGTTCACATGAATCATCGTAGACTCACTCTTTCTGTAATGATTGATAAGATGTCGGCAGTGTTTGAGAACTGCAGCCTAAATCTTCTGTGGCTGTACAACATACGTGAAGTATCCGCATACCATGCTATGACTGTGGCCTGTCCTCCTGACGTGCTCGAGTGCTTCATCTATGACTGAGGACTCCACCTCAACGATCTAATCATTATCCACTATCTCACCCGGCCTAATTAAAAACGCGTTTTCATCGCTGAAGTCGGACATGATACGACTCATGTTTACGAGTGCGAGGATGACTGAAGAGAACTGCACCATGGATTGTGCTACGCACTGCGCAAAGTATAGACAAAAAAGGCAGGTAGTTAAGGATTCTCAACTCAATTGTTTTTAAAAATAACCCAAATCAAACCGATGACAAATTGTGTTTTGCCAGCCCTGGCGTACAACGGTATCGACGTATTTTAGACGGGCTATATCATCTACAGTCGTGGTAACGGACGATGGACGATCTGCAAGACTATGCCTTGAAGATCTGACCCTGCTTGCCTTTATTTTATGATTCCAGATCGATGTATATTTAAGCTACGGTCAATTTCAGAGTTAAGGGGAAATAGTGAGAGCTGCCACGGTCATCAGAATCAGGTTTATATCCCTGCACTAAAATTCCACGAAGCTCATTGATTTGTCGCTTCTCGGTGTCCACGCTTTTAATTGTTCTGAGCGTTTGCTGATTTATTGCTAGCCTGAAGGCTCCATCTATTAGTGGATTTGCGCAAGGTTGAATGCATCATTTTATCCGTACTTCTCTGTGCGTCTGTATGTGTGCATGTAAATAACGCGGATATGTGAACCTCGCACATGTTAAGTGCGATATAGTCTGTCCCTACTACATAGATATATAGTCACATTTAAGCCACTCTTTGCCTAGGTTACTATTGTGACGCACTCTTCTTGATGGATTGCAATCAAATAGAGGTGACATAGTCACATAAGTAAATGCTGGACGCTCATAAGCAAAGGCTGATCGCGTTGTCCAAGTATACTGTACTGGATAAATCCATTCACGGATATCATCATACTCTTTCCTCAGTCACTGCTGCTGTATAGTGTTTAGCAACTTATTTAAATTATCCGGACTGAATTAATTATTACAAAGGGTGAACTCCAGAGCTTGCTCCTAGGTGTGTATACCAGTCCGGACGGTGACCGGACAAATGGATCTGTTTGCTATTTTTGGATTACAACCAAATGCAGCTCATCTTCAACGAAACAATGTGTCACAGTGTCATCGCCTGCCTTTTTACAGATCTTCTATACATGTATCGATTCTACACCAATGTCCTAACGTCGTATGAAACGACATCTGCTCTTTAGGATGACGCGGTGTCATGATGTTAGGATAGCGCTCACCTTCATCAGTATGCCTCATTCAACACATCACAGGACCAAGTATCCAGAAACAATAACAATGCACCACCATGAAATCTACACGGCAGTGAATTACACCGCAAGAAGATGCACTCGAGTAATTGTAACAGGATAAAGGTGTTTAAACGCACCGATCGCATCGTAAGGCCACCACGCATGCAATAAATGAATGTATCATCAGTGCTTTTCGAAAAAGAACGCCCAGTCAACATATATCAGGTCTTGCTCCTCTTTGGAATAGGTTGTTCGTGCACGGCTTTATATCATCAAGTTTCTTGCGCAAACTGGTAAGAATACGAACGTCTTGTACGACGTGCTTCAGTATTCGTCCACCATTTATCAGCCTGCTGAATATAATGTAAGGAAGAATGGAAAGTTGGGTGCTGGCTAGAGTGTTCACGCAAAAGGCCCATTCAAGTGTTTATGTAGACAGTTTTCTGACAACGCCAAATCTCCACTTTGATTACGTATTATTTGTTGGGAATTGCTAAATTCACACCCCTTTTCCTTAGATTCACACCCTTCCTTCAAATCTTATATGTACAAGGTACGCAATCGCCGTTGGACACCGACGAGTGCTTTCTCTGCCACTTGGCTACGGGCGACATCTTGCGCGCTGCTGTAGCTGCTGGCACCGACACAGGGAAAAAGATAAAAGCCGCGATGGAGTCGGGCGCACTTGTGACCGACAAGATTGTCGTCGGTATCATTAAGGACGACATCAAGAGTTCGGAATGCCGTTGTGGCTTTATTTTGACGACTTTCCACGAACGGTCGTGCAGGCCAAATAGGTAAAAACAAGAGGAGATACAGACGAGTGTCCAGGTTGCAACGCAGCGGCTGACCGCAATTCCTCTTTTTGTATGTGGTGCTCTGCAGCTCGACAAGATGTTGACAAAGGAAAAGACCTCGGTGGATGCTGTGGCTATTATTTACGTGCCGTAGAAAGTGCTGGTTGAACGCATTGCAGGTCAACGCGTGCACTTGGCTAGTGGCCGCAGTAACCATGTCAAGTTTGCTCCGCCGAATGTGGACGGCAAGGAAGACATTACGGGCGAGCCGTTAATTTAGCGCAAGGACGACAATGAAACCACGCTTGGCTCGCGTCTGGAGGATTTTTACAAGCAGACGCAGCCCGTGATTGACTATTACCGTGAGTAAGGCAAACTGTTGAAGTGATTGCTCACACGGAAATGCATAAGGTGACGGAGCAGATCCGTAAGAGCCTCAGCTCGGATTAGAGATTAGCGCGCTCGATTTCGTCCCCCCCCTGACTGCTTATAGACATTAGAGCATGCTTCACAGACAGCCTGTCAGCTTGCTACCCTCAACCTATTGAGCATTTTTAAACGTAACAGCATAGCCTTGGCCACGTGCGATCGTCTGCACAGTATCCATAAGTTCCTCCCGACTGGCATACTCAATCTCGGGAGAAGGGAGTATGTTATTGCGTGGTACCCTATCATTAAACGCTGGAGGAGCTAGACCACAGGCGTGAGCAGTATCTTAGGTATTTCTTTCGTATTACTTGCCCATGATATTATCCAGTAAAACCTTTGTCAGAAAACAAATTTAAAAGGAATAGGGATTTTATACATAAGATTGTGAAGGAAGGGTGTAAATCTAAGTAAAAGGGGTGTGAAATTAGCAAATTCCTATTTGTACTGACCAAAAGGAGAGAGTATTGATAGAGAACTCTATTTAGCAGATATAATTGATCAAATGCGATAATTATAACCAATCAGAGAGTAAAGGGACAATTAAAAGTCTCGCAGCTACCTCTCCCATGTATCAGGTCGGAGAGAGCAGTGTAGTTGTTATGTATCAGGTTGGAGAGAGCAGTGTAGCTGTTAGTATTACGGTGCAAACACCAAGTCGCTCGCATATTTGAAAATTATACCCAAGCTCCTATGTCTCCGACAAAAGATGATTCAGACCAATTTTTTTATAACACCGCCTCCACTATTGCATTACTCGACCAGCGTCGTCCAGTCAATAGATGTGAACAAATTTTTCTCTGTGTGCCATTAAACTGATTTATAAAACTACTGGAGCAAAGTTATAAGTCACTCTAAACGAGTGTACGGACATCAGCCACTATATTATCGAGTGCATACAGTTCAAAGTCACTAAACTTCTTTGACATCGCACACCCTTCGTGATTTATCGTAATTACTGGGGGTAAGTCTGAAAGCCTCAAATGGGTCAAATTGCCCGTCTCTTCCTGACTGATATCATGAGTCTTTACTAGCTCTACATTTGGGCTAATATTACTACCGACATCCGATGGAGATTCACTGGACTCGAACATATCTTCTCACAGATTTTAAGAGTCAAATTACGCTCAACCACTGAGCCGGTCTCAGGATGCCTTATTCTATTTTCAACAACGTCAACGTTGACATTCAGCTTGTCACTATCACAGCCAACTTCACTCGGTGGGTACATACGTGTCACTTCACGCTCATCTGATGGGTAGATCCCTAGATGACTTAACGAATGGCCAACAACGTTTTTGGAATTCAGTGAATCGTTATTGTAATGAAAATTGCTTGACGATGTACGTGCCGTTTCAATACCAAGTAAAGTTCTTTGCTCGATATTCGTGTCTTTGACATCATCAGAAGCAATTAGTTCTGACTTCCAACGTCCAGCCCACTGACAGAATCAACCAGTAGATTGTGCTAATGTCACTTCTGATTCCTAGCAGAGGAGAGTTCATGAATCTTTAAAGTTCCGCAATAGGCAGTGCACCTAAAATTTCTTCACCTCTAATTGTTTGATATTTCGTGATGTTCAAGCCAGGCCATACCAGGAAGAAATTATATCTCGAATCCAAATCAAGGACTAAACAGCTTTCGACACTATTCAAAATTGAAAAACATCACGCTTTAGCTCACAGGAACTTTGGGCGTGGTGATTAAAGAGCCTGTCGCTAAGCCAACAGTTATGTATCACCATTTTGCGCCTGTATCGCCTCAGCGTACAGTCGATTACTCTCCGGGGAACATCTTCTAACGTAATTAATGGGTAGAAAGGAGCCGATTGGAATGGACCGGGGATTCTCAAATCCTATAGTATTGATTTCGCGACCAACAAGTCTTTCTTGTATTCTCGCCTCGTGTTGAAGTGCACGGACCTCTTTAGGGCTAAGTTCTCACTACCTCCTACAGGATCCACAGAACATGACTCTTCCCTAGTAGGGCGCATCGCTCTACAGGATCCACAGAACATAGCTCTTCCCTAGTAGGGCGCATTGCTCCTATAGGTATTGTACGTTTTCCTAGGCCGTATCAGAATACTATTAACGAAGGGAAACAAACAAGAAAACGCCTAGATGGCCTTGAGTAAAAGAAACTTAGGACGAATCTGCCTTGTGCTTACGCACGTGCAGAGCCGTCTAATGTTACAATATTGCTCTACCCCCCTCTCTCTCTACGGCCTAAAAAACCTACTTCTACGCCCGTTCGAGCGAGACTGAGGTCCATAGACTCCAGCCTATTAAATGAACTTAATGATTTCACCTACGTGCTTTGTACCCATGGGTTCCAAAGCAGGCTGCCTGAAAGTCAAATTAAGCGTTCAAAGCGGCATCCACAGCCGTCTCAAAGGAGGTGAGGTGGACTTAGAATACTTTTGTTCGAGCTACGCTAGCACGAAGATGTGGTGGATTGGGTTCCCAAAACTGCGTCTTGAGTTCCCAACACACTTACTGTGCCGGACTAACGGGGGTACCCCGATTCCGCGTATGGACCTTGACTCAACTCGTGTACCCGTCCGCTGGCAGTTTATACTCTAGTAGTCTCGAACGCAGAGGAAGATGTTTTGGTGTTGAGAGGGGTAGACCTGGGGCCTCTAGTGGGTATGATTCACAGGATGGGATGGTAGGTATCCACTCGATTGAATCAGTCGAGAGTAAACTCATAACCAAGTTCTTCAGGTAGCTTGTCGCTCCTGGACTTCTCCTTGTTGTTTCAGGAGGTAAACCCCTGACATTTACTTTCTCCTTTACCGTGTGGTAGGCAGACCGCTTCCGATAGGGTGTCCTGATGGGGTGTTGCGACTCTACGAACCCACAGTCCAAGTACTTCCTGGGGTTTTACATGAGCTTGATTCTTACCTTGCAACTGTCTTCAACGGAGGCCAAAGTATGTCCCTTCCACGGAACAGGCGGGTAGACTTACCAAACTCATTAGTGCAAGACAAAGTCGTGCCTCATGGATCAAAACATTGAGTAGCATTTTAGTATCGTCCTACCTTTAAAATCCCTTACTCTGTCCTCGCCTTACTATCTGGCTCTTTATGTGACTGGTCAGGAGCAGAAGAATCTTAAAGGACCTTGGTCTACCGATGAGGGACCGAGGTCAATGTGGTTAAGTCACTAATTAAATGATGGGACGTGGATCGGTGTCCACCCAGTTAAGACGTCACCCACTGGCGGAAAAGGTACGCCTGGGGCCAGGCGATGCGACGTGATTTGAGATGTGGCGTAGAAAGGGGTGATTTTCACGGTGCGATCTGGGACGAGGGACTATTTGAACCGAACGACCACTCTGAAGGATGACCAAAGGCAAGGATGTGGATGTTGAAGCAGAATCATTTGAGAAAGGTACGCCTGGGACCAGGCGATGCGACGTGATTTGAGAGGGGGCGTAGAAAGGGGTGATTTCCACGGTGCGATCTGGAATGAGAAACTGGATTGAACCGAACTACCACTATGAAGGCTGATCAAAGGCAAGGATGTGACTGTTGAAGCAGAATCATTTTGAGAAAGGCATCGGAGTACACACAATGAACGAAAGAACATATATGGCCGGATTGTACTGTGTCGATCCTCAACGATCTCGAATTGGGCATCAGATCGGTCATGTTCCCCACTGATTTCGGAAATATCGTTGATGAGACTTTTGGATTATGACAAACGTGCTTGTTGAAGATCCATGAGTGATGTCTCAAAAGTTCAGATCGAAAGAGCCAGTGGAAGCCGGTTAAATTGACGTCGCAAAATGGATTTAGTCGCATTCGGCACATGGGCACTATTTCAGGCTTTTGGGTACCAAAATGGGTATTTGGTACCACATTTGAGATTTGGTCCTCTTTTGGCGTTTAGGTACGATGTCGGGGATGTTGGCGCTATCTTTGGAGTACAGGTCATAAAATTTCGACATGCGCTCAAGGGGGCAATCAAGCTTAAAGGTGATATCGACTGGGAGAGTGACCTATAGTTGGGAATAGGCTTAAAGATAGGTTGGTTATTAATTCGGTTAATTAATAAAAAGACTTGAACTCTGCTTCTTCTGCTCACGACACACAATCTCCTCCCCTCTTCTCCGGGCAAGATTGATTTGGCTTCCCCGGCGGGTCAAGGCACGCGTGTTACAAGGACACAGAAGACCGATCTTGGATTGCTGGCCAAGATCGGGAAGAGCGACCTCGGGAAGTTTGGCCCGGATCGATCAAGTACTCACTCTCAACTCAACTGCTAGGGTAGCAGCAACAAAGGATTTTGGACACAAGATCGCGAGACGGCTCAAGTGGTCAGAAGATCTGGACAAGGCGTTCAAGACCAGGCCGAGAAAGATCGGAGCGATCTACTGGACAGATTGGCGCGTTTCATTTTGGCAAAACCAAGGACCGATCTGCCCAAATTGCGCACTTCCAGCAAGATCGGACGATACCAGACCAGCTCGGACTGATCCCAAGGCAAGATCGACGCAAGACTACTATTTGCTGAGTGATGATTTCCGCACAGCAAAGACCCCGATCCCGAAGACAAATCGAGATCGGTGCGATTCGAGACCGAGACCGCGACATCTTCAACTAGAGATCGCCGCGACTCGAGAATCAAGATCGCAGAACCCCTGTTTGTGGTGTGAAGATTTCCGCACCGGAAGCGAACTCTCAACCCAACCTCTCAGCAAGATCGACGTCCTCCAAGGCCGTTACGAAGAGCTCAAGCCAGCCCAACCGACGGGTACACAAGGTGAGCACAAGGTTATACAGCAAGGCACGGATCGGAGTACCCCTTCCGTGAGTCGGTAAGTCTGGGCAAGTGGAAGATCGACACTCAA